GATCTATATTGTACCATGTTCTAACAAATAAACGTATCTATCTATCTATTACACATTAACACCATTCGGCAGAATCATTACCAAAGGCACTACGCCAATTCTGGACGTGGTAGAGTCATGCAGCACGCAGGGTAACAATTTGATTGGTAGCTTTTAAGGGACTTTGAATGGTTCCTTATTGTTTGCCCGGTTTTCCCTAAACCAGATAATCATCTTACTTTCCCCAGCGACGTAAAAATAAAATAAAATACAAGAAAACTTATAGTTAGGAATACATTTTGTGCCATCAACACCATTTATCACAATTAACTTAAATTAAAAATAAACTATTACTGTACTTACTACTTTGCGACATTGTTTTACTCTAAATTTATGTATTAGCTTCTTTGCTCGAATCCAGCTGGGAAATCCATCCAGCTTTTTTAAATTAAATTGATTTTCATTAAAAAAAAACAGGAAAAGTTCTAAATTTATCTCTTGATAAATTAAACTGGACTCAAACGTTACCATCTCGCTTAGGCCGTATTGGTGTAAGAAAAGGTAGCTTAAAGCTCCAGTAGGTCAGTGTATATACACTGTCTGCGGTGAGGGTTTCTTCGGGTTCCGCATAATATCTTTTAATTGTGGAATTGTTACTTATTTATCCTTGTACCAGGAATGTGTCATGTATGGTTAACAACCCATTGTTAATTCCCTATGAACACGCGGGCGAAGCACGGATAAAAGCTAGTTAATAAATACATTTTTACGTGGCCTCTATTCTAAAATATTACAATAGTCTCATACGTTTGTCTAGAATGCTTCTCATATGTATTTTAGATCATTGTCCTATGATATTTTTTTATGCTGCCTTCTTAATAGGTAGCATAAAACATAAAGTCCCCTTTACGACGCCATTAACAGCATTTGAATAAACTTGAATAATTTGAACTTTATGCTGTAACGATCGATAACTGACAATGGGATAAATAGGAAATGTCGAGTACATGGCACGAATTGATACTAAGGGCGAAATGTTTATTGGTCGTTTGTGAACCAAATTACGTTATTTAGATCTATTGCATAACGGGAGGAAAATTGCACTCATCTGTCATCAATAGGTCCCAACATTCAACATCGAAATTGCTCGAAAATCTATTCGTAACGACAAATATCCTTTGATTACTCGAATTTGGTGCGCGCAGCAACGACCAGCGTGTGAAGCATCGTGCGAAGTGTCAAATCGATATCCATTATACACGCACGGACAAAGCGCGGGAGGTCAACTTAGGACGGTCGAGTAGCCCGTATAGACCACTTAACTCAATAAAACTCCCCTACCCATTAAATTTAATAGTCTATGAAAACCGAAGGCGCGCGCGGCAAAACGCTCCTTCCTGTGAGCGAACGGAAGACGCCGATTGGCTCAATTGCGGGGCCCATTCACCAATCATCGTACAGAACACCCTACCTATTTGAACAAGCTACTCGCGCCAAATTACCGGTTGAAATAGTTGAAATCTTGACAACGGATTCGGTTATATCACAATGTATTATGAATTTATACTTCTTTTTTTTGTTTTTTACAAGTCATGCAATTTAATTAATATGACCTATAGTTTTAAAAGATATTAAAAATTGTAAATACTATCGATAAATGGTTTTTTTTTTCGGATAAAAGAAGCTTTTGGAAAACTTTGGTTTTACATACATTAATAAAACGTAGAGACATTTTATTAACACTGCTTTGAAATGTACTGCCATAACCGGAAGAATAAAGCTGTAAGTAAGCGGCCAATAGATTTTGTAAAAGCTTGGTACGCGTGACAGATATCACGTGGTTGACTCTAGTGATGCGGTCGTTTATTCGTAAAGCTACTAACTATCGATTTAACAATGGAATAATAAAATGAAATTATTACAGTTGGTACTGATTACAATGTAATAAATAACATGGAGTTGAATGAACCAAACCACCAGGACGGTCTTCACTGAACATTCATTGCTACTTATAATTGTCAATTATCAATTATTTCTCATGAGATTTTGTAAGATTGCTTTGGGAAATTTCGAAACTAGCACTGCTAGCAGACGACAAACCTATTCTAGACAAGCAAACATGCAGCCCGTATCGCTGTCGCCTCTGTGACTGGTTTACACACACTCTCTAGAAAACACACTGCCAACCGCTCCTTAAAGTGAAGAAGCTCTAAGTAGTTAGTGGCTCAATTAATATTCCTTTTTATTTCAGAAAAATGCTTTTATATTAAACTAGTCGATAGGCTTTGAAATATATACACAACATCCTTGATATCCGCCACTCATAGACATTTGCAACACCCGTAGGTTTCAGATGAGTTGTCACCTTTTAATTAAGTGTGCCCAGGTCACTTCATTCAACAGACGAAACGCAACGATCTTCTGTGTCGTCGTGGTACTTCCCCGGACGGACTCGCCCATTCGTGCAGTAGCGAAGACTGTTGCGTGGCCCTACCACAGTTTTTGAAGTAAAGTAAATATGAAACAGACTATAAAAAATAATCTACATTATTATATCAAATACAAGCTAAGTAGAACTTCAAAAATAGGTAGGTCAGAGAACAGGTCAAGTTAAAAAGACTCGTCGAAAGTGGAAAATAATCCATTATTAAAAGTTAAAAGGTTTTAACAATCAAAAATTTTAATTAAGGGAAACAACACAGAAGACCGCACAAGTGTGCAGTATGACCATGCATGATTACTTATCGATCCCGAGTAAATATTTTAATAGCCTTAAGCATCAGATTAAATAGAATTTCTGTTTATGGTAAAAGGGCAAAGGAGCATTTGCATCACTAGATGGGTTGTGATCACCCCCTATAGACATTCGCAACAGCAAATGAAGAACAAGCGCGTTTTTGACCTACATGTACTAGTAAGGATCGGCTAACTTTTTAAAGGTACCTTAAAAGTCGTGTTCGGGTATTAATCCAAATTTTCAGAGTACTTTTGACCGGATGTTTCTTTGCCGGAGCGACGGAATCAAGAACAGAACTGGCCGCCTAAAAACGAAGCAAACCTGTTCCCAAGAGATAAGCTGCAAAGAAGGCCGCATTTCTTGCAGAGAAACCTGTTGTGAGAACGCAAGTGCAATGGGCGCGTGATGGACTCCTAACTGTGGTAGGGCGAGGCAGCAGCCTCGGCTGTTGTACGAATGGGCAGACTCGTCCGGATTAGTACTACGACCTCACAGAAGACTGGCGTAAAGTGGAAGTATAACAAATACTTTCCCGTTTCGGGAAAAAAAATACCACTCTCCAGTGCTATTTTTTTTTAATAAGAAAAATGGGTAAACGAGCAGGAGGCTCACCTGATGGTAAGTGAATACCGCCGCAAACTCTATTACTCGCAGTGTTGTGGATTCGATCCTCACACGACAGATTTGGTTGAATGTTAATCTCCATAGTTTGATGTTCCGGGTCTGCCGTATACATTAATTTGTCTATGATTTCATATTTGCAAAAATGCTAAACAGTACTTTTATCTGTGTAGGACATTATTTGAAAAAAAAATTAACATTCCTATTAGGTCTGTGTAATCACTACTAATGATCACTACTAGTGTGTAATCACTAGTAGTGATTACACAGACATAATAGCAATGCACTAGATGTTACTTTTTAAATTGACGTTTCAATATGTTGAAATGATTTGAATTTTCACAGAATGTTAATATTGCTACAACTTTAAGTTGTAATCTAATTACTTATTAAAATGGAACCTAATCAATATAATACTTACAATTAATGCTTGAACAATATATTATGGACATCTATATAATTATATGTACATAACCCTAATAAAAATTTTCTTAATAATTATGTATAAAAAAATATTTTAGTACCATACAATGGTGCGGGATGTCGATGGATGCAGGTGGCTCAGAATCGTGTTTCGTGGCTGTCTATGGGAGAAGCCTATGCTCAGCAGTGGACTCAATGAAGATGATGATGATGATAGAACTATAGATTAATTAAGTACAGGGCCAGATTTAGAGGTCTGGAGGCCTCGGGGCAACAAAGGAGTGGAGGCCCCTTGGCCCCAAATTATTTTCTATTGATTTCTGTTAATATTTAATGTAATCATGTTTGTACAAAGTACTGTAGGTAAAAGTAGAACGCGAAAAAAATATGTAAGGAAAGGTTGTTTACTATTTATTGTTTATTAGTCTGATTTATAATTTTTTTTCCGAAGTCTCTACTGTGGGGTCGTTTGAGGAGGCCGCGGGGCTGTTGCCCCGGTCCCCTAAACCCGGACCGATAAAGTATATAATAAATGATGAAGTTTTAAAAGAATTAACAATTTTAAAAGAAATTTTTTATTTAACATCATTAAAAAAGATTTTAAAATTGAAAATACATAATAGATTGTAAATATTTGTACGTTTCATAATTAATGGCACTTTGATTAAGGATTATATTCATTTATTTATTAGATATAATTATTACAACCTTATACTAAAAACAAATTGATAGCAGGTATATGTTAAATAAAAGTTTTTATGTAACATAAAACATTTGTAAGGCAAGTAATAATGTGAATCGCATATCATATTTTTTATAGTTTCACAAATTTTCGATTGATGGTAAAAAAATCAACAATAGACGCAAGTGTATTCACAAATAATATTATGTTAACATCCCTTTAGCTATTTTTAGATATAGTTTGAATGGTTAACCCAAATAAACATATCTTTAGTACGCGAAAAACTTAAATGCGCCTTAGAAATTGGTCCAAGTAACTGCACAGAGCGCAAATTATAGTTTACACCATCGTCTCGTTCGCGCATTTGTCACCATCGCTTTCTCTCTCGCTCCCACAACACTATTGTGTACAGTTGCGACCAACACTGTAATTTTTTTTTTTTATATATTATGGATGATTGTCTTTTGCGCTCGACGGTACCTGCGCAGTATTCACGAGCCAATTTCAACCGGGCGTATTAAGTATTACGCGGCCTTTACGACAGTTTGTAGGCCGTCAGAACTTTTCTACCCTCGTCTCGAGCACGCCGATCTTCTCGATCTCGCTGTGGATGACGTCACCGGGCTTGAGGTACTCCGGCGGGTCGCGGTACATACCGACACCGCCAGGGGTCCCAGTCAGTATTATGTCACCGGGCAATAGAGTCATGACACTGCGAAAGTATACCGTTTCACGTTTAATCGCACATTTGCAACACTGACGTCCGGTTTCTGAAACACTGATCATCTTAGATGTTAACTAATCAGCTGTCAAAATGCTTTTCAATTTTCATTTTAGTTGCCAGAGGAATGGAACTCTCTGAATTGACCAGAATGATCTTCTTAATGATCAGTGTTTCATAAACAGAGCGAGTGTTGCAACTCTATCAGGACAGACAGAGATAGCAATAGTAGGAGACAGTAATAATGAATTTCAGTCTCACTACCCGAAGTGCGACACAATTGCAAAAAAAGAGATTGGCACTCATATTCAAGTTACAATTTTTTTATTACTCATTTTTAACTTCAAATAACATTTTCTTAGTAACCATAAATGCTAACAAGCTGTCATCGTGCTTGGTGCTTTTAATTAGGGACAATGGCGAAGTCATTATCGCTTATTAAAGGCCACTAATTTTGATTTATTATCGAATTACCTCGTATGATCCAGTACCTTTTATCCTCTGTTTCTCAACCAATTTTATTTTTATTTTTTGTTTCATAGCTATTGACGATATTTAGAGGTGCCAAAAAAATTAAAGCCACACAAATCTATAGTTTAAAATAATACATGTCAAGGTTTTAAGACACGAATATGGTAGGAGGAACAGTCTTGTCTGTTGCACGATTGGGCAGGTCCGTCCGGGGAAGCACCACTACCTCACAGAAGACCAGTGTGAAATTGAATTGTTATACTTTTGCGTTTCATCTGCGAGGTAACTGGGGCCCACTATGAAAAGGTGGCCACGCATCTGCAACCCTACGGGTGTTTCAAATGTTAATGGGCGGCGGTTATCGAACCACCTGTTTCGCTTACCACCTTCTCACATAAAAAAATCTGCATATGAAGTAAAGCCCAAAACAATAATATCTTAATATCCTGTAACAAAATGTGGTAAGAATTACAATTTTTAAATGATAAATAGACTGTTATAACATGACATGACGTCGTGTCCGATACCTGTATGAATGATAAAAACGAACTCAAGACGAAAGAGGCCGTTTTGTTAATATGCGTTAAGCAGCTCCACTTTCAACTGCCTGTTTCGCTTTGATAACATTTTATCATATGGCTCAGCGTGCAGTTCGGGCAACGCAAGATAATTGACGTCGCAAAAATAATAACAACATGGCGGACGTAATACGAAAGTCTGAAGTGAAGTATTTTTTTTTAATCAGCTGCCAGTATTTTTTTTTATTTATTAATGCGTTTTTAATGAATTATTTTTTTTATTTTTTTATTTTTAATTACATATGATTACGTTATAATTTTTTTTATGTAAAGTAAAGTATCAGCCAATACATATCCTACTTCTGGGCCCACTGCGGATTGGGCGACATCATATATCTTTGAAACATTTGTTATTATTCCAAAAATATGCAACTTCCTCAAGATGTTTTCTTTCACCGCTGAGCACGAGATGATTCATCACTTAAAAACTTGAAATTAACAATTTCATTGGCGCTGGCAACGGAGTTCTACCCAGGTGGTTCGAGAAACGAATTAAAAGCGAACGACCGGATACTGAGCAATCACGGCTCTCCAAAAAAAATTGTGTGCTTACTCCATTTCCATTCGTAATGGTCTGATGGTTTTCAAATTTGACTTTTATAAAATTTGACATTAGTTTATTTGTAAATGTAATTTTAATCTTTTTGTAAAAATTTTTGTTATTTATACAATAGCGTTAACATTCTTTTTTATTTCGCTTTCATGTTTATTTAGTACTTAAATTGTACATACTATTTTTTTTTATTAGCAATAAACGATTACTATTATTATTATTATTAGAAAACACTCACGAAGACAGTCTCTCGATGACGTCGGGAATCTTGTGTATCAGCTGATCGGTTTTGCTGCGTTGCTTCAAGACTCCGTTGACGGAGCACTTTATGGCGAGGTTCTGGGCGTCCCCGATCTCGTCGCTGGTGGTGATGCAGGGTCCGATGGGGCAGAAGGTGTCCATGGACTGAGGAAAGGGAAACATTATGGATCTCTGTATAACTTCACTACACAGTATAAAACAACGTCGTCCCGCCGTCTATCTGTCCCTCTGTATGCTTAGATCTTTAAAGCTACCCAACGGATCTTGATGCGGTTTTACTAGATAGAGTGATTCAAGAGGAAGGTTTATATGTATAATACATTGCAGCCGTGCGAAGCCGGGGTGGGTTGCTAGTTAAAAAAAAGTTTGACCGTAACCGGGGCCCAAGTTGTTAAACGTTGGCTACTCATCTTCCTGAGTGGGTGTTGTGTTGTATCACATACCAACTTTTCACATGTAAAAGTTAGAGGTATATTTACTATGGTAGAGACAAAGCTTCGTCGACTATTGTAAGCGAATTATCAGGCTCTACTATTGTACGTGAGAGCATGGTCGACGACGGAGTAATGGGGGAATTTAGGAGTGTTTATACTTTCTTTTGGTTAGTGAAGGTCCATCCACTTAAAGTTGGGCAATGTATGCGCGATCCTAGTATCTTGAACACTGCAAATACACACTGCTCTTTTTCCTCCTCAATGAGATAAACATCTTTTAACCGTAGTTTATAAAAATTTTAACCTTTAACCGATGTTAAATGTTTGAAACATACATCATCACAATAAAGGAACGAATTGAAAACGCTTTTGCACGGTAGGTCCGTCGGAGAAAAGACGACCTCACAAAAGACCCGAGTGAAGTGGATGTATTATACCTCTGTGTTTCGTGAAGTAAGCGGTGTCCACATTATTGAAAGGTGGCAACGCATTTGTAACCCAACATTGGGTGTTGCAAATGTCCATGGGCCGCGGCTAGTACTTAATATCAGATGGACCGCTTGCCATTTTGCTTACATAAAAAATATAACATTCGAGGTAAAAATATTGCATAATAAAGCTTAAGCCGTTAAATGCAGATAATGATTGATCCCACGATATCGAACATCGAGATAAAAGGGAAAAACATCTTAAGTACTAATACCAAGTGGGTAACACATGCAGTTAAGATATCGGGTGTTTGAAAGGCAGATAAGATATTGTAAAATTTACATGAAGAATCACAACTGTCACTGTATTTACCTATAAGGGACTTGTCGACGTATTCCATTTTAAAAAGAGACTTTAGTATGGGGAGAAAAAGGATATAATCACATAAAAAGAATCGCATATATTGTTTTTTTCCGTCCTGCATCCAATCAATAAATCGAATTTGTTAAGCGATGATAATTCTTATACTCTGATAATGGCAATACCTGTGCAGAGATACAATAGACTATTGAACATAGCCATTATAAATTGTCTCTAATACAAGAAACAATTTATTTAATCGGCATTTATAGAGCAGTATAATAATTTTACTGTATATAGTATACGAGTACGCCCACTGACAATTTATGCGAGCTGACGATTCACCTGCCGTTAAGTAATGACTCCACTGCTTTAATAAATTGAGCCCGGGGTCCGGGTTACCTCCCTCACCAGACGAAACGCAAAAGTATAACACTCCTACTTGACGTAGATCTTCCTTATACTGTCCTTATACTTCCCCGGATAAACCTGCCCATTCGTGCAACAGCAGACCGGTGCGTGGCCCCACCACAGTCATTCCCACTTCACGCCGACCGTATGTGAGGACGCGGTACTCCGGTTAATACAGGCAAACTTTGACTTCCGGCACAGCATAACGCGGAGTTGCTTTTAATTAATTTACTTTTCTTTTGTTTTTATATCAGCATAGTTTTATATTTGATTTATGTGATGATTTTGTTTTGTTTATTTACTCTAGTATTGATTAACATAACTTTTCAATTTCTTTTATTTCTTGTTATTTTTTTTGTCGTGCGCGTATTGTTTTTGGTAAATATTTTCTTTTTCTCTTGCATTCTGATTCAAGAAGAAGAAACAAAAGTTCCAACTCACCTTCCCTAGCAGGAACTGGCCGCCGTTCCTGCTCTTCTGCCAGTCCCTGGCGCTGATGTCCTGCGCAATGGTGTAGCCCAACACGTAGTCGAGTGCGTCGGTCGCTTTGACGTCGCTGGCTGGTTTCCCGATTACCACTGTCAACTCCACCTCCCAATCCACTTTCTGCAAGTGATTTGGGCAAATTCAGCTGCCTTGTTTTGTTTCAGAACCTATCAGGAGAGAGGAACAGCAATGGATATCCCATTGCTTGTACGATGTTGAATTATATAACGGACATGTTATATACGAAATCTACGCAATATAATATAGTACAAGAGTTCAAGTCTTTGCACCCTCACAGCTATCTCTATGTCTACTCTCTGAGGTAAACAAACAAAAAAAGTGTACACTATTCCCAAAACTGTAACTGTAAATTTTATTTAATGAAATATAACCCGATACAAGTTGAAGTCTCGATACCCGAAATATTCAGATTATTACTTTATTTTTTTTTAATTGGCTTGAAAATTTCCCAGACACGTGAACGGATTTTGAGTAATTAAAATTAATTTAATAAAAAATCGCAATATGTGTTTTTTTTGGTACCCTCTAGACCATCACTCACTCTTTTGGTTAAACTTAAACTACGGCTTTTTCCCTAATAAACGTCTTCTTTTATGAAAAAAAAAATCATAACTTTTTCCCCACACAAGCTTCTTCGCAATTTTCTCTACTATGAAACCAATAACGATTTTAAATACCCTAACATGAGCGCTATTGTACACGCTGAATCAAATGTATGTGTTGTATGTCACGTAGTTGAGAAGTCTGTGATAACTTTAGCGGGACCAGCTGTTTGCACAAAGAAAAACAATAAGTCCAGACATTCAAAATTCTATCCAAACTACTCCAAAGTGTTATTTCATCAGTCTACCTACGCGCATTATGAGCTGCCGGCTTAATTTGCTTCAATAATTGACCCCAATTCGCATGGCGCTGAGGTCACATCGGCTCTGTGATTCATGGCACATTTTTCGGTTTATTGCTCCTAAGTATGCTTCATACGTACGCTATGGAAATCGATTTAAATAAAAACAAAATCAATGCATTTTTTACATTTATGTATATTTTATTTTATTATACTTTCTCTTGAAACAGGAAAAAATTTGTAGAGTCGATGTATAGAGAACTAGCTTTTCGCCCGCGGCTTCGCTCGCGTTGAAGTCTTTAATATATTAGATATTTTCAACCTTTTACAACACATTTTTCCATCCAGCCTATGTCCTTCCTCAGGCTCTAGACTATCTGTGTACCAAATATCATTTAAATCGATTCAGTAGTTTTGGCGCGAAAGCGAGACAGATAGACAGTCACTTTCGCATTTATAATATTAGTATGGGTAATAAGGTCAGACAAAAAATAACAAATGAAGCCGAACGAGTTAAGAAGTGTTTTCTATACAATCGAATTCATTTCTTTTAGCGGAAATCGTGAACTGCGCAATAAATTATGCACATAATATAACTTAAAGAAAATAAACAATGACAAAAAATTGGAGCGTTAAGGTTAACTCAGTTTGTTAGCTAACACATTTACCACACTTTTCAACTGACTTCCAAATGAGAGAACATTCTCAATTCAATTGTATATATTTTATTTTTATTTTGTCACCTCATAACTTCACCATTTATGAACCAGTATCAAAATATTCTTTCTACAATGGGTTCAGTGGAAATCAAGAAAAGACTTGCATTAAAGCCTATTTTATTGCTTCCTTAGTGTATTCAGGCACCAAGTTCTCTAAATAAAACTGACCTAGTGTGAGTCGGACTCGCGCACGAAGGGTTCCGTACCATTATCTATAAAAACGGCAAAAAAAATCATGTTTGTTGTATGGGAGCCCACCTAAAGTATTTTTATTGTGTTTTTTAGTTGTTATAGCGGCAACAGAAATATATCATCTGTGAAAATTCGCTGTCTACTTATCACGGTTCATGAGATACAGTGTGGTTACAGATGGACAGACAGACAGACGGACAGACATTGGAGTCTTCTTCCTTTATAGGGTCCAGTTTTACCCTTTGGGTACGGAACCCCAAAATAGAAGTTTTAACATCAATCTACTAATGTTGCCGATTGTTAAACATATATCTACTTTATCATTAAGTATTTATGTATATTGTCCTAAGTTTAATTGTTTATAAGAAGAATAATACATTTTTTAATTAAATGTTTCACTATTAAAAATAAAAAATAAAAAAATTTTAATTAAAAGTTTCACTATTACTGTATTGTATTTTTGTTTGTTTCCCTTTCGTACCTCAATATCTGCAAGTATTTAAATGATTTTTTTTTAATTGGCAAGGCATCTGCCAACTATGAGGTGGTGAAGATGTCCATGGGTGAGATTTACATAAGGTGACCCACACCCTTGTTTGGCAAAAAGGTTTGGTAAAAGCTAGTACTTCATACCTTAGTCACTTCCCGCAACCTCACAGCATCGCAGGGTCCAACCACAGTGCTCGAGAATTTACTAAAGATTATGGGCACTTCAGGTGGTGATAGATTCTGTTCTTGGCAGTGGTCCTTGTAATTGAGACCAATGCAGAGAACTTTATCCATGCCATGAATGGGTGCACATAGTTTCACAGAAGAAAGTGGCACTCCCTCGGGATTCTTAGATTGAACCCTTCAAACCATAGCATCAAATGAAATATACAACAAAATGATCAAATGAAAAAATATTCATAAAGAGAAAGTGTTTTCATGCATATTTTTTTTTGGAATACATATTAATTGGATGGGTAATTTGTTTTCAATGATGTTCCTGAACAATTTAAACACAAAACAGTTTAATCAAAGTATTGGTCACTGGCTACATTTTGCCACCTCTCAGGTAATTTTCAAACTCTATTTCGAAAGAATTTTTGTAGCGATTAACATCTGCAGCCATTTTATAATTATTAAAAAAAAAAAAAATTAACCCACCCTCACTATAGACTATAGAATGAGGGAGAACAGAGTACCAATATTTTTTTTTCTTTATTTAACAAGAAAAGAAGAGCAAGTCTTGTTTAAGTAGTTTTTAAGTTTATTGTCTTTATTTAAAACAATGATATATGAAGTAAGCCATATGTCTTTCACAAAGTCATTCAAATTATTACTAGTCACAAGCTAGACTTTAATGTTTAAGCGATATGTGGTGTTTTATACCCTTTACATTAAAAACAAAAACACATACCAACATTTATCCAAAATTGCAATGTGAAACTTAGAAACATGAAATAAGAGAGTTAAGGGTTTTTCAAAATAAAGTTAAAGTAATAAAATGAAAGGAATATAAATTATTTAGCGGACCCGTAACCAGGTTATGTAATAAAAAAAAATTACAAATATGTGGACCGAATTGTGGTTTAAACCATTCTCGAATCGAACTAGACACACAAAAAATTTCATTAAAATCGGTCCAGCCGTTGAGGATGAGTTCAGTAACACATACAAGTACAGTAAAATTATATTTATATTAAAATTAAGATATGGTACAATTATATATGTATTAAGTTTTAAAGGACTTAAAACAAATAAGAAACTGATAAAGCAAACTCACTTTTTAACTTTATCGAAGGCATCAGATTTTAATATTTCTAAAAGCGTAAGAGGCAAACTTGTATCAGCTTTATTGAGATCGACAACATTCTCACCGGTTAAATACCCAACGCGAATATCACATGGACAAGTTTTATAAGCAAACTGAACGAGCCTCATATTTGTTTTAGCGCCGACCGAAAAATTCCTGACTGCCCCGAGCTTCACTGAACTATTAATATAATTCTTAATTGGAAACTGAGTTTTTATTGACGTTATCACATGTTTAACTAAACAACTGATACCTGTCATTTTCAAGGCAAATACGTCACTCAGTTTTTAACTTTGATAAAACCATCAAAACAAAAGAGGTTATGCAATATTGTTTATCTTTTTTTTACAAAATTTATCTCTTAACTTATTCTACACGAAGGGTTCTATTATATTAATATTTCTTGGAATTCGATTAGTCGGCTTCTTGCAGTAGTTTAGAAGATTATATTATTCACAAATAAAACACTCGATATTCTGTGTTCTTACGATTGACACAACACGTTGCGTTCGAAATTATTTTATCCAGGCAAGTAAATTAAATCTTTAATTATTAAAATTTCGAATGCAACTTTAGTTAAGTTGAACCTATTTACTCAGCGCGCAATCAAATTTTCAGGTGTGAAATTCAAAATGATTTAAAATAAAGTACCACCAAAATCTTATATATTATTTTCCAAAATAAGGTAGGTGTTAATTAATACCTACCGCACGTATCATCGTTAATACAATAAATCAAGTGTTTGGAATTACCGCCGATGTTTTGCATTGGGCGGTTTCAGTTCCTTATCGATTCAGCAAGAGCGCAGGAACGCCCTTTAATTGGCTTCCGCCTTCCATACTTCCACGTACAGTCTCGGTCATAGTATGATATTTTTTTGGGTTTCTAGGTTTTTTGTTAGAAACTGCATATATTTTATTAAATAATAACATTTTACGCGCTTTCTAAGAATATATCTTATGCAATGAATAGTTAGAATAGTATTTGGGATACGTCCGTCGTCCGTCTGTCTATCCATATGTCACCACTGCTTTTTTTTTTTGTATGGAGAAAAGGTGCAAACGAGCAGGACGCTCTTGGTTTACATTTAACCAAATTTCTAAAATATTGACAATTTTAATTATCATAAACGAAAAATTATTACTCAATACATTACAATCAAACAAGTTGAGTTCAGTTTCTCAGTATCACAAAGAGTAAAGTAATCTATGGGAATATATATGATGCTGTACCTGCATCAATAGTGTAAGAAAACATTGCTTAACTAAGAAATAATTGAACTAAAAAAGTCCTAGATACATATAAAGTCTGTCATCTGCAGTTGGGTCATATTGTGTTCTCTCTTAATACCTTCTGTGCAGAGAAGCTAAAATTTGAATAAAAATTATTTTCAACAAAAAAATTAAACCACCTAAAAGTTAAAAACCAAATTATATTTTTCGGCGGTTTAACTTTTTTGTTAAAAAGTTTGTCTTTTACAATTTTCTGTGACTATAATCTACTAATTAATACATACTTTATTATAGTTTACTTTTAAAGTAAATCTTTTAATATGCGACACAAGATCTTCTCTATTTAGCTGCAGGGCCGGAGTGCCCTAGGGCTCCGTACTTGGTCCAGTACTCTACAACATATTTACTTATTACTTACCCCAGTCACCTGAAACAGCTGTAGCGACCTTACCAATACCACCAATGCTTGGCTGACCTTAAAAGCAAGTGCACCAAAGTCTCATCATATCACATTTACTCTAAGGACGTGAAACATGCCCACATGTCATCTTAGGACTGGATACATTACCGCAATCAACCTGCTTTAGGTACCTTGGTTTTCACCTGGATCATAGATTGACATGGAAAGATCATATAAAAACGAAGCACAATGAAATGAATATAAGGTTTAAAAACCTACTCTGGCTCCTCGGTAGACAGTCTGCCTTATCCCTATCCAACAAGTAAAGGATATATTCCTCAATAATAAAACCAATCTGGACATATGGAATCCAGCTGTGGTCAACAGCCAGCAAATCCAACATTATGTGCATCCTGAGAGCTCAAAACAATATCTTGAGGGTGATGTCAGCGGTGCCCTGGTATGCTCGTAATTCAGACATCCATGAGTACCTAGAACTTCCAGGATACTCAGCCAACTACAAGGACCGTTTGACAACTCATCCAAACCTTTTATCCAGTATGCTCCTTCAGCCAAATGCAATTAGAAGACTCAAGAGAGCTGATGTGCTGCCTTATTAAGGGGAGATGGTGAAGTGGGTCCACCTCCCCAAACTCCAACCTCTTACAACTTACCTGATTATAGTTTATATGACTGCTTGCAGGTTCCATAAGAAAAAAAAACTTTTAAAGTAGCATTAAAATCTGAGTGAGTTAACATATACCACCCCTGTTTACCCACCCTTAGGGTAGTATGTTTTTTTAAATTTATATGGGACCAACTTCGAGGTATACCCTATCCAAAAAAAAATATTATCAAAATCAGACTTCTCTGTGAAAAGTTAGTGTGGGCATATGTAAAAAAAATATATTTTTTTTTTTTTTTGTTAAAAGCACTGCCCTTACTTTAGGATAATACTATCCTGTGTTGTAAAGGACGTTTTACAAACATAAATTTCACGCGGACAAACACCCAGATGCGAAACAACTATCTGTGGGTCACACAAATAGTTGTCCCTTGTGGGAATCGAACCCACAACCCCCGACGCCGAAGCCAATACCTTGGCAACTGCGCCACGCGGTCATCAAAATATATAACTATATATAAATATATACTGCATTGACTTGAGATCCTCCTGTTTTTTGTCGGTTGAACACAGGTATAACATTACTGTAACAGTAAAATAATTATAACAAGGTGGGAAACAACAAGTCTAAATATTAAAATATTTTTTTTATGTAAATTCTATTAATCCACATCTGTTTGGAAGAAGTTATGGTTCTAAGCTATTTATGAAATTAGGACAAAATTTCATAGTTTTTATTGCTTTATTTTACTGTTTAAGATTTCCTTAAACTACATCACTAATTGATATAACTGAATATAATCACCTGCTGTTTTTCAACATTTGGGGATGGGTTTCTTTCTAGTTATAAAGAATTCTTCTCTAGTATGGTAAGGGGCATATGGATCTTCTACATAATACTTTGGTTTCTTCCAAAACTTTGTAACCATTTTGTCAAGCAAAGTGCTCTGTGTTGAATTACAAAATACATGTTGTCTAAGCCTTCTTTTTTGCGGTTGTGATTTTCTCCACATCTTCTTATGCCTACCTACTTTAGTTCTTATCCATCCACCCCAGTGAAGACGAAAGAATCTTTTCACTACCGCTTTGACCGTTTTCCGTTTACCACGTTTCAGGCTAAACTTGATAACAGTTCTGACCGGCACTGGGTTCAGATTATTAGCTATTTGTAAAATATGTCTGTTCTTCAAAAAGTTTCCATGATTGTTTACATTAGCAGGGAAAAAATGGTTTGTTGCATTAATAGCAGTATAATTACGTATGTCTTGCTTAATGACTTTAGCTGGAATTTGATATGATGCTCGAAAAGGAACTGTCCGTAGGGCTGAAACAAATTGTGAGGTTGTTTGAAAGTTCCACATATATCAAAATGAAATTTCATTAACTTCTAGTTCGATTCTAAAGAAATATAGTGAGATTTACCAAATAATGCGCAACGTAACATTTTTTGTACTGTTTTAAATGTTCTTAATTTTGTTCAATTGCTATAATCATACTTTTCTCTGTTTTTTATTTGTCAGTCGGCAGTCGTTAAGTCGGTAGGTTGGTTGGCTAACTAACAGGTTAGCTGCCAAACAATTTGTCATTGTCATATTACATCATACAGATTATGACATTATATCTATCAAAATAATGCTGGTTTGTCGACGAGGCAAAGGTAACAATACCATCAGCCATGAATATTTTGTGAAGTGTACCCTACCCTCTTCATTAGCTTTGAACAAGGCTGTAAATTTAAGCATTACGCTAAACACAAAAATAACTAAACAAAAAGATAAGTTAATAATAATTTATTTATTTATTGATAAATAATAATATTTTAAATTATTGTTAAATTATTATTTATTAATGAATTACGTGGGCTCCAGCCAGAGGTTACAAAAAAAAGCAATTCTTATAAAATATAATTTATTTTACTTTAAAATATTACAATAAAATTATAGCTAATAAAGGTGACTCTAATTCGATGTGTGAATAAGAATGAGGATCAATTACAGTTTCGAAATAAGGTAAAGAATTTATGACGCAAATGCGTTGTGCTGAGTCGGTGCCTCGTGCCATCGCGTTGGAGTCCAATGCCGTTGCAACGCAGCAGATTCCTTATACTAGGGCTGCGTAACAAATGTATATATTATATAATAATAAATAATATATTTATATGTATATTTTTATTCATATTATTTATTTTATATATGCAATATATCTTGTTTATCTATATTGTTTATTTTTTATTTATAAACCCAACCAGACGTGAAATCAAATCAATATCCCCCCGTAATGAAATAAATAAATAGTTTTCGGTGATGATGACGAGAGTTCCATGATATATTTAAAAAAATCATATTAACACTGCAGCACATTGGTCTATATATCAACATATCACATAGGTTTAGAAGATGCAATGAGACCGATAGCGTGATTGGGTCGTCATAGTGCACCAGTTAAGTTGTTCTCTTGACACCATGGTTAAACTGCATGCATACGTCTTTCAACACCGCCACCTATCCTAGCCGCCTGGCTAACAGTAAACTACATAAAATTACACACCAACCGTGAAAAGCGCAATTAATACTACTAATATACAAATACACAAATATAGTCTTATTCTTTTTCTTTGTTTTTTGGCACGTTTTCATAAATACTCCAATAAAATAAATTATACAACATAGTTTAACAAGCTATGAACCACAATGATCATGTAACTACTTTAACTATAGTAATTCTGCATGACAGCACTGTGTTTTACAAGGATTTATTTAATAGTTATTTTTATGGAACGGAAGTGAATTTGATTTTTTTTGAAAGAAATCACGCAAATCAATATTTTACAAACGGAAGTGAATTTGATTTTTTTTGAAAGAAATCACGCAAATCAATATTTTACAAAAATCAAATACAACTTGTAACAAAACAATTCCCATCAATTTATTATTAACTAAATTACGATTTAGTCATGGTCATGACCGAACTCCCGCTCTCGAATGCTACGCATTTAATGTTTTTTTTATATTGCCGTGCTAGTCCCCGGTCTTGGGAAGCTTGGATTCGGTAATACTGTTATATATACTGGCAGTATCATAAAATGTCAATATATATCATATAATGTATCAGTATACTCATCTATAATGTAAATTCACATTTAAATTTAATTAAGTTAAAGGTTACTTAAAACAAACAATAACAGCCTCAAAAATAAAATCGCACACTACAATCTGTAAGATATGTTGCACTTGCCACTGTCAGTCAGTTGTCAGTGTTTGACAGCCAGAGCGGACGATATTCGGTACCGAAAATGTACAAATTTACGACCCATTTAAAAAATCCAAATTTGATTCTGGTTTGTACTTTTTTGTTACATGTTCATTTGTCAGCTTTAACCGGCGAAGCAAACTTATATATATTGATAATTTATTTATTTGTATCTTGTATTTATGTTTTGACAAATGTTGTTTAGATTGTAATTTTTATTTTACATTTACATTCGTTGTATATTTTATAAAAACAAATACTTATTAAAATTGAAATATACACAATAAATAATAGAAAACATGTACTTTGTTGTTGTTGTCCCTTACATAACATCAGCGTAACGTCATTTTCTCAATAGGTAACCTATAAATTGACAAGGTTAAAGCCAATGAGATGCCTGAAAAATGCAGAACGGGCTTTTTTAAACGTCATCGTTTTTTTTTTATAAATTGCTAAAGTTTCAAAAACAAAATTAAAGAAAATAAACTTGATAGTGATTTGAATGGCTGCAGTATTAAATGTTGGACAATATTTATTATTTTTAAACTAATTTAATTCTGTATTATCAGCCATACTCATTTAATTGTATTAGAGATACTTCTTAATTTCATTACATCTGTGATTTTGATTGTGTCTTAAGTTTTAATAACATGTGTAGAAGTAACTGAAAATATAAAAATGTTTTGCAGGTCAGAAAACACATCGGAGATACATCATGTACAGCATTAATAGTAATGAGGGCACCACACCGCACATATGCCCAAGATAAAGAATCCTGTCCTTCACCTAAGCCTCCCCAAAAATCCCATAAGCTCTTTTGGACGACTGTTGGTGCAACTGTTCTCACTGGTGCAGCCGTTGTATATGCTAAGTATGTCAATATGTGATTTTACTTTCTACAGAATTATTACCATAACAATGTTAAGAGCAGTGATAGAAAATTTATAAGATAGGGTAAAGTCCTGGTTGAGAAAAAATAAAATGAAAAGAGTTATATACTATTTAAGAATTTCCCTTCAATGACTTTTCTTAATAACATTTCAGAAACAGTCCAGATGCCCGTAACTGGTTGGAAACAAATGCACCATGGGCAAATGATTTTATTGCACTTGTGTATCAGGAGAACACAACTTATTGGAAAACAACTGTCAATCAAATTAGCAAGGCAAAAAGCAGTATCAGTAACTTCATGTTTGGAAAGGTAAATAATTTTATGATAAAATTAAAAAAAAGTAATTCACTTTATCTGCATGTTAGATAAATTTTTATAAAAATGTTTTATTAATATGGCACAAGATGGAGACATCAAACATTATTTAACTGTAAATTTTTTTTATGTGAAAAGTTGCCAAGTGAGCAGGTGGTTCACCTGATGTTAAGTGAATACCGCCGCCCATGGACATCTGCTAAAGGTAGGGTTTGCATATGCGTTGACAACCTCTTGAAAATTGTGCTCTGGCTACCTCACTCACCAGAAGAAATGTGAAAGTATTATACTTCCACTTAAAGCCGGTCTTCTGTGAGGTTGTGGTACTTACCCAGACGAGCCTGCTCTTTCATGCAACAGCCAAGGCTGCTGCGTGGCCCTACCACCTTTAAAATTTCATTAGTGAAGGTCAGTCTTTAATATTCATCAATAAGATGCCACTAGAAATATAGAAATTATACTCTGGTAAAGATTTCTTCACATTTCTTAGAGAGGCCATAGAGTTAGGTTTCATGATCACTGAATATTTTAGGAGGGTGTGTCTCCTCTCGATTTCAAACAACGGTCAGAACAAGACTTGGAAAAGGATGCTGCGAAAGCATTTACGAAAAAAGACTATGAATGTAAGTCTCTTAATCTCTTATTAAATAATTAAATTACTTTTTCATTAAGAAATGGAAATAGATAATTGCAATATCACTGAATTTTTGTAACAATTGTTTTATAATTTCATAATACATAGGTTGAATTAATGTGTTCCTCCTTATTAAGAAATCGATTATAATATTAAGTTTTGTATCAAATGTTCAAGCATAACACATTTCTAAAATAATCTTTACTAATATTATGTTTCATTGATAAACTAAAATTTCAAAATTTTCATTTAGACATGTCAGCTGTACAAAGTTTTCATACAAAAATAGAATAAAACACAGTTTGTTGCATAACAAATAACATAAATCATTGATTTTGCTAACAATTCATTACTTGTTGAAACAGTACCCCCTCCGAAATTTGAACCCCTCTATGTTGAAGAGAAACCTGCATTGAAGCCTGAAGTTGAAACCACTGGTAAATATCAATTGTTAAAATTTGTAGAAATCTCATTCATCTTATGTGTAGAGATTAGCACTATAAAATTAAGATCTTAATTGTGTTTATTCTCTTGCTATCCCTTTTTAACACACCATGTTACGAAGAAAAAAGTAATTTTCATGCAAATTCCTTAACTTGAGCATTTTCAATAACCACACTTTAATTCCCAGTTTACTCGTATCTTTATAATAAAATCACTTGCTACCCTCATCTTCTCTAAGTGGTTTACAGCATGTGAACCATGCTAGAAGCCATGATTTTAACAATTTCTAGATGTTCTAATGTCAACACTTATTGGGAACGACACTTAAAATCGACAACACGCACTCGGTGTCACGCATCGGAAAAATTCACTGTCATATTTTTTTCCAAACGCGAAAAAACAAGTAATATCATAGTGTAATATTAATTTTTTTCGTATGCACTAATTGATACAATCACCTCGTATTTTCTCAGTGGCAACACTAGTGCAGACCGAGGAGTGCCCCCCACGGGAGCCCGAGCCCATAGTCATCACTAAGGACATGGTCGAGCTCGAGCACGAGATGCACGAGAACACAAAAGCGGCGGTGGACGGCTACAAGCAGGCGTTGCAGTACTGCGTCGACTACAACAAGGCACTATTCAAAGTAGGCGGAATCGTTCGATATTTGAATTCGTTCCTTTAGGTTTGTTCAAGAAGAGGAGAGCCTTTTGCTTCGTCAAAGGCCGGTAACGAATTTGTCACTCATTAGATGTTCTAGGTTTAAAATATCTATATTATATATATCTTATATATAAAAATGGATTGCTGTTCGTTAGTCTCGCTAAAACTCGAAAACGGCTGGACCGATTTGGCTAATTTTGGTTTTGTAACATTTGTGGCAGTCCAGAAAAGGTTCAAACGATGAGAAATGATGGAAAAATTGCATGGAAAATCGAAATAGGAACAATTTTATTTCCCCCTAGAAACTGTTCCTACCTGTTAAACATATTATGCTTGCGTTCCGAAAATTCTTTTTCTATGTGTTCTGATTAACAAATTGACTAGAAATATTTTATATGGCAAAACAACATTTGCCGAGTCAGTTAATATTAAATAAAAATATTTAATTATCAGTAATTATAGGTAAACGTAACTTTCACTCGGCAGGTGGTGGAGTCACCGCTCGCCGATTTGGACAAGAAACACTTTACTGCGATAAAGAGCGCTCTCGGCGAGAGGGACAGCATAGCGAAGAAGGCCAAAGACGCCGCCGCTAAGGCGAAGTGCGCGATCGGTCAGTGTTTCTATACGTGTACTATGCGTGTCGTCAACATCATGATCATAATTTCAGAAAACAAAGATGGCGGTTTTCATCATCATCATCATAAAAAATTAAATTGTTTATAGTTCTAATCTTTGCACTTAAGATTGAACATTAAAATATGTAGAAAAAGTACGAAAAGATTGTCGCCGCTGTGGGAATCGAACCCACGTCTTCGGCATTCGCGGCCTGACGCTCTAGCCACTGAGCTAAACGGCTGATGACCACACCGACGAAAATCTTAACGCATTCCTCTACATTGTTTTCTTAGCATTTGAAGCAATGCTTGGCGCCATCTATTGTTATATCCTTTCCAGCATACAAACAATTTCCAATATCGTTTTACAACGATAATTCGAACGAGAGATGTCGCCATTGCTTTTTTAAAAATTTAAATTGTTTATAGTGCTAATCTTTGCATTTAAGATTGAACATTAAAATATGTAGAAAAAGTGCGAAAAGATTGTCGCCGCTGTGGGAATCGAACCCACGTCTTCGGCATTCGCGGCCTGACGCTCTAGCCACTGAGCTAAACGGCTGATGACCACACCGACGAAAATCTTAACCGCATTCCTCTACATTGTTTTCTTAGCATTTGAAGCAATGCTTGGCGCCATCTATTGTTATATCCTTTCCAGCATACAAACAATTTCCAATATCGTTTTACAACGATAATTCGAACGAGAGATGTCGCCATTGCTTTTTTAAAAATTTAAATTGTTCATAGTGCTAATCTTTGCACTTAAGATTGAACATTAAAATATGTAGAAAAAGTGCGATAGTTTTGATCAACTTTATGAAGATTTTTTTTAATTTTATGTGAACTCATGGAAATCAAGCAAGCTGTTCACCTATTGCGATGTGGTTTCCGTCCATGGACATTAACAACACCACTTGGGTTTGTTCTCAACTCTCAGTACCATTGCGAACCTTAAAAAATAATCCCCGGGTGGTAAAACCACCTCACTCACGTTGGTTGATCATGACTACCCGGACTAGTCCATTCGTGCAACAGAAGCCTTTGATGGCCGTACAATAGTAGAGTAAAAATTGATTGATTTTAAATTCCAGAGACGCTGGACCGAATGATAAAGGCGGGCGTTAAAGCGCCGCCTGAGAGTATTGCCGCCACGCAGCGCTACATAAAGAAGTTCAGAGCGGACCTGGAGGAGGTCGAGAGAAACTATTCGGAGGAGGTGGAGAAAGCAGTCCTCAGTGACAGATACTGGAACAAGGTAAGAGCAACTAAGAAAAAGCGACCGCTAATGTTTTTATTTTATAGGGTTCCGTACCCAAAGGGTAAAACGGTTCTATTACTAAGACTACCCTGTATGTCTGTCTGTTTGTCCGTCTGTCAGTCCAGGCTGCATCTCATGAACCGTGATAGTTAGAGAGTTAAAATTTCCACACATGATGTGTTTCTGTTGCCACTATAACTATCCTAAAAAAACAGAAAACAAAATATTCAAGTGGGACTTCCATACAACAAACATGATTTTTTTGCCTTTTCTATAGATAATGGTACGGAACCCTTCGTGCGCGAGTCCGTTTTTTTTTAAATCCCACTCTGCAACCGCGATAGCTCACTGTCCGAGCGCTCGCTTTTAATTCGATTCACTCGAGCAACTTGAGTTTTTTTTTATGGAAAAGAGTTTGATCCCCGGTGCCAGTGTAACTGCATCAATGACGCGTTCCCAGTTCGGTGTAAAATTTACCACGTCTTATGTGGTTCCAGGTCGAGGCGGCCAGGAACGAGTTCAGGGACGAGCTGCAGATGCTCTTCCCTGGGGTGGATCTCAGCGCTCGGAAACTGGACATACAGGGCGACACCGATTTGCTTCTTATGTACACCCTGAAGAAGGTAACTGTTGGCCCATCTCTCTATTTATTTATTTATTTATTTAAAAAGGTACACCAACAGTACATGTATACATATTATAAAAGTTACATTTTTAAAGCACAATTCCTTATACATATACCTATTATAGGCGTACACAACATTGACAGGAGATATATAACAACACAATATTAATGTAAAAAATTGAAAACAATAAAATAGTAAAATTCACCAAAGTAAAACTAAAAACTTAACTGAAAACAAATGCCTGTTCACAAAAGGCCGGCAAGTTTTCATTTAAATTTAAACAACGAGTCGTGGAAAATGTCTGTTTCTATATTCATCTCCTTGTACTGTGCACAACATCTGGCAAGAGGAGAATGGCGTCCAAGGTTAGTCCTTACAGAAGGCAAGGCAAAAGATTTTTTGATAGGATGTCGGGGTATGCGAGCTGGCACTGTCAATTTAACACGTTCCTGGAGTTCACTACATTTTATTTTACCGTTGACAAGCCCAAATCATGGTGTTTTTGCACGGGCTCTTCTACTGTTGCTCTTCGACGGCAACGCACTCTAAAGGCGGCTAGACTGTAGCGAACTGCTTAGTACAATTAAATTAATGCTCCTAACAGGATACCCAGGAAAATCATTTAATTTATTTGTTATGTTAGTATTTAAAACTATACTCAAACAATTTTCAATACTAGAAAGATTGTTTAAAATATTTAACTTTGTCACAAAGTCATGTTATAGATTTAGTTTAAGATACCATGTAGTTATTTAGGTATTTCTAAGCATGTTTGATGTGTATGTCGTTGGTGAATTAAATAAATAAATAAATGAGCATGATCTCAAAGTGCTGCAGAGGTCAAAAATACAATTATTGTGGAAGGTTGCCCATTAACGCATCAGTATCTAACTTTTCTATTATCGTTTTCAGGTTCAATTCTTACAAAACGAAATCGCTGAGCTCCAAACTGTTCGAGAGTTGAAAATAAACAGAGCTATTGAATGTGAGTACTACTTTTTTATTAATGGCTATGCTGAGAGGATTCAATTCCCATATTGAACAAGTAGCTCTTTAAGTTATAATAAATGAACTATGTAAAATTTGAACAATTGAATTATGGTTAATAAAAACTTAATCTCAATGATATAATTCATGGATTGTCATCCCTATAATCTTCAAATCTGCAATATCTCGCAAAACTGATATCAGTCAAAAAACACGAATCCCCCGTCAATAGATTATTTGCAAGGCTGTTAAAATAATAAGAATTGTCCTAATTTTTATAATAAATGATGGTGTATGATGAAATGATAGGTAGAATGATGTCATTAAGAACTATACATAATTAGATATTCATTAGGACAAAAAAATAACTCAGTTTTTCTCAAGACTATGTTCAAGGCTTTACAAATTTTCGTACGGTAAAGTCTGTTAAAATATTTTATTGTCTGTTCAAGGCCACGACGAGAAAGCAATAATCGAGGCCAAGGTGGAAGAAGTAATCAAACGGGAGACGCTTCAGAAAGAGTTGGAATTCCAAAAGAAGGTAATTACTTTTTACGGAAAAAAATCTTGATAACTCTGTATAAAATATACATATTATGTAAGCCATTGGGTGTAAGCTTAGGAATAGTATATTACTATTATTAGCAGTGAAAGATGAAATTTAAATGAATTATGTAAAATATTATTGTAGCCATGATAGCTCAGTGTCCGGGCGCTCACCTTTAATTAAATTTACTTGAACAACCTGAGTTCGACCCACGGTGATACTGACTACATAAATGAAATTAATAATTTTAAGTGCTAAAAGAAAATATTTCGAGAAATATGTGAAGTCCGCACATTCCGCAGTGGGGTCGCGTGGTGAATTATGCCCTGATACCCTCTTTACAGAGAAGGCTTTTGCCCATCAGTGGGACATTATAGGCTGGTTACTGACTGTACTTTACTTTTTATACAACATTATTATCACAAGAAAATATTGTCATTGCACAATAATACTGTGAAATAAAACTAATGAATTCTAATACTGCAATAGTCCGTTTTAGTTTTTGTTTGTCTAAAAAATGTAAGGCATAATATAAGCATTTTTAAAAGGAAGCGTTATGTATTACACACACTTTGCAAAATGAGAATACAGGTCAGCGTAATATTAAAAAAATATTCACAATTCCATACAAACATTTTTTATATCCATCTAAATAAGCTGTGGAAGTAAGCAAGGATTTTACATCTAGATATTCCGTGTCTAAATGTTGATTATTCTAATAATTATTTATGTATTTCGCTTATGTAGTAACACTGTGTTTGTATTATTTCAAGAGCCTCGCAGTGCAATCTGAAGCCAATAGGAAAATGAAGGAGCAGCTCAAGAGACAGTTTGAGATCCAACAAGAGGTTTTGCAGGACAAGTTGAAAGCAAAGGATGCTGAGGTAATATTCTAATAAATATTCAATATTTTGAATAAATATTTTAGGACACATTTTATTACACAACATTCTCTAGCCCAAACTAAGCAACTTGTACTTTGGGTACTAGATAACTGATAAACATACTTAAACATACTTTTCTTTTGTAAATAAATACGTATTAAACATATATAAACACCCAGACACTAGAAAAACAGTAGTGGGGATCGAACCCACAACCTCTGGCGTAGGAAGCAGGCACACTACTCACTACGCCATTCGGGTCGTCTAACATGTAACCTGGATTTATTGTTTTTCCATAGCTAAATATACAGCGTGTCGTTACAAACGCGACAATAAATGAACACACATATAGAGGATAACATTTTAAAATAGTATTAAGCATTTACATTCTTTAAACATCAATATTTACAGAGTTATTAAATTTTCCAAAACAAACAATTTTAGAACAACCTTACGTATAAAACTGTAACGTAAAGTTCATTTGTAAAGGTCACAAATTATGAATGGGTTGAATGAATTTAAAAGAGATAAAATATACTGTTAGAAGGAGAGACTTTTAATGCGACGTTGTGGCAACGAATGAAAAAGCCTCTGAATGTATGAATGTAATTAGTTTGTACTTACTTTTTATATTTTTTTATGATAATTGGAAAGTAGCGTTAGATGTGTGTTCATTGATTGTCGCGATTGTAACGACAGGCTGTATATAGACGCGATAGGCTTGATATCCCTAGGGTCTAGGCGCTCGTTTGTAGTTCTTTAAACTCGAACAACCTTATATTAAATCCTTAGATTTACACGTGTCAATATTACACTACTGCATTTCGTCTGGTGAGTGAGGTAGCCAGGATCCACTTTGTTAAGAGTTGGCAACGTATCCGCAACCTTTAATGTGCGGGAGACAAACCCCTCCACCCCCCCTCAGTTCCCATACAATGTATCATGCTAAGTTTGTTCCTGTTCCTATCTCAAATATCATATAAATCTTTGCCAATATTATAAATGCGTACAATTTGTTTATTACATCAATTTATCGGGTTATTCTAAACAGTTGAACAAAGCGTCACATCGTCCATTTTATTAGCGATAGAATGAAATATAACGTTCGAAAGAGGTCGAATAATTAAGTTATGCAATTTTGAAATAATAATAACAAATAAATACTTAAATGTCATTTTCGTCGCCTTATGTCAGTTTAAAAACTTAACTTTTAAACCAAACAGATATTGCGTACCTACAACAAAGCGGTGTCGGAGCAAGTCGAGAAAGAGCGCGTCGTTTTCAAGAAGGACATGGCGGCCATGGCCGGCAAGCTGATGGCCATAGAGCAGACATTGAAACGTGAGTGTTGCTCCTTTATTTCTTACCGGTTTCTATCGGACCGGTTTATCCGTTTCCTACTAAATGCTGTAAGCGGATAGAAAACGATAGCCTTGGTGTTTGTTAACACCATTATCTATAGTTAACGATACACGTTACTTTTCCTTTCAACGATAGTACTGACATGACCACATGTTGTATTTGGAAAAGTAATGACTGGTCATTTTGTAAACGTATAACATATTATTTTTTTTTTAAATAAAACATTGCCTTCACTTTAGGATAACATTATCCTGTGTTGTAAGGACGTTTTACAAACATAAATTGCACGAGGACAAACACCCAGATGCGAAACAACTATCTGTGGGTCACACAAATAGTTGTCCCGTGTGGGAATCGAACCCACGACCCCCGACGCCGAAGCCAATACCTTGGCAACTGCGCCACAGAGTCATCATATCTATTAATTATATAAAATGTGTTTAGACACCCAATTTTGGCTGTCCTTACTTATACTAAGAACACTAAACAGTGTGATTGAAAAAAATATTTTTGGAAATAACAAAGAACCATTTAATTTTTCACGAAGAAGGCACAACATGTTATAAACAACAGGTTTATCGTATTCTAACGTTACTTTTTCGTACAACGATACAATTTGGCTTTCTGCCAAACCAATCTTGTTCCGCATCAGATACATCGAGAGTTGTTTGTGTTAGGTTCATTATTGTATTAGGTTAAGCATCTGTAATTAATAAATGTAATAATTAAATGAATGAATAATTTGTTTTACATATTATACCTGCACACTGCTTGCACATGCTTTCTGTATATTAATAGTTGAATAATAATAAAGTAAAGTAAAGTATCAGCCTATACATGTCCCACTGCTGGGCAAAGGCCTCCTCTATACAGAGAATAATAATAATTGTAGACTAATTGTATTTTATTGTTTTATTGTATATTAACAGTTGAATACCTTAATGTCATTTAATCGAAACTAACAACGTTAAAAAACGTATGTAGATATGCGCATCCGGCACATTGATTTTAACTAGGGTTTCCATGCGCTCTATGACCGATGGACCTACCCAAGTAAAGCGACAACTTTACGGCTACGACCGAAAGCATCATCCGACAAAAATAAAGATACATGTTTCTTGTTTTGATGCAATGTTACACAGCAACTCGACATTGGCGCAGCGCTGCAATTGTCTTGCTCTGCACGCACTCCATGGATGTTTATAGACCCTAATAAAAAAGGACACAGATGGTGGCCCACCGATAAAACAAATGCTCCGCGTCCGCTTGAAATAAAATAATCTCTGTTTACAATAGAATCTAAGCGCACATTATAAATAATACATGTAATCTGTTTGTACGTAAAGGTATATCTAATAACATATTACGAATAATAAACACACGGCGAACACGGATCCATCGGGACAAATAAGTTAGCCGCCTCATCCCTGCACGGTTCACCAGCCGCAGTACTATCTACATATCTTATCCTTTAAACGAGCAATTCTTGTATATATATATATATATATATATATATATATAATCGGAATCTTGGAAACGGCTCCAGCGATTTTCATGAAATTTAGTATATGCGTAGATTCGGAGGCGAAAAATCGATCTAGCTAGGTTTAATTTTTAGAAAATGTCCCTTTATCCCTGTTTTCAGGGAATGAAAAATATAATTCGAATCTGACGGTAAATTTCGCCGCAAGAGAAAATGTCATAATAGCTCGGTCGGTAATCGGGCGGCCCCGAAACAGACGGCCGTGGTTCGCGTCACGATCATTTACACATATATTTTTTTTACTTTTTTTTCGATTCCAGATCATTGCTTTCTTTATTTTTAATTTTTTGTCGATTTGTTATTTTGTTATTTTTTTCCCTTTTTTTAGTTCTTTTTTTTGTGAAAAACATCAGTTCATATTTTCTTATTATTACGTCGGTAAGATCGAAAAATATTGTGCATATTTCATTACTCAGTAATTTGTATCTAAATGTAATTTCTAAAATACACGATTTACCAAAAAAAAAAAAACCCGAAAAGGTCCTCCGGGTACTAATACATTTAAAAGAGCAATTCTTGTATATATTATGTATCTGAATGGTGGGAAATCGGGCGGTCCCGAGACAAGAAGACCCCCGGTTCGAGTGCAGATGATTATTTTTACCCCCACCCCCCTTTTATTTTTTTCAAGCTCCTTCCTTTTGTGAACGAGGGTCATCCGGGTACTGTTAGTTGTAATGCATTAATTAGGTGAATAAATGATATTCCGATCGGAACGCCTGTAGAGCGCGCCAAGGCCGAGGAGGAGGCGCGCCGCTCGCAGTCGCTGTGGGCGGCCGGCGAGGCGCTGCTGGCCGCCACGAGGCGGGCCGCGGCCGCAGCCGCCGTCCACGACGAGCTCGCCGCCCTCGAGAGGGCCGGTGAGTGCGACACGTCGATCGCTCGCAATCAACACCAATCACCCTAAATCATCACCAGTCACCGTCAATCTCCCTTGGTCATCGTCAATCTCCCTTGGTCATCATCAATCTCCCTTAGTCATCATCAGTCTCCCTTAGTCATCATCAATCTTCATTAGTCATCGTCAATCTCCCTTAGTCATCATCAATCTCCCTTAGTCATCATCAATCTCCCTTAGTCATCATCAATCTCCCTTAGTCATCATCAACCTCCCTTAGTCATCATCAGTCTCCCTTAGTCATCATCAATCTCCCTTAGTCATCATCAATCTCCCTTAGTCATCGTCAATCTCCCTTAGTCATCATCAACCTCCCTTAGTCATCATCAATCTCCCTTAGTCATCATCAATCATCACAAATTACCAACAATATTCGTCAATCACCGTCGGTCACCATCAATTGCTATAAATCGTCACCAATCACTTTAAATCATCACCAATCATCGTCAATCGCAACCAATCACCTAAAATCATCACCAATCAGCACATTTGACCTTAAATTTGACTGTGGTAGTACCACGCAACAGTGTCCACTGTTGCTCGAATAGGCAAGTCCGTCCAGTTAAGTACCACGACCTCACAGAAGACCGGTGTAAAGTAGAAGTGTTACACTTCTGCGTTTCGTCTGGTGAGTGAGGTGGCCGGAGCCCAATTTTCAAAAGGTTGTCAAGCATATGTCCATGGGCAGCGGTATTCATTTAACATCAGCTGAACCGTCTGCTCGCTTAGCAACTTTCCACATAAAAAAACAACTATCTTCTACTTCAAACCAACACTTCTTATGAAAGGGTTAACGACCATCAATCACATTTATTCACCGCCATGGCAACATCTGGTTGATAACGAAAATTATATTTTATAGTATGTACGTAAGGTATATGACTTCTACCAAAATCCGATACAATTACGGTCTTGTTTTATTTTTGGGATTTTTAGTATCCCGGTTATTTTATCATCAAGCAGGTTTACCATGTTTGTCATATATGTATGACCTATGAACATAAAACTCTAAAGGAATGTGGTTGTTTTGAATCGCATTATAATTGAAGGAAGTTCTTCTTACATCTGTATAAATTTCCAGGCAAAGACGACAAACTGGTGGAGACAGTTTTGAAGAGCATACCGCAGGAAGTACGCCAGAAGGGGATCGCAACTGAGAAAGCGTTATTAGAGAAGTTCGATAAGGTAACTGGTGCTTGTAGTTATGAACGCAGAACGTTACGGACGAAATTCGACCATTATTATTTTTACGTTTGAAAAATATTAATCTATTCTGAAATTAATACACAATACACAATAAACAAAACAGTGTGAATTTATGAAGTCATGTATATCATTCATTCCCTGAAAACTGGGATAAAAGGACATTTTCTAAAAATGAAACCTGGCCAGATCCTTTTTTCGCCCCCGAATCTACGCACATACTAAATTTCATGAAAATCGCTGGAGTCGTTTCAGAGATTCTGAATATATATATAAATTTTCGTGTGTGTGTTGAATACATGATGTCGTGCTCAGCAGTGAAGTGAAACATCGTGAAGAAACCTGAATATTTATGAAATAATAAGAAAAAGAAAATATTCCGAAAAGTATGTAAAGTCCGCCAATCCGAAATGGGCCCGCGTGGTGCACTATGCCCTGATACCCTCTGTATAGAGGAGACCTTTGCCCAGCTGTGCGACATTTATAGGCTGTTAATTTACATTTCTTTTACGGTTGTCTATGGTTTAACATTTGATTTCATTTCCCCATTCAGATGGAGAAGACCGCTGCTAAGGTGGCTCTAGTAGGCCGCGATGGCGCCTCCTTACCCGTTTACTTCCTGTCCTGGCTTCAATCCAAACTGCTGTTCCAAAAGGTATGTTTTATCATTCAATTGACCAAGTATATGCCTGAAGCTACGATAGCTCAGTGCCCGGATGCTTTTAATTTAGTATACTTAAGCAACTCAGTTTAAATCCCGGTGGCGTACCGATAACATTGTTAGATGAAACTTAAAGTGCTTAAATGTCACGTGCTCTGCCGTGAAATAATACATTCTAAGTATACTCTGCTCTCTTCATTATGTCTCATCAGCAAAAATTCTTTTCGCAGTGGTTGTCTGGAAGAAATCGCTTTCTGAGCGATAATACCGCCTATTGTACTTCCCTTCACATTCACTTGTAATTTGCTTTATATATATATATATTTTTGTTGTACATTAAAATATAAATAAAATGTAAGATGTTTTTCGATGATAATATGTGAGTCAGGACTATATCCAGTGGAAAATAAGGAGACTGATAATTTGCCACTATTACTTACCAGTCAAGGTCTCCCAGATTTATATGAACAAAACTGGGAACCTTTCTCTCTTTTTTAACCAGCATCATTTTGTCAATAAACAAAATGTGTAAATGAAAAAAACTCTGGCCGCAGCCGGGACTCGAGCTTTGCAAAATTTGTATACATATACAAATTTTGTAAAAGTGTTTAATGTATACACATTTTGCATTTTTAAAATGTCTTAAAAAACATTATCGTACCTATAAACGTACCTTCAGTAACTACCTCGTCTACATTTTCCGTGTAAAAATGCTGGAATTTTGACTTTATCTTTCCTTCCAGTTTGCCGAAATCCCCGAAGACGAGCTGAAGAACAAACCGACCGACTTCTCTAAACTGGACACATTCGATATCATTCAGAGGGCGAGGTATGTTTATTCCGTTAGCCAACTAAATGATAGGTTAGTTTGGCACTTTTGCTGTTGTTGCAAGATTGGCGAACTGCCGTGCTATTTCAGTTGATGTATGTCGATTTAAGAACGGTCGAGATTAACAAATATTATTGTACACTCGCGGACCAGTAAAATAATATGACTGGGCCACGCATATCGACAGTGAAGCAACGTTATGGGTAAAATTTAAAATTAAATATATCTTTCGTATAAATGACAAAAAAACGCGATTATATATTTATCAACAGTTTACTTTCTTTAAATAAATTATCCATCACCCCCTCCGCCCCGAATTACCACCTAAGTGGTGGGGTCGGCACAACATGTGAATCGTGTTGCAAGTGTTTTTGCCTACGATCTTTTGATCAGCCGCCTGCCCCTTTTTTACCTGAGAATAATGCTGAAAGTGAAATTTTGAGATGCGCGCGCATCGGTGTAACACAAAAATAACAACTTTGAAGCTGCCCGCTAAACCGCTTTTTTATAGATGGCAGCATATTCTCAATCATATTCGCCCGTTACAGTTCTCAATAAAGAATGTAGATGGCGCATTCATAATTTTATTATTTATTTGCAATTAATTATTTGCATGTAGTTAAAAACTATTTTTTAATGATGGTAAAGAAGTATCACTCATCACGCGCGTACATAAGTACACGCACCCATTTTTTTTTCAAAACTATGCCCTTACTGTACGTTTGCAATATCCTGTGTTGTGAGAGCGTATTAAATGCATAAGTTTCACGCGGACAATCACTCACATTCGAAACAATCATCAGCGGGTCACACAAACAGTTGTCCTTGTCCTTACATACTGTGATGACGATGAATGAAAGAATGAATGAATGAACCAATGAATGAACGAATGGATGAACGAATGAATGAACGAATGAATGAACGAATGAATGAACGAATGAATAAAATGAATGAACGAATGAATGAACGAACGAATGAATACTTTATTGTCCACCATACATAAACGGATACACAAAATTAACAGACGCCGGTGATGACCACCGTACATCGGCAGGTACCACATGGACCACGGCGACTTGCAGTCCGCCCTGAAGTACGTGAACCTGCTGCAGGGCGCCCCGAGGGCGGCCACCTCCCGCTGGGCCACCGCGGCCCGCCAGCACCTGGAGGTGCGGCAGGCCGCGGAGGCCGTGATGGCCCACGCCTCCGTCTCCGGCCTCCTCTACCTCTGAGCCCCGGCTCCGAAGCCGACACCACTAGCCGTGCATCAAATACCGACATGAATCTGTATTTTTGGCTACGTATTTACATTGTGAAATTCGTCGCTATGTGGTGTACCTATTCTCTTATGCCCGATTCCTATATTAAACGACCGACCGTTAGTTACATTGCTTCGTAAATTTCACAACATTTTTAAAGGAAGGCTAGTAACTCACTTTCCGTGGGTAATGCAACGGCTCGTAAGGACGACGCCTCGTTTTGTTAATATAGGAACCCGGCGTACACGACTTTTATCTACAATATAAATCTGTAATTTCGTCTGTGTATTGGTCCTTGTGGATAAAATACTGATTAATATAAAATTTTAATTTTCGCCTACATATTGTCGTGGCGGATCAAATGCTGATATAATTTTGTATTTTCGCCTGCGTATTGTTGTTGCGGATTAAATACTAATATAAATCTGTATTTTAGTCTACATAATATTTTTGTTGCGGACGACATACCGATACGCATCCGTATTTCAGCTACATATTTTCAGAAATTCGCAGCCGGTTTGTGGGGTACTCTTACTTTAACTCCATTTATTGTTAATATCGCATTCTTCGAATTAAAAAGAACTTTTGCTTCGGTTCTCATCTCGATGTGAACGGAATATGTGTAAAGAGCGATTCGTTTTCTCTAAATTTTTAATACGAATTTTTTTTTAAATCTAAAATGAAATTTCACGCATCTGTTTCGAGAAGCGGAGTGTGCGGCAATTACTGTTCTAATAATTGGGGGGAAAGGTTGAAATTTCAAGTTTCGCGTTAAATTATTTATACTTTTGGCTACAATTACCAACTTATATATGAAATCTTAAAGATGAATTCAATATCCCTTGGTAAAATCTTAGTCCTTTTACCCGTATTAGTTAATAAACATAATAAGTAGTTTGGTGAGATTACTTTGGTAAGAAAAAAACGAGAGAGAGAAATATCTTGGAATGTAAAACTGCATTTAAACGCGAAATGAAACTAAAATTGTCACCGTAGTACTGAAATTGGAAGGTTGTGCAATTCCAATACTTCTTGTAAATATTTAAAGTTGTAATTTAAAGAAATTAGAGAATGAATATTGATTATGTTCGTTCGTTTCATTTCGGAAACCCCTCCTGAAGTCCGTTTCTTTTCGTCCGTTTTTATTGTATCGAAATTCTTAGACCGCTATTTTTTATGTGAGCTGGTGTGGTAAATTATCGCCTATTTTAAGTGTCAGCGAGCTGGTGGTTGCACCTGATATCCGCCGCACATGGACATTTGCGACACTCGTAGGGTTGCAGATGCGTTGCCATTTTACAATAAAGTGGGCGGTTACGAATGTTTGCACGTCAAGTACGTATATCGCAAAAGCAGTTTTGAAATTTTTTGCCTCCCTGTTTGTCTGTTTGTTGCGGCTAAACTCTGAAACCGCTGGATCGATTTTAACGGGGCATCCTTTTTTACTAATTTTATTTTGAATAAGATTTAGGGTTCTGCGGAAAAAAATAAAATCCGTAAGTCTAAACAAATAAGTAAATAATACTGTGTTATAAAGCGTAATTTATTAATAAATTAATATTAAAATATGTAGAAAAAGTGCGAAAAGATCACAATCTTTTCGCACTTTTTCTGCATATTTTAATGTTCAATCTTAAGTGCAAAGATTAGCAATATAAACAATTTAAATTTCTTAAATTAATATTTTAAAAATTTTTGTTCGTTTTTTTATTTTATGTACTGGTTCAAAAAGGTTACATGACAAATCCCTCATAATTCTGTAGATTTTTCTTTATAAGACGCTGTCAAACACAAACGTCACAACAATACGATATCGGAACAAATTTGGATATGTAAAAAAATCTTATATACGAACAATTGAAACAATGCATAGGATAGCAAGCCGTTTTCTCAAAAGTGGGACCGTTATGGTGAGTAACGTCTATAAGTAATTTTAGGATATATTCCTAGCAGGTCAAAAACTGAAGTCCTTATTTAGGTGGTAATTTATGATGGCCTCGTACATTTACTATGTTATGTAAGTAATGAACACATTATATGACTAGATTTCAACCAAATGCAGTACATCTTTATAATATTATCTATTTCACAAAAATATTGTTTTTTTTTATGAGACAGGTTGCCAAGTGTTCACCTGATGTTAAGTGAATAGCGCCGCCCATGGACACCTACTACACCCGAGGGTTGCAGATGCTTTGACAACCGTTTGAAAATTGGGATTCGGCTACCTCACTCACCAGACGAAACGCGAAAGTATTTATTATCCTTCCACTTTAGGGTAGGTCGCGGTACTTACCCGGACGAGCCTGCCCATTCGCGCAACAGCCGAGGCTGCTGCGTGGCCCTACTACCGTAATCTCCGTTTCTTCTATTCTTCCAAAAGCAACTTTGTGACCTTATCAAAGAGTCTAGGATGTTTTTTTAAACGATTTCATTTTCCAACGGAGTTCTAGCTGTGTGCCCACCCTGTCATGGTTGCAAAGCCCTACAGGCAATTCCGTATCGATATTGTTGATGTAAACAATCGTTTATCATTTAAACAGTAAATGATGTTTAAATAAAAATCCTCTCATTTTTCGTGTGATAGTACTTGTACGTGATAGCATATTTATTTAAACTGAAAAATGGCGCAAATATGAGTCTTTATGTTCAGATTATGTATTTGTGCCATTTGCTGTAGAAACATTAGGTCCGTGGGGTCCCCGCACATCAATTTTTTTTAAAAGTTTATGTCCTAGGCTTAAAAATGGTGACAAGAGAGCTGGTTCTTTTCTCGCGCAAAGGTTGAGCATAACTATTCAGCGAGGAAATGCAGCTAGCGTTCTTGGCACCATGCCGCGTGGATTAGGTTTATTAGATAATATGTAATTTTAGATAGATTTAATCTTGTAAATATTAGATCAATAAAGATTGTCCTTAAGAAAAAAAAAAAAAAAAAAAAACTTAGATGTCACTTAGTTTCTTCAAGGTATGAAAACTTTTTTACTATGTTTTTTTTTACAAAACGGACAGACCTATACGACCGACCATTTCCTCTGCTATTAATAATGCACGTGTACTAACCATACAAGTGACGATATATGTCCTACTGCAGTTTAGACACGTGAATGGCGTACAAATTATTACTAAAAACACATCCTAATGGTATAAGCTGACACAAGCGCAATTTTTATTATTATTTATTTATTTATACTTTATTGCAACCTTTCAAACACAATCCCAATTTTTATTATTAGATATTTATTTATTTATACTTTATTGCAACCTTTAAATAAAAAGGATTACAAAGGGCGAACTTAATGCTTTTTGGCATTCTCTCCCAGTCAATCCACGCCACGCCCCTGGTGAGAAATTGTGGTAGGTGCAATTATTACATTATGCTCATGTTAATTTTCTTATGCTCATGTCAATCACGCCCAGTATCCCAAGGTGGAATATCAACTGTCCCGGTTTTCCGGGGCTTCCCCGAATTACAAATACAAAAAGCACGAGAACCGCGAGCCATGCCCGTTGCCCCCTCCCCCGCCGAAACCCAAGGCCGCCGACGACAGCCTCTTGTGGGGGGCGATGTTTTTGGCCACGATTGCCGCAGGCATAGCGGTGTACGCTAAGTGGGTATTGGTATTACAATTATTTATCTATTAGTGGCATATCATCTTAATCATTTCAGCATATTTGAGTCCACTGCTGAACATAGGCCTCCCTCACAGACTGCCACGAAGCACAATCCTGAGCCACCTGCATCCATCGACTTCCCGCACACTTTCACAGTGGTATATATTATTTATTATTTTACGCGAATCGTTCGGAATTTCAGACTTAAAGGTTCACATGGCAAAAAGATCGGTTTGTTAGTTTGCGTTCGTCTTGAGGGACGGTGATCAGACCATGGTATAAACAGTTCGGATATGAAGTATTAAGTACGTTTATAAGCTGTGGTAGAGTCACGAGGTGGTCTTGTGCCGCTTGGTCAGGCTAGGCCAAATGGGGATCTCTCATCATCATCATCAGCCGCAAGACGTCTACTGTTGATCATAGGCCCCCTCTCTTAGAACGCCGCAACGAATGACACGTTGCCATTTGCATCCACCGGTTGCCCGCGACTCTTATAAACTTACCATCGCTGTCTTGTAAAACATCGGCTAGACGTGGAAATATTTATAAATGTGCCATGTACATTCACAATTGTTGTGCACGTTCATGGCCGGTGACGATCGGATGCGATAAGGCGAGCCTTTTGCTGCTTTCATAGGTTTAAATATGTTCGAAAAGGACCAGCATTACATGCAATGCTTTCGGAATGCAGCGGAGTTTGCAAAGCAAATTTTAAGCTATTTTATTCAACGCTCCATGGCGTCTCTGACCTCCACTGAAGCTATGGAAGTCTAGATATTTTGCTCAATTCCGTGTTATTGCAAAATTTGATGGAAATTATAATTTGAGAGCCGTGATAGCTCAATGTCCGGGCTTTTATTTAATTATATTCGAGCAACCTGAATTCGATCCCCGGTGCCGGCACCAATGAAATTGTTCATTTCAAGTGGAGAAGTGAAGAAGGAATAATAACAAAAAAAATATTAACGATATATAATAACGAATAATAGTAATAACGAAATATAATAACGAATAAATAATAGAAACGAAATATAACAAAAAATATTTCAAAGATATGTGAAATTGGCAAATCCGCAGTAGGGCCACGTGGTGGAGTATGCTCTTATACCCTCTGTACAGCGGAGGCCTTTGCCAAGCAGTGCAGCAGTATAAAGGCTTTATAATTTTATGACATTGTAAATAAAATAGTAATGAGCGATCGAATGATGAAATAATTAGATACAAAGAATACAGCCGTAGAAGAAAACAGGATATATTCAAGCTTCCAATCAATTCCATTTTCTACCTCAAAGAAAGGCAACGCATTCGTAACATCTGTGGTATGGTGGTAATCACTTACAAGCCGGTAGCAGCTTTGCATTCTTTACAAAGAAAAAGAAATTAACAAAACCTGAATTGAGCAGAAGAAATTAATTTTCTATGCGTGCATTTGTATGCGCTATGCTCGAACGGTTAGCATCGCGGAGTCATTAATGATTCATATACATACATATGTGAATATTGTAGCGTTGTATGTTTTGTTTATTGTGTCTTATACACTTTTTGTTTTAATTTAGGTTGGAGAGGTTTCATCTATGGCAAACTTTTCGAGTCAGGCGTGTTGTGTGCATCACGCACATTTTAAAAGGCGACAAAATAAAGCTACCAAAATTAGTTCACTTATACTATTAAATAGATCCTTTACTTTAATCCGATTGGTAATATATACGCCGCCGCGCCGAAAAAGTTTGGAGAAAAAAGTGATCTATGTTTTGTATTGGCTTTGAACACGTCTAAAGCAACTGTATTATGTAGTATGTATAAAAATAGTAGATTGACTTTAATGTTTGTTCATACTTAGATTAATCAATAAACCTCAGTTATGGTTTTATCATTTGTCAAGAAGCAACTTTGACCTTAATTTACATGTTGCATTTGACACCCTCTAGGCGGTCACCTGAAATTCGAGATTGGATGACAATATACGCGCCATGGTTCGACGACTTAATAGCGATATTGTACCAGGAGAATATGACGTACAAGGAGCTAGCAGAGCAATGTATAATTAGCCTCAAGAAATATATACACATGGACGACAAAAAGTCCGAGATCTGTGAAATAGACGAGGTTACTGGAAATGCTAAAATTAGTAAGTGTGACTACAAATGTCAATTTCTAGAAATATTTTCTGCGTTTCGGGAATTAAAAACCTGCGTCTTATAAGCTAAGCGCCCAAGGGTTCAATTTCTCAACAAAATATTCAAATTTTAATTTACATCTTGAGTGCAGAGTGCACTAAAATTAGAATAAATCACAAATTTCAATAGCAAAACCCATAACTTTCACTACAAATTCATTGAAATATGTTATCTGTTAGGTGCCTTATACTGTTAAGTGTGCACACTAGATGGCGTATCAAGCATTGCTATTGCAATTCAATAAAGAAAGCACATAGATGCCGATATTTTCGCGCTGTGATATCATCGGCCGCTTATTTTTGTTGTTTTGCGCGTTATCCAAAAGACGCGAGTATGTATCCTGCAGCGCTGAAAATTTTCGACGATTTTTCTACAAAACATAAATGTTTTTAGGTTTCATCTTCAATTTGGAGACTATCTCTAATATAAAATTCATCAAAACTCTGAGTTTGGAAAGTAATAGCAAACACGTTTCTACTTTCATAATGTTTTATGTTGTATGATTATTCTTTCTTCCCAGTTCCAACAGTTCCTGTGAAGCCAATAGAGCCACCTAAAGAAAGCGGAGGTAAGATTATTTTTAAACATATTAATCTAGTATTCCTCCCGTAAACTCCTCTTTGTGACATCATGCTGTGATCCCAGTCAGTCTATTCTTTTACATACTAAATATATAATTAATTGGTCTAAAACCTGATCATGAATAAGAAGATAAAAAAATTATAAAGGTAATAGTGGTAAACCAAGCCAAAGTTGTTGTTCCTTATAAATACTAAACACGTTTTACTTACTCAATTACTATACTTTTATCCTCTGGTATTAAATATCTGACCTTGAATTATCTACTAGATACTTCAGAACATTTTTAATTAGTTTATGTTAAAATCATTTGATCTCAAATGGGTTTATGATATTTTTGTAGAAGACAATACGGAAAAGCCCCCGTGTAAAGTCCTTCCTCCTCCAGTACTAACGAAGGATATTTGTAAAGTGGAAGATTGTCTTATAGACCTCTACGAGACAGTAATAAATAACTATGACACTGCTAAAGCTGCTTGTGCATATTACAATCAGGTAACCGGTAATAACATAATAAATACACTCTTTCTACATCATTTGGCATTGGTTAAAGTAGAATTCCCTATAATTTGCGCCCACTTGGAAAAGAGCCTCGGGTCATTAAATTTCTGGATCAAGAAAATCTATCACAGAGGGTATAGAACATGTTTTATTACATGAGAGTTGAGTTTGACTTAATATCGTGGTAAATAAGTATAGTTATTGATATAACTAGATTAGAATAGATTATGATTAATCTTCCAAATGAATTGAATCTCAACAGCAAAAGGTTGGATGTTTTACTCTCAGTTTCTTAAGAGGAAGGGAGGAACTAGGTCATGATATTCCTAATAGGGTAGACATTCAATAATATGAATGTATAACGGCTTATTTCAATATTCTGTTCAATCTGTAGATTTGGTTACTGGAGATAGAATTTTGACGTAAGTATTGACGAGCTAATGTCAATTAATTACCTATCGCTATAGACCAAATCTACAGATAGAATATTGAAACCGGCCATTTGCTTTTTTTACATGCCGTAACGATTGGATGTTAGATTTTGAACGGAAACAGCTTATAAGCTATATTAAGACAGATGGAACAATTATAATCCCGTAAAAATTATAGTTTTATTTTTGAAAAGAAATTCGCAGAGAAAGTTGTGGTTACATTTTGTCCGTCCTTAACAATTTACTAGTGTTTAACCGGTTACATGGTTTGACCGCGTGTACGCGGTCAAACCATGTTATTAAGCTTCGAGTCAGGTTTACAACGCAATATTGGCATCAATATATTTATATGTGAGATTGAATGCATGAATATTATGTTTATAAGGGTAATATTTTTCTTTCGTAGCTCGTCGAAGAAATAATGACGGACTTCTCGATTCCCAAGCTGAAGGACCTCAATAAGGCTATGAACGAACGTTTGGAGTTGGTCAAGGTTTCCCTTAATAATGCGGATAATGCTGAAGGAGACATGGGTAATACTTTAGTGATTTATTTCATCCGTCAAGGACTTTTTACGTTACAATAGAGAATAATTATTTATTCTAATTAGGTAACTTAGAATAAGTAATTAAAGTTATGAATTATTGTAAGGATTTATAAAAGTTTACTTAATACAGTAATCCATTAAGCACTTTAGTCCATTAAATACTTACCTAAAAAAAATAATATTTAAGTCTTAAAGCCAATGTTTTTGTTACCTACTTAAAATTTAAATAGTTTTTTTTTCGGTAAAAAAATTATTATGTGATAAGCCAAGCAGAAATTTTGCATGGGAGTTTTTATTGAGGTATGGTAAAAGCTATTATAGTAGCTAAGATAGTAGTAATGTATATGATAACTAGCTGCTGCCCGCAACTACGTCTGCGTAGAAAAGGTTGAAGGCGTAACATTCAGACAGTTTATAAAAGTTTACTTAATACAGTAATCCATTAAGCACTTAGTCCATTAAATACTTACCTAAAAAAAATTATATTTAAGTCTTAAAGCCAATATTTTTGTTACCTACTTAAAATTTAAATAGTTTTTTTTTTCGGTAAAAAAATTATTAAGTGATAAGCCAAGCGGAAATTTTGCATGGGAGTTTTTATTGAGGTATGGTAAAAGCTATTATAGTAGCTAAGATAGTAGTAATGTTTATGATAACTAGCTGCTGCCCGCGGCTACGTCTGCGTAGAAAAGGCTGAAGGCGTAACATTCAGACAGAAAGACAGATATACATAACATATGTATATAAATTATAGCCTATGTCTTATTCAGATATATAAACTATATTATTGTAAAGTTTCATTAAAATCCATTCAGCAGTATTTGCGTGAAAGAGTAACAAACATCCATCCATACATACCAACTTTCGCCTTTATAATATTAATAGGGATTATTACCTTTTACATTGTTTTTTTATTGAACGATTAACTGCAAGTAACAAACACTACGAATTGCCTTTTTTAATTTTATTAAATTTTTTCACGAGCTGAATTTAAAAATGGTCTTTCATTGAAAATTAATCTGCTTCAGAAAAATTTTCTCGTATTATTGTTATCGAGAACAGAAAATTGTCAAAGAAATTATTATAACGATTTAGATAAAGCCTTACTATATATATAATTATATATATATATATGTATTTACTCAAGTGATATACGGTAATGGTATATCACTTGAGCAAAAACTTTCAGCGAGTTCGATTGACGACAGACGAAGAAAATATTGTTACGGCAGGAAGCGTGAGGGGACGTATTCTCCTCACGATAATCTTTATAACGCTAAATGCGTGTGCGTTTTCAGCGTTTTAAAAGAAAGCCCTCCTGGAGCCTAGAGTAAAATTGTAGGATTCCAACCTAGCTCCTCGAGTGGGTGTTTGGTGTCGGGGATAGAGCCACTCGATACATAAGGGTTGAAGGATTGAACATATAATGTTACAAAATTTCAACTAGACTACCATCCGTACAGCCCTGATATGGCTTGATAAGGAATTTTTTCGTTGTTTATCGTTTATCACTACAAAGAGATGATAGATTATAGTTTTATAGAGGTGGCCGAAGCCAGTTACACATAGCGTTTCTAATATTGACTTAGACTGTGAGTGGTCCAACGTAGATGTTAATAATAGAGAAGAGTCATATTCTGGGTACGATACGCTTGTTAGCCGAATGGAATTTGATAGCTATGTATAAAAATTTTCCATCAGCATTTCTATTAACATAAGCAAATTTACGTTTGACCGATGTTAAAGCGGTTGCGCATGTTGTCAATTGGGGTTTACGCACCAATTGACGTATCTACTAGACCCGTACGGGCAATTCACGCTTCGACTAGCTATAGGGGAACGCGGACGTGAAGACACGCTTGTAACTTTTGTATATATCCGTTTATAGACTTCAAGTACACGAGAATCAATTAATAGTCACACGATCCCTTCATTAAATTTTATGACGCTAGAAATCTTCCCTACTGTTATGTATTGATAGCTACAAAATACTAAATAAACATTGTTTATTTAGTTATAGTTCATCAAAAAATTTTGTAAATCAATACAATGTTTTTTTGTTATTTTTTGTTGTCTTTTTTCCATCTTTTTCTCCACAGCAAGCGTCTTAAGTAGGGATTATAAAAGGCTGGCTGAATGTCATGTCTACAGATAAATAAGTTTGGAGTGTTGTTTGTTATATTCAAATAACCACTTCACTAAATGCATACGGATGTATACACGGTACATATGACAAAATAACATTTGTAACAATTTTTGTAGGCTACTTAGCTGGTAAATACGCACATTGCGAAATCACAGACTCAAACTTATATCTGTACGCCGCCATAGTTCAAAAATATGTCTTGCAAAGTGTCAAATCCCTCATTACCTCCTTTCAGATGATTTGACCCGTTACATAGACTGTGGCGTGCAAGCGCCACCCGAGAAGATAGAAAAGGTTAAATCGTTGTTGGAAGATTGCTTTGAGAGAGTGAAAGCAGCGCGGATACAATTTGAATGGGAGAACGACAAGTCTGTTGTTCTTGATAAGCTGTGGCAGAAGGTTTGTTTTAGTCAGAACGAGTTATTTTTTTGTCATGGGTAACATATTTACACATTTACATGTTCGTTCTTTACATTTGAAACCATTAAATTTTTGTATGAAAGTATGATTTTTTAAATCATACTTTCATACAAAAATTAATAAATAAATAAATAAACAATTTCCAACAATCGCAGGTGGAGTCACAAATCAACAGGTACACTGAAGAGACAGAGGTGATGATACCGGGCTTGCAATATGCACAGAATAAGTTAAAGTTGGACGGTGATCCTGATTTGCTCCTTTACCATACGTACCGTTACGTAAGTAAAGCACGTTGAACTAAACTTTGTCTATCTCGTTTCCTCATTTCCTCATGACGTTTAGGGCTCAATACCTTTTTTAATTTATTTCCTCATGACGTTTACTTGGATGCCAACCACATGGAAAATTTACATTTAAATATTTCTATTAACATTTTAATAACTGTAACTTTTTTTAGATTATTGCGGTGATTTATCGCGTATATTTTTAGTTTTAGTTTCCAACGTTTCGAAACCTTTTCAGGCTTTTGGCTTTGCATTGGAAGTCTGAATGTCATTATTAGCCCGGGCTATCGACTGATTTTAAATTATTAATTTTGTGTCCGATCTACGCAGAAGGTTCTTATTGTTTATTGTCTTGCAGTACGTCAGACGTCCAATGTTTCCGTCTATCGTGTAACGCTGAGAAGGGGTCGATAGTTTGGAACCTAATATAAACGCGATATATCCGTGAAAATAGCTTCATTTAGTAACGTGTAATAACGTAAATACAAGAAACAATTTTAACATTACCGGTACCTAGATTTAAAATCCGCCTACACACCGAGCCATCGAAAGGTCAATGGAAAAGTGTTAAAGGTGTTTTTGTTGATCAGACTGCAGAGTTGCAACGGGAACTCAATGATGCTGTTGCAGCAATGAGAGAAAGAGTCAATCGGGCAGTCGATAGTGAGCGCAATTTTATTAATTTTTTCTCAAAGGGACTATTGCCTAGTTATTGACTCCTATCCTACCCGATGCCAAGTAGCGATGCATCCGTAGATGGTCAACGTACTATTTTTTTATCATATAAAATCAAATTATCTGAATTGCAAAGACTGGCAATTAAATAAAAGTTAAATAATTAATCAACTTGTTTTAGAATTTCTGTGGTACTTGCCGCCTTTCCAATATACTTTTACGTTTATGCCACGACATTAAGTTTGTGTTGTTACGAATGCATGTTTTGATTGGCCACTTTTGTAATATTCAAGAACTTTTCAATATTATGCCTAAAAGTTGGCTAGGGGTATTATCTGTATCATCCATTCCTTTTTAATTGTTAACTAATGTCCTTAACTACAATATTAATGAATTTTGTTTCCTGATTATCGTAAAATTTAGTGATTAATCGCTTATATTTAAAAAGAATATGGTACTTTTTATTTCGGTCTCATAACCCACAGCGGTACTACCACAAGGAGAGAAAGAAAGTAAAGAAAGAAAGGAGCTCATGGCGACTACACTTAAAGAAAAACGCGCTGAGGTAGAAGCGGAATACAAGAAAAGAGTTAGTAAATATATCATCATCGCACCAATTTTAGATCAACGATAAACATGCCTGATCTAATAAACATAATAAAGTCATTTGTTTTTTCCGTGAAAGTTTACACGTGGAAGATTTTTTTGTACTTTGGAAAAGCAGGGGGATTATATATAGGCATAATGTGATTACATTTCATGTTCTGAAAGTCTTGCTATCTACTAAATTAAATTCTCCACTACAAATTCATCGGAACAGAGAATCATCACAAAGGTGAAACAACACTAGGGTTATAAAATTATTATAATAAAACTAAAAAATAATAAAACGATTCTAAACCCAATCACCGTGATGAAGGGCCTCCGGGAAACTAGTCGGCACATACACGGATTCTACGTGAGTTTAGCGGTTTTATGTGTCATATATAATATGATACTGCCAATCATAAACTTTTTGTTCTTGAAAAGGAACAAGACCAGAACCAAAGGAACGAAGCTCTGTTAAAGGAAGCGCTAAACAAGCAGTTGCAGAGACACGAAGAAAGTTTACAAGTGACAGCTTCAACAGAGAGAAGGAGAGGTAGGAGATTCTTTAGTGTTGTCTAAATACAGTTGCTTTTCATAGATATTTTCAGCGGGTTGAATAAAATTGCTATTGCTAATTTATTTATACGATGAATCGCATATATAATGTGATAATAATTCAATTTAATGTTTTTGTTTAAAGTAATTTCTCACACTTATAACTGATGAAAATAAGGCGATTAACGTAGTATATTTTATTAAGTCTCGAATTGGTTGTGGCACACACATATTCAATATTTGATAACTGCTCAATGTGGTACAGTAACATTCACTGTTCACAGATACGTGACAAATGCAGGTAGTTTTATAATAAATGTAGTTCCTTCTATACGCTTACATATAAATGCAATATTTGGATTCACTATGCGGATTTGTAATATTTTATTTGGATCTTCATAGTTTAAGCTAATAGAGAGCCTAAATTGAAAAAAAAATAGATTAAGCTATTAAAAAAAAATATCTTTTACCCGCGGCTTCCCTCGCGTTAAAGCCGTTAAAAATATCTTTAAATATATTTTTTACTAAAAGTCCCATGTCCTTTTAAATACCACTAAGAATATGTGTACAAAGTTTTATGATAATCGGTTGATTAGTTTTGGCTTGAAAGCATAACAAATAAACTTACATTCACTCACTTCAACATAGTATAAAACAAAGTCGTCCCGCTGTGTCTGTCTGTATATCTTGATGCGGTGTTTTATTAGATAGTGATTCAAGAGGAAGATTTATATGTATAATTGCACCCATCCGAAGCCGGGGTGGGTGGCTAGTAATATAAAGTGGGGATGTTAAACAAAACAAAAACAACAGTTTTCTTTAAAACAGGCCAATGCCAAGCTAAAACGGATGGTAGCTGATGAGGTAGCGGCCCAGAAACGGATCTTCGCGAGGCAACGCAGTGAAATGGCAGCCAAGCTGAAAATATTAGAGGACAAGCTAGCTGGTTCATTATTATATTGAATTTATTTCGAGGACCCGATCGGCGTAGTGGGCAGTGGACCTGCCGTTCGCGCCAAAGGGTGTGGGTTCGATCCCCACTACTGGAAAAATATTGTGTGATCAACGTGTGTTTTCAGTGTCTTGGTGTTTATATATTTATAATACGTATTTATTTATAAAAGTGTGTTTTAGTATGTTTATCAGTTATATAGTACCCATAGTTTAAGCGTTGCTTGGTTTAGGACTAGAGAACGTTGCGTAAAGCTGTGTCATCAAATATTTATTTATTTGTTTTATATCGGTTGGCTGTAATATATGATATCGCGTTTCGTTGCAATAAAACTGAACATTTACAGTCTGCTTTCCTGCCTGCTTCAAATTTGTAGACAGTATAATATTTTATGTAGAGACATAGACATATTTCATCAAAATTTGGCACCATTTAGAAAAATTATTAAGCCCTCTGAAAATATAGGTCCACTTCTTATTGAAAATAAATTATAAAGTATTAGTTATCACATAAATTATTAAAATAACATATTCAAATTGAATGTTGTTCTCGGTTTATTGAAATGCAAGTTTATTGATTTGTGTTGGTCTGTTATAATTTAGTTAATGCTATAATTTGTATTTTTTTTGTGAAAAGTTGCCAAGCGAGCAGGCGGTTCATGCGATGTTAAGTGAATACCGCCGCCCATGGACATCTGCTACACCCGAGGGTTACAGACGCGTTGACAATCTTTTCAAGATTGGGCTCCGGCTTACCTCACTCACCAGACGAAACGCGAAAGTGTTTGTTATTCTTCACTTAACGCCGGTCTTCTGTGAGGTCGCGGTACTTACCGGGACGAGCCTCCCAATTCGTGCAACAGCCGAGGCTGCTGCGTGGCCCCACCATAGTTAATATTATTGTATAATTTGTATTTTTTAAGCGCGCCAAATAAATAAATAAACTGTTGTTTTTGTCTATAGCTCATTTAAAGGCCGAGAGGGACACAAAGAGGTCGCAAGAGCTTTGGGCAGCGGGAGCCTCTCTATTGGCCGCCACGAAGAAGGGCTGTCCATGCGTCAAGGTCGACAGACAACTGAAAGCTATACAGAAGGCGTCTGGTGTGTTCTATGATGAATCTAATTGCATTGACGACCCGATTGGCTCTCTTTCTTTTTTAAACGACTTCAAAAGGAGGAGGTTCTCAATTCGACTGGATTTTTTTTAATTAATTTTACCTCAGTACTTTTGACAGAGTGAACCGATTTTGATGGTTCTTTTTTATTAGAAAGCTGGTGCTTCCCATGTGGTCCCATAATAATTTCATTGGTATTGGATCTTGGGGCTCCGGAGTACTTAGGGTACTCCTAAAAATCGATTATAAAATGAATACAGAGCGAGATATTTGACGTCGGTTTGTTTTTTGTAAGTAAAAAATTGGTTATTTTTTTAAAAAAAATACGCCGATTAACATCAACACTGGAAGGCTTGTAGATGCGTTGCCGGCCTTTTAGGAACCTTTAAGAAGAGAGCATTTTCTTTATATGCTCTCTTCTTGAAGGTTCGCAGGTCGTAACGGTTCGGAAATTCCGCCGGCGACAGTGGGTTCCACAGAGTAGTTGTGAGAGACAGAAAATGCATTAAAATCACGCTCTTATGGAAAGCTGGACATCGAGGTGGCGTGGATAGAATTAACATTCAATGCAGTTGAACACGCAAAACGCACTTGGATGGTTCTCCTTTATGTTCTTAGATACGGCATTTATCTTCAACTAGTGACCTGCCATGGCTTCGCACGGGTGCAATATTTCATACATATAAACATTCCTCTTGAATCACGCTATCTAGTAAAAAAAATGCATTAAGATCCATTGCGTAGTTTTAAAGATCTAAGCATATAAAGGGACATCTGTCCTTGACAGACAGCGCGATGACTTTGTTTCATACTATGTAGTGATGATGGCATTGTCGCTGTCCATTCTTAACATACTTCTGTACTTATTGAATCACTGTTGCTCATATTTTTGGTTTTTAAATCTTGGATACTTGCGTAACTTTTTTTTCATTTTCCACTGCAAGGGCTTCTCCACTGTAGAGATTACAATTTTTTTATGGTTGAAAGTGGCAAACGAGCTGGCGGTTCACCAGATGTTAAGTGATAACCGCCTGCTCATGGACATTAGCAACACCCGTACGGTTGCACATTCGTTGCCACCAATAATGTGGGCCCCGGCTACCTCACTCACCAGACGAAACGCAGAAGTGCAACACTTCCACTTAACGCTCCTCTTTGTATTTATGTATGTATTTATGTTCCTGTCACAAATATTAGAAAAGAGAGAAAAATAAAGAAAAAATTAGTGGGGCTTATACAACAGACATGACTTTTTTTTGTTTTTATAGATAATGGTACGGAACCCTTCGTGCGCGAGTCCGACTCACACTTGGCCGGTTTTAATAACTTAAATTTAAATAGTTGCGATGCTCACTACCAATGTTTCAAACTGTTCAGGGGACGAAGACAAACTTGTGACGACTATAATGAAAACCATACCCAAAGCGGCATGGGAAAAGGGAGTGGTCACAGAAAGTGTTCTTAAAGAGCAATATTACAAGGTATTTATTGTTGGATTGTTGTTCATTGTAGAGCAAGTTAAATAGTTAGTTTGTTGGCCAACTAAATGAAAGTATGTTTACGGATTTATCGCGTTTGTTTTTAGTTTCAGTTCCCGACGTTTCGAAGCCTTTACAGCGTTCATAGTCACGGGACAGACTGAGGCGGGAATTAAAACTAAAAATAGTATCATTTAGTGATGTGTAATCGCGTAAATACAAGAAATTGTTGGTCGACTTTCAATTTCTTTTATTGTTTTAGATTTACTCGAACAAAATTATTGTATTTTCTTTTTTTTACATCGAAATGATTACAATGTTTGTTTAGATTTGTTGCAGTATGCGTTCTCTGAATTTATTTACAAATGCTTATTATTGTAAAGTTTCATTAAAATCTATTCGGTAGTTTTTGCGTGAAAGAGTAACAAATATCCATCCTAACTATACATACAAACTTTCGCATTTATAATATTAGTAAGGCAGGATAGTAAGGGAGTAAGGATTAGTAAAGATAAAAGGTCATTTTATTTTATGTGCACTTTCAGATGGAAAAAATCGCTCTCAAAGTGTCGTTGGTGGAGCAAGAAGGCTCGCCTCTGCCGGTATACTTCTTGTCCTGGTTACAGTCAATGCTGTTATTTTTCAAGGCAAGTTAGATTTTTCAGATGTTTTTCAACGCATCTTGCGATTATTGTAACATCTAATACTTGATCGTATTTGATTAACAACCATTTTCCCAACTCAACGCAACTCAACAACTTCTAAGAACAAGAAAAAAGCTCCACATAGTTATAATCGGACGAAGGGCAGAGGGGAAGCATATAAGGCAAACAAGGAAAAGTTTATTTTAATTAAAGGCTACATATTATACATATAAACTAAGATATGTAAATAAACTTTGGAAAGGCGTTTACTCAACAGCCCATTCCTCTCCCACCCGGGGTACAAACTGGAACATTCCTTTGTGCCGCAGGCTGGGGTGTGCGTGTGCATAAGAAAGGATATATGCTCTCGTCGCCTCGACACTCTTGAAGGGCGGCACCTATTTATCCTCTGGGTACGCGTGGACTTCGACGACCATCCGCGAATCTACACGTGCTTGTATATCCATAGCGGTAACTGCCGAAACTGACCGACACTTTGAGCACATACAAATGACTACAGATTCCGTGTTGCCGCAGATCCCATCCGCGGAGATCATAGTTCACGGGGAGATCTGCTCACGATTTCGCATTAGCATAATATGATCTGACACAACTGGTCACCTCGCCAACGCGAATCCCAGATGTGGAGGATCATACACCTTCCCTGTTGGACCTTCTGTTGACCTCTCATCCGGACGGATACTTGGCTTCCGTCGATCTTCTGGCCTCTCTCTTCGCGTCCAACCCGACTTTGGATGACCGTCAATCCCGCGTTGCGTCAATGCTACGATGCCGGAGGTTCAATTTCGGAAAAGTGCAGTTCGCAGAGCACTCTTTTCCTTGGACATTCATGAGTCGAGTGGGCCCGATGGCATCCCTCCGATCGTGTTGAAGAAATGTGCTCCGGAGTTGGCACCGGTTTTGATGCGTTTTTTCCGGCTCTCCTATACTCTAGGCGTACTTCCGAAATCCTGGAAGGCCTCTTCCGAATAACCCGATTCCTAAAAAAGGGCAACAGCTCAGATCTGCCCAATTACAGGCCTGTATATATTTACAGCCACCTCCTTGTTCTCCAAGATAATGGAGTCCATCTGTGTCAATGTGTCTGGAGTCAATGGGGTCGACTAAACTTAGTCCATTTCAACCCCAGTAAGACACAAGTTTGCGCGTTAACCGCTAAAAAGGTCCCATTTGTCGTGAGTCCTCATCTTGAGAACACTCCCCTGTCTGTCTCAGCTAGGCAGTACTTGACGTCGGCTCAACGCCTAAACCTTTATAAGGCGCAAATTCGGCCCCACATGGAATACTGTTGTCACCTCTGGGCGGGAGCCCCTGTTACCAGCTTCTTCCATTTGACCGCATCCAAAGCAGCTAGGGTTATCGACGTTTGATCGTCGATCGGCTTGATTCTTTGACTGTGCGTAGAGATGTTGGATCACTCTGCATCTTCTACCACATCTACCACGGGGAGTGTTCCGAGGAATTGTATGGATTGATCCCGGTGGCTGATTTTCACCATCGGACATCGCGTCGAAACCAAAAATTGCATCCACACCACCTCGACGTCCGGCGTTCCACAACAGCGCGATTTTCAAGACATTTCCTGCCTCACACAACCACTCTGTGGAACCAGCTGCCACCGGTGGTCTTTCCGAACCGTTACGACCTTGGAACCTTCCTGAAGAGAGCATACTCCTTCCTAAAAGCCCGGCAACACAGTTGCCCTCTGGTGTTGCAGGTGTCCATGGGGGGCGGTGATCACTTACCATCAGGTGAGCCTCCTGCTCATTTGCTGCTTTTTCCCATAAATAAAACTCAAACTGAACTAGCTCTTACCTGCGACTTCGTCTCCCATGCTTATTATACAAATAACGTATTATTTTATAATTTATTATGTGCAGAGGAAAACAAAGTCAAGAGATCGGAAGCAAAAACCTATATACGATACATATTATGTTATAAAAACTCAGATGACTCCGTGGCGCAGTTGCCAAGGCGTTGGCTTCAGCGCCAACGGTCGTGGGTTCGATCCCCACTAGAGACAACTGTTTGTGTGACCCACAGATAATTGTTTCGATTATGTGTTTGTCCGCTTGAAATCTGTGTATGTAAGACCCAGTATCCTTACAACCCAGGATAATTAAAATATGTAGAAAAAGTGCGAAAAGATTGTCGCCGCTGTGGGAATCGAACCCACGTCTTCGGCATTCGCGGCCTGACGCTCTAGCCACTGAGCTAAACGGCTGATTACCACACCGACGTCTTAACGCATTCTTCTACATTGTTTTCTGTTTGAAGCAATGGGCGCCAATATCTTTTCCAGCATACAAACAACTTCGAATACGTTTTTACAACGAAATTCGAACGAAAATGTCGCATTGCTTAAATATTGAACATTAAAATATGTAGAAAAAGTGCGAAAAGATTGTCGCCGCTGTGGGAATCGAACCCACGTCTTCGGCATTCGCGGCCTGACGCTCTAGCCACTGAGCTAAACGGCTGATTACCACACCGACGAAAATCTTAACGCATTCTTCTACATTGTTTTCTTAGCATTTGAAGCAATGCTTGGCGCCATCTATTGTTATATCTTTTCCAGCATACAAACAACTTCGAATATCGTTTTTACAACGATAATTCGAACGAGAAATGTCGCCATTGCTTTTTTAGAAATTTAAATTGTTTGTAGTGCTAATCTTTGCACTTAAGATTGAACATTAAAATATGTAGAAAAAGTGCGAAAAGATTGTCGCCGCTGTGGGAATCGAACCCACGTCTTCGGCATTCGCGGCCTGACGCTCTAGCCACTGAGCTAAACGGCTGATTACCACACCGACGAAAATCTTAACGCATTCTTCTACATTGTTTTCTTAGCATTTGAAGCAATGCTTGGCGCCATCTATTGTTATATCCTTTCCAGCATACAAACAACTTCGAATATCGTTTTTACAACGATAATTCGAACGAGAGATGTCGCCATTGCTTTTTTAGAAATTTAAATTGTTTGTAGTGCTAATCTTTGCACTTAAGATTGAACATTAAAATATGTAGAAAAAAACACAACTTCGAATATTCGGTTCGATTCCCACAGCGGCGACAATCTTTTCGCACTTTTTCTACATATTTTAATGTTCAATCTTAAGTGCAAAGATTAGCACTACAAACAATTTAAACCCAGGATAATGTTATCCTACAGTAATGGCAATTGTTGAAAACAACACAGAGTATTAAGCTGTGGTGAAAGAGTACGGCAAAAAAAACACACATCAATGAACATAGTGCCTTTAAAAATCGTGGTTTCTTTTAAACCTTTATTAACTTTACATTAAAAGAAGATATCACAATAATTATTTATTTTAATTTCTAGTATAAATTCTCACAAAATGTGTTGGGACGCTGTTTTCATTTTATGACGTCATTTTATATCGAGAACGCAGTCAATAATCAACTTCCAATATTCAATTTAATATTGTTGCAGGTTTCCGGTATTCCCCAAATAGAGGTTGACAAACCACCCAAGGAGCCGTCAAAAGACTTGGACACCTTCGATCTGCTACAAAGGGCACGGTGAATTGACTTTCTTAGAATAAAAATAATAAGATTATTTTTATTTTTTAGTCTTAGTTAATTATTTCTTATTATTTCTTAGTCTTACGCCCGGTTTCTGAAATATTGATCATCGTAGAAGTTAACTAATCAGATTTCAAATGACTTTTCAAATGTTATTCAAGTTGCCAAAAGGATGGTTAAAACTCTCTGAATTGATCAGAATGATCTTCTCAAAGATCAGAATGAAATCAAAATCAATTCAAAGAGTTTAACAATTCTTTTGGAAACTCAGATGTCATTCGAAAGCTGATTAGTAAATTTGTACAATAATCAGTGTTTCAGAAACCGGGCCCTCGTCTTACTTGTCTTTAGCTTCTAGTAACATACATATATTTCCTATGTCCTCCGAAATTTAAAGCTCAAAGCGGATTTTGTGAGATTTAATTCGTCACCAATCGGTGTAATTACACTGCCATATCATAAGTTCTATATCAACTGTCAAATTCACTCGTATGTCATATAATGTATGCGAAACTATTTGTTAAACGCCGCGCAGTATGGAAATGGACATGCGTCATCTATCTTGTTAAACATCATTGTTTTTTTTTATAGTAATTGTGGTTCTCGTAGTTTTTGGATAGAGAGGGGCGATCTCGCGATGGCTCTGCGGTACGTGGCCTCCTTGGAAGGGGCTTCCCTTGTGGCGGCTGAGACATGGCTGAAGGCGGCGCGTACGTATCTCGAGATCCGGCAAGCGGCAGAGGCGGTGGTCGCTCATGCGGCGGCCCTGGGACTACAGTACATTTAAAAAGTAATGACAAAAATAAATAAATATATTTAGGACACGTTTTGACACAACGTTCTATTGTACCAAACTAAGGAACGCTGGTACTACTGGTACTAGATAACTGATAAAAATACTTAAACATACTATTCTTTTATAAATAAATACATACTACACATATATAAACATCCAGACCAGACACTAGAAAAACCGTATGTTCATCACACAATATATATCCAGGTAGGGGGATCGAGCCCATACCCTCTGGCGCAGGATGCAGGTACACTACCCACTAATACGTGATGTTATGTAATAGGTCGTTAAGTATCGCATTTCTTTTTATTTATTTATTTTATTTATTTAATCTTTATGCAAACAATGTACAAAGGCGGACTTAATGCCAAGGGCATTCTCTATAATAACTGGGAGACAATAATGACGAATAAAGCGAGCTTCATGATGTCAAGGTATAAATGCCGCCCATCGACAAGAAAGTGGCCCCCGCCCCCTCACTCACCTCACGCAGAAGTGTAACAGTTACACTCCACATATCCTCTTTGTTGTGAAGTCACGGTACTTCCTAACAGCGAAGACTGTCCGGTGGCCCTACCACAGTTAAAATGGTTGTCATAAGCGATATATTTAGGACTGGAACACGAAGATAAAACTATATGTTTTAGCTCAAGGGAATCATGACAATAATAATAAGAGACTGCTTGTTCACCCATTTGTTTTTAGTATTCCTTATTTTAGTTAAACTAAACTACTAACCAATTTGTTTCCAGGACAGATTAAAGACAATGTTTTCAACCTATTGGGGCCGGAGTTATTTATTAAATCATTAGTTTAAAGAATAAACTGTTTTTTTTTAAATATGTATTTTGATTTTATTCAACATCGTCATTATTCATATAACAAGAAAAAAAACGAAAAAAAAGTTAAACTCACCATAATATATGTTTATTTACTTTGATTTACCTACCTTGATATTCTTTAGTATCTTTTGTGCTTCCGAATATGCTGTGTTTCACAAGGCAGCCATGCATGTCCATAAATGTTATGAATTGTTTTTGCTTACGGTTACGGGTTCCTTACCATAATAAAAACCCGCAAAAAATAATATCTGCTGTATGGAAGCCTCTCTTAAATATTTTTTTTTTTTTTTTGGTATTTGTTATAACGCCAATAGAAATACACAGACAGACAGAGGAGATTTAGTAATAGGGTCCCGTTTTACCCTTTGGTTACGGAACAGGGTTGGATTTAGGTATGATGAAAATGATAGTACAAAAAATTTTAAAGGATAGTATTTTAAAAAAACTATAGTACACTTTATATTTTTATATTTTAACAGGGATTAATTCCTTAACCTCTTCCAAGTTTATCAATTCTTCAATATTAGTTTCATTCTTAGAATTTAATTTTTTAATATATCTTCAGCAGGGATAAAATCGGTGCAAATTCCACTTTATTCCATATTTGATGGCGTCACAACACGATGAAATGGCGCCTATGGATTATGTTTATTTCTTATCTAAGTTAGGAAAATAATAAATGAATGGTACTATTAGACATCATTTTTTTTATGTGAAAAGTTGCCAAGCGAGCAGACGGTTCACCTGATGCTAAGTGAATACCGCCGCCCATGGACATCTGCTACACCCGAGGGTTGCAGATGCGTTGACAACCTTTTGAAAATTGGGCTCCGGCTCACTCATCAAACGAAACGCGAAAGTATTATACTTCCACTTTACGCCGGTCACTTACGGAGGTCGTGGAACTTACCCGGACGAGCCTGCCCATTCGTGCAACAGCCGAGGCTGCTGCGTGGCCCTACCACCGTGTTCGCCCTCAGGATTCAAACCTACGCCTTTTGGATTATGCGTTCGGACGATCTAGCCACTAATACAAGCAGTGGACATCCTCAACATGCGATAATTGACCTATTATCTGCTTTTGTTTTTATTGCATTTGTAGCAATGGCACTTTAATGCTATGTATATCTCACCATTAGTTATTACATGAATAATTATAACTGACTGTGATATGATTACAGAGGCAAAAGGGGGCTCCTAACTACAACCAAAAAGACTATGAGACTATTCATCTTAATACTGAGTTAGAGAGCTATCGACTTTGTTCATAGATCAATTTTGAAGGATATGGACCTAATTATGACTGAATGTGGCCAGTTGATTAAAATGTAAGCTCTCTCCAAAAGACAGCCGGTTTCGTTTTCACACAAGATTACGTAAAAATCTATACAACCAAAAAAAAAAAAAAATCAGGCTATAATATCAAATAAACGCGCGCAAAAAAAATACATTTATATTTTCGATGCGTTGAGTTTTATTTAATTAAACATTACACAAAAACTCATTATTCCATAATTAATTTACGCCTGAAGCCATTGAAGGTTACATGAGTGATGAAAAGAATATAAGCGTTAGTGTTGCATGAAAAGTTCGTTTATTTTAAAAAGTTATTTGATACGAATAGCACATGTATTGCTTTTTTTGTTTGTGATTTAGGCGGGATCTATTAGAATACACGTTAACGGAGGGTAAACAGGTGTTATTGTGCTTATGATTTATTGTATGTGTATTTAAAGAGACTATCCTTACTAATATTATAAACGCGAAAGTTTGTATCTATGGAAGCATGGATATTTATTATTCTTTCACGCAAAAAAAAAAAAAAACTGAAGGTATTTAAACCGCAGAACCAAATTTTATACATTTTGGTATAAAGATAGGACCTCGGAGAAGAAAATAAGCTAGTCGGAGATCAAATCCTGCGCATACGAAATCGCTAGTATATACAGTTTTTCAGATTTGATACTATATGTTCTAAATTAGTAGCCATGCTATTGCACATTCTGTTGGGTATAATTACAATTTTATATTGGTGGAAAAAGAGGAACTGTCTTTCAAGTAATGAACCACCGATTCTTCCTGGAGCACTACCAATTATTGGACATGCCCATTTATTGATTGGAGACACAAAGCGTAAGTGTTATATTTGTATGTGTGTGTATGTTGATATGTATTGTTCCTTGCGTTTACAGAAATATTTTTCCCCCCGAATAAAAAACTTGATCACAGTCCACGCACCAATAAACGCTTCATTTCTTTGGTAAGATCGAGCCAACTATACAATATACAGTTTGTGAGTAATTATGCTTTTTAATAAACAGTTTCTAATAAGATTTGTAATTAAGATAACTGTGGTAGGACCACGAAACAGCTTCGGCTGTGGCACGAATGGGCAGTTCCGTCCGGGTAAGTACCACGACCTCACATAAGACTAGCGTGAAGTGGAAGAGTTTCGTCTGCTGAGTGAGGTAGCCGGGGCCCACATTATTGAAAGGTGGCAACGCATCTGCAACTCTACGGGTGTTCCAAATGTCCATGGGTGGCGGTTATTACTTAACATCAGGTGAATCGCCAGCTCCCTTGCCACCTTTTCACATAAAAAAAGATAATGGTGAATTACGAATGCTATTTTCACTCCGCTGTTCTTAATATGTTAGTAGTTCTGAACCGTATTACAACATCTGCTGTTATAGGAATTAGAAAGTTACTCTAATTATCCTGAGTTTAGGCCTGATTATTTATGAGTGTTTTATTTTCTCATTGTAAAGACACTGCACTTTCAGATTTCTGGGAATTGATAAAGAAACTCTCGTACGACTGTATGGCAACTGGAAATGTTACCACATACAGTATTACTGGTCGAAAATATTATTGTAAGTATTTTGTTAAAGATTTACTATTTCTTTTCATTATTGTGACAGGACGCTTTTGCTTATAGACTATGATATATATGAGATCTATAATAATATTTAAAAATACTCTGATGGATTATTATATGTCTTGTATATATTATTACATTACATTATTATATAGAATATATAATTATTAATCATAATACACTGACCGTAAAGGATAATGTGTGATCCAAAATGAGCTAACGTTTCATCAGTTATTTGAATCAATGCTGTCTTATTTCAATATAGGTTCGTTAAATCCGTATTATGCCATTAGTTGTTTTTTCAAGACAAAATGCAAAATATTTTTTTTTTAGTATTGTTTTAGTTTTCAGTTAATTATAGTCAATTTCAATGATGACTAGATGACGTCGTTGCTAAGCTATTGGTTCGGCGTCGAGCGTCGTGGGTTCGATCCCCACATAGGTCAAGTATTTGTGTGACATATTAAAGTTATTTGATACGATAATTGCCCCGGATCTGGGTGTTTGTTTCCCAAGGAGGGTTGACTTCAGGAAAGCTGTCGGTCGCAAGAACCGCTTAGAACATGATTAACATGTTGTGCCGACCCCACCTAGGTAGGCAGGGGATGATGATGATAGTTAATTTCAATACAAATATTACCTCTTGTGGAATGTCTCTCAGACCCGAATGGCGTAGTGGGTAGTGTACCTGCCTCCTGCGCCAGAGGGTGTGGGTTCGATCCCCACTACTGGAAAAATATTGTGTGATGAACATAGTGTTCTTCTAGTGTCTGGGCGTTTATATACGTATAATATGTATTTATTTACAAAAGAAAAGTTTGTGTTTAAGTATGTTTATCAGTTATCTAGCACCCACAGTACAATCTTTGCTTAGTTTGGGACTAGAGAACGTTGTGTAAAAATGTGTCCTAAAGTTTTTAATTTAATGTATTATACTATTTAATTGTTGAGTAATTGTTAAAGTTCACATCAGTGACTGAAAATGAAGACTTATTTTGCCGTCTCAAATATTGACTGCATATTTTGAACTGGAAAGAGTTTTTTAAACGTCTTGTAGAATGATAATGACTAGAAAAAAGTTGTTGAGTTATTGGATATCAAAGATTATTTATTAGTTTTATTTTCGACTTTTAACGTATAAATAGATATAGAGAGAATACAATAGATAAATGAAAGATAAGTATACAAGTTTAGCCAATGTCGGTTAAATGAAAAAAAAAAGCATATTAATAATTTGAATGAATATTTTGAGTATAAACCAAAAAATTAATTTTCAGTGGTAACAGACCCGGATGACTGTTTGACTGTATCAAATGCTTGCTTGGAAAAGGACCTCGTTTATAGGAATGCGAAAAGCTGTTATGGTGATGGGTTGGTGACCGCGTCTTGTAAGTATTTCATACTCTATAAGACAAGGATTAAAGCGAGCAAGCATTGTTTACTTTTATGTTCGGGTATAACTCCGTCATATGTAATTGACAGAAGGATTTGCAAAATTATTTTTTTATTCGAAAGGGTTTTAATCCGAAATGGTCCAATATACATCTTCTATATAAATAAAAATGAATGTCGGTAAGCGCATAACTCGAGAATAGCTGGACCAACTCGGATAATTTATTTTTTTGTATGTTCCTTAAGGTCCATCGGCAAAATCGTCTATCAACAGTTTGTTTTTCCTTGGCGTTCGCAAAACAATTCAATTTGGGCCGTTGTCAAATCTTTGTAAATAAACTCGTCCAAACGAGTGCGAATTAAACTAATACAACCGTAATTTTCTTGATTTTCTTCGTTTAACGTACATATAGGATCATTTTTTAACAATCTATTTTCGCGCTGTTCAAGCCCCTTATTTGAAATGCTTAGAGATTTTCTTCCTTATTTACTTTAAATAGTTTTCCTCTTGCAATCCGGGTTTCAGTTTGACACCATTTTTGCATACAAACAGTGTCTTTCCTAGGTCTGCCTATATTTTATTTCAGCCCTGTAGTCCCGGCCTCATAGAATAGGACTAAGGTATCTCCTGCCTGTCGTAAAAGGCGACTAAAAGGACACGGATTGGCAGCAGCTCGAAGTGGCTTCGAGGCGAAGCCGACACAGCATCGTAAAAATTTACTCTTATCGTTTTCCCCTAACGCGCCGCAAGAAGTAAAACTTAAAAAAGTAAACCCAAAAGTGTTAAAATATTGAGTACAAGGTACTAAAATGTTTCTATTCTTTCACGTTTCAGTGAGTAAATGGAAGGAACACCGCAGAATGTTGAATCCACAATTCAACTTAAATTATCTTAACGGCTTTCTGGTTGTATTCAATAAACAGGCGAGACTATTGGTGAAGGAGTTCGCACAGATGGAAAGGAAAGGTCCATTCGACCATGGTTCTATAATACGACATAATGAAATGAAAACTATCTGTTGTAAGTTAAGTTTTTTTATGAAAACTTATTGGTGTTATGACCAAGACTATGGGCCACGCAGCGGCTTTGGCTGTTGCTCTGTGAAATTTACCTCGTTTCTGTCACTAATTGTCTTATATACTTCTTGTTTCTTTTAATACCTTAAAACGGACACTGGAGTAATGGTTATGGTTAACGTTTGCGCCATTCTAATGACCAATTGCATATATTGTGAGTTTGGTCGTAACACGTGACACACATTTGCGTTATCAGTTGATCCAAATCTCTTTTTTATGTCAGAAGATTGATTTTTGTTAAACCCTATACACTGATTACATTGGGGAGCAGATGTTTTTTTAATTTTTAAAAATACCTCTTGAATGTACCTTGTAAATGTTTAATATCAGCAACCAATTATCCTTCTTTGTTAAAGCAACTTCACTTGGTGTTGATTTCATTGAAGACAAGGAAACTTTAAACGAGTATGCAACTGCGTTCGACATGATTTTTAACTGTTTGACCGAGAAAGTTCAAAAGTTTTGGTATGAAATCAGATGTGTTTGGTTGCGCAGTGGCCTCAAGAAGAAACGTGACAAATTTCGAACCACAATATACAACATAACTGATGAGGTAACTCCTTTTATATTTAATCCCTTTCATGCAAGAATTGTATTTATTGTAGTTTTATTAAATTATTTAATGTACAACAAATTATTAGTTAATGTTTTTCTACATGTTTTAATATTTAATGTAGTTTTAATTATTTAATGTATTATTAATTATTTAATGTAGTTTATTAATAAAGCTTTATGTATTCCAGATAATAAAAAAAAGGAAGGATAATCACAAGAACAAGGCACTGAATAACACGGACGAGGGTATGTTCTTTAGTCTAAATCGAACAGGATTACCTTTACACAATCATATGTATAGTTGTTGGTATCTTCATGATTAGTATTTAGTTTTTTCATTGGTGAAACCAATTAATTTCAGGGGACAATTTCAGACCATTCCTAGACATTTTCTTTGACCTAAAGGAATCTGTTGGTGATGAAAAGATGCCCGATAATACAATTAGAGACCACGTCAACTCATTGATCCTTGCTGGTCACGACACTGTCGCTATAGCTGTTCAGCTTACTCTGTTATTAGTCGGCTCTTACCCGGAAGTGCAAGAGCGACTTTATACGGAGTGAGTAAATAAAATATTGAGGTATAAGAAACGTTATCTCATTCATTTTAATATCAAGTACCTGGATGACCGTGCTTAGCTCGATATTTTTTAAAAAAAGTAAAAAAATAAGTGTGTAAATGATCGTGACACGAACCGCAGCCTTCCATTTCGGGGCCGGCCGATTACCAACCGACCGATTTTTTTTCGCCGAAATTTACGGTCATATTCGAATTTGTTCATTCCCTGAAATTTTGGATAAAATGACATTTTCTAAAAATGAAACCTAGCCAGATCGATTTTTCGCCCCACATACCTACATACTAAATTTCATGAAAATCGCTTAAATTATTACTTCATATAAGGGGAGATATTGAACTGGCTATTTTAATAAAAGAAAGAATTAATACTATGCTGTACATCTCAACCAATTTGGAATAAAGATTTGCGGATGTAATCATGTTTTAAAGGTTATTCTCAAATGTTTTTTCTTTGTTGCCTGGCTTAGCGTGTAAATAGCTTGTTTTTCTTATTTTTATAATTGTCATCCTTTGCTAGAATACCTATGTAAAGTAAAAAAAAATAACAGCCTATACATGTCCCAATACTGGGCAAAGGCCACCTCAGTACAGAGGGTATCAGGGCATAGTGCAACAGGCGGACCCATTGCGGATTGGCGAACATCACATATTTGCGAAATATTTTTTTTATTATTTTGAAAATATGCCTCATGGTTTCCTCACGATGTTTTCCTTCACCGCTGAGCACGTGATAAGTAAGCACTTAAAATTAACAATTTCATTGCTGCTGGCACTGCGGACTTAAACACGAGCATCTGGACACTATGCTATCACGGCTCTACTACTAAAAATGTAACATTTGATAATAAAGTAACAGTAAATGTTTTATTTGAGGTTGGTAGATGTATTCGGTGACTCGAACCAAGACGTCGAAAAAGATGATCTGACCAGATTGCATTATTTGGACGCTGTATTGAAAGAGTCATTACGCTTCTACACGATGGCTCCTATCGTAGCTCGTTACGTCGCTGAGGATTTAAAGCTCAGTAAGTATTAAAATTGCATGTAATAGTTTTTGTTGCTTTTTTAAAGTAACAGCCTATAATCTCACACAGCTGGGCAAAGGCTTACTCTCTACAAAGATTATTAGGGCACACTTAACCACGCGACCTCACTGCGGATTGACTTCACATCGATGTATGAAAAACATTGCCCTTACTTTAGGATAACATTATCCTGTGTTGTAAGGACGACAAGGTCACGTGGAAAACACCCACATGCGAACCAACTGTCTCTGGGTCACACCCGTAATATCCCGTATGGGAATCGAACTTACGACCTCCGACGCCAAAGCCAATACCTTGGCGACTTCGCTACGGAATCAACATCACATATCTTAGAAACATCTTTTTATATTATTTTGAAAACATGCGGGTTACCTTCACCGCCAAGCACGTGATAAGTCGGCACTTAAGATTGTAATTGACAATTTCATTTTTACTGGCACCAGAAATTTAACTCAGGTTGCTCGAGAAAATTGAGTTAAAAGCGAGTGCCCAGGCACTGAGCCAACACGGCTCAGAACTCTTGTTATTTCTATTAATGGCTTATATTCTTTGTCTTATTTATCTTCGACATATATAGTTATATGTCGAAGATAAATAAGACATATATTTATATATATATATGTCTTATTATATAAGATGTCATGATATATTCTTTACTTTTAATACAGATTTAAACAATGTAGCTGAAGTCGATGTAGGTGTCGACAAAATTGACGTGTCATGTTAGAATTATTTTTAGAAAATTCTTTTTTTTAAATAATTTTTACGTGCTTATATCATTCTTGTATTTGATATTGCTTAAAAGGATTGTAATGGAAGCTTTATTGTGTTTATTTGTTACAGTTAATGGCGAGACTTTTTTACTATGATTAATATTTTTTTTACTATGGTTTCAGAGAACTACACGCTCAAAGCTGGGGGCGCTTGTATTCTCATGCTTTACGGTGTCCATCGACTACCAATGTGGGGCAAAGACGTGGAGGAATTCAAGCCGGAGCGATGGCTCGACCCAGCCGCGTTACCTGAGAATCCGAACGCCTTTCTACCTTTCAGCCTCGGAAAGAGAGTATGCATAGGTGAGGCTCCAGTTTATTCTTGTCTAGCGTTTGACTTTCATTTGAAAGATCTACTATGTTTACGCGAAAGTTAAACATTATATTTTTTTTATTATCTTTATTTTTATGGGATTATGAATATACGCCCCCATCGTTACTTACACAGATCACAACAACTTACGAAATACGAATCCTTAAAATTATAGATTTATCAAACCGGGAATTGCTGTTTGTTGATTTGAACAAGGCCGCAAATACGTTTTATTGTTTCACTTTTGGGATTCGCCAATATATTAAATATAAGACCGACATCTAATAAATTTACATTCATATCTTTAAACAGCAGTTCCCTTTTATTTCAATTCCTTTCACAGTCCATCAGCATATGATACACATCATTGATTTTATTGCATACCTCACAATAGGGTGAAGCAGCCCTTCCCATTAGGAAAGAAAATTTTGCGATGGATAGTGCCCAGAACGAAGAATTTACAATCATCAAACCAAAGTCCACACAGAGGCTCGTTTTGAATGACTTTATACCATAGTCTTTTCTCTTTTGATATTTCGTTAAAGTTGTTTTTCCAATTGTTAAAACATTTTCTTTTAAACCTTGCAACATTTTCCCAATAATCTGGCAGATATGAGACCTCATTACCCCTCTCGACAGCCAATTTTGATAACCGGTCTGCCTCCTCATTACTCCGCAATCCTACGTGTGCTGGAACCCATTGCAATATAATTCTACAATTAACTTTGGTAAAACCATAAATCATTTTTAGAATATCATAGGCTATCGAAGCACATCTGCAGCCAGAGACGCATCGAGCCAAATGCAATAAAGCACTCTTGTTATCGGTAAAAATCACCACTTTATTGATATTTTGATTAAAGGCGTCCAGGCGAACATTACATTTTTATTTGAACTCCCGACGTTTACTAATTGTTCGGTATGCAGAACTATATATTTGCAGGGACGAACTTAATGTCATTGGCATTAATCTGCTTGTCAACCTTTGGTTGGTCCAGAATAGAATAAAAAACTTCTTTTTTGTTTAATTTTTTTATATTTCAGCTGCATTGATCGGTTGCTTCATCAAATTAAACTAGAATATTTTTTATAACTTATTTTTATACATTACTTTTATCAAAGTTTAAGTATGAAACCGTTTTAAAATAAGAAACAACGTGTGAGTTGATGTTACAGTTAATTTGAGGATAATTATTTTATTATAGCTTTATTTTTTTATTTAAGTTTTTTTTATGTGAGTAAGTGGCAAACGTGCTGGCGGTTCACTTGATGTTAAGTGATAACCGCCGCCGGTTGCAGATGCGTTGCCACCTTTTAATAAAATAGGCCCCGGCTACCTCACTCACCAGACGGAACGCAGAAGTGTAACACTTCTACTTCAACGCCGGTCTTCTGTGAGGTTGTGGTACCTACCCGGACGGACTTTCGTGCAACAGTGAACACCGTTGCGTGGACCTACCACAGTGAAAAGTTTATGATATAAAGTAATTATATTTTTACTGAATTCGCAGGTAAATCATATTCAATGATATCGATGAAAACGACCCTGGCACATGTTCTGCGGAAGTATCGCGTCGAAGCTGACCATACAAAGCTGGTGTTCAAATACGAATGTTTGTTAAAGGCCGTTTCGGGACATTACATTTCAATAGAAAAAAGATAATGTTCTTTTTATGTCGAATATTTTCGTATACTTATTCGTATATTAAATACAACGAACGTTTTTATAAAAATTATGCTAATTTTATTATGATGCGCAACTGTTTCAGAAAACTTATAAATTCTTATTATACCTTAAAATAATTCCATGTGCTAGAATCATCGAAAAATAGTTTTAAAATATAATAAGTTTAACGATAGCATTAATTATTGAAATTTTTTGCACTTACGGGATTTCAATTACACGAATACTTATCTGCGAAAAGAAAGACTCGCGTTTTTTCAATATGTTTATTTAAGAAGGTGACAAATTAGTGCTGCTAGGGTTGTTGGTTTGGTGGAGGCAATCTAACTCGAACTGCGACTACAATAGATTTTCTAGGTCGATTTAACTTACTACCAAACCCCCCCTTCCCAGTGAATGCAAAAAAAACATGGACGCTACAGGTTCATACAAGTGATTGTTAGAAAATAGCTCCACAACTCAGACTAGCAGTAATCAGGCACAAATATATACAAATAAATAATACACTGAATTATCTTCTAACAAAAATGAACTTATTTCTTAGTTTAACTATATAAATTATTTTTTGTTATTATTTCGAAAATATGCAGGTTTCCTCACGATATTTTCCGTCACCGCTGAGCACGTGATAATTCGGCACTTAAAATTAACAATTACATTGGTGGCGGCACCGGGGATCGAACTCAGGTTGCTCGAGTATATTGAATTAAGCGAGCGCCCGGACACTGAGCTATCACGGCTTCTAGCATACATAATTATTTTTTTATAACTATTGATTCATTTCTTATCTATATGATATTTATCTAAATCACACTTCATAATATTTTTTTTCGACAACTGTTCAACAAACAGTTTGAAACGTAGGTACATATTTAATTGTATTTTAATAATTAATTAATTTTTTTGCGCTTGTCTCTCCACTTAAGATGAATCTTAAAATGAGTAGACAAAAAGTCAAAAACTTTGTCAGTCCTTTGCTCTAAACACTCGATATCCTCACCGAGCGAAAATCTCGAAAGCTTATCTACTTTGTTTCATTGATAAATTTGTTGTTCGTGTCATTAAACAACATATTTTACTTCGCTTCATTTGTCTTAATAAAATCTCTTATCAATGTTAATTAAAATTTTGCAACATTTATATTTATGTTACTTGTTACATTATAAATATAAACCTTATTGAATAAAATATACGATTAACTGAAAATAAGTTTTTATTTAATCTTTAATTATATATTTGGATTCACAATTTCGAATATATCTCAAGGAGTTCTTCGCTCTAAGGATGATGTAATGCCCCGTTGCAGTTTTAAGCAAGCAGTCGAACGTATTGACCATTTTAAGATGATCTCCTGATACACGATAGTGGCGTAGCACATGAGAAATGATCGTCTTCATTATGAACATCGCGTATGGCCTTGCTGTAATTATTAATTATATTTTAAAAATACAGCGTAGCCCGTAGGCTACTCCAGAAAAATATAATCAGACACTAATGAATCTTATAACAGCATATTTTATTCTCACAGATTGGTGAACGGCAACAGAATTACCCCATTAGAGAATTATTATTATCATTTAGAATCGTTAGAGATCTTTCGCATTATTATTTACATATATTACATTTAATATTACCTATGCATACTCTTCTTCCAAGGCCAAACGCAACAAATGCATTTGTATTCTCCGGTAGGGTTGATTGCTGCAGCCATCTTTCTGGCTTAAACTGCTCCGGATTTTCTCCCCATATTGGGTGTCTGTGTACGCCAACGTACAACAAGACGCAGGTGTTACCCGAAGAAAGCGTATAATTTTCTAAAATTTGTTATCCACGATTATTGCACATTAAGACGATTACTACTGCACGTCAGATAATTGAATTCGTCTAGAAGTATGTGAATCAAGGCTAAAGAACCAGTAGACACATGCTAAGTTTGTTCTTTTTAGTTTTTAATGATTCTAAATAAAAACGATATGATGTAATTGAGAAGTTATAAGATTACTACTATTTGCTTTAAGCTTTGAAGATACTGAATGCAAGTAAGTGATTTAATGAAACTCACTCAGCTGAACATCTGTATCAACCTTTCGAGCCACGACTGGTACAACAGGGTATACTCGCATTGTTTCCTTCAAAACTGCTTCTAAATATACAAGACGTGCCAAATCTTCCTTTGTGACATTTCTGTCAGATTCTCCGAATACTTCCTGTAGCCTATAAACATAAATTGAATTAAAAAAATAATAAACTAGTGTTAATAGTAAAGTAATGCTACGAATATTTTTTTCATTGTTTAATTTTATAATTGAGTAAGACATAAGGTTTTAAAATGTAAGTAACATAAATAGCTCACTCTTCGCAAATCTTTTCTTGAACTTCAGGATATGAGCCAATGAGAAGCAAAGTAAAGACCAACGTTCCTGCAACAGTGTCGTGACCAGCAACAATAAATGTATCGACATGTTCCCTAATTTCTTGTTCCGAGAAGGCTTCCTTTCCATTAGAGTCGTTAAGTTCGAAAAGCAGATCCAAGAATGGTTTAAATTTCTCACCTAAAAATTCCACCATTTTAGTGTGTAATAATGTTAATCGTATGTCTGTTAGCTTCTATTGCTGTTCTTGGAATCCGTTAAAGATTATTGTAGAAAATTATTAGTTCTTGTATTTAGCGTCTTTTTTCGTTTGTTTCTATTTTGTTTGAATATTCGCTCGCTTTTAATTCCTAGGCAAATGAAAGAAATTTTTGACATTCTAGTGATATTTGCTATTGTCTGTTATTTAGAAGCTAAGAAATGCCGCTGCTTTTGCTATTATATTCCTATGCGTACTCGTTCAGGCAAGAAGAGTAGATTAAGTTTGTGGTAGTCTTCTGTTTTATTTTTGTCTTCTGACTGACTTAAGTATTTATATATTTTTGGGGCTCGCATTTTAAACCATTACAACTCCACCGGCGTTATGTATGTCCTTGGGTAATGAAAATCATTCATCATCGAATGAATCACAACATCTTCTAAAATAAAAAAAAAAGGAATACTACTTTTCATACTGTTAGGTTAAGCGGATTGAAAACAGTCTCACTGATACTTTCATGTACTCTTTTAACAATCGTGTTTCGTGCCCAGACGCTTTCAACACTAAGCTTAGTTGCAAAAGCGTCAGCACGATCCAGGAAGACGTGGGTCCCGCAGGGACGAAAAAACCTTCTTCTTCATTCTTTTTCTACTTTTAATATTTCACTTGAGATAAGCATTATAAAAGTTTAAAACAGTTTAGTTAAACATACCTTTTAAATCCAAATCATTGCTTTCTTTGCTATGAAAATTTTTCTTTCTATTTTGTACTACCTGGAGATGGGAGAATAAAGCAGGTAAAAGTTTAAAAAAAAAATGTAAAATATACTTTATTGTACACCAAGAGAACTACAGGATTTATAACTGACAAGACACATGGGTACAACAGGTGGCCTTATCGCTAAAACAGCGATCTCTTCCAGTCAACGTTAGGGCAGCTGATACATTAAGAAGAAACCGGCAGGGTGTAGGTAATAATAAATAATAAGAAATGTAACACAGAAAAGAAAATTTATATATATATATATATATATATATATATATATATATATATATATATATATATGAATATATGAATTGGTTATAAGAACATGACTATTATTAATGAGATTACCATGTTAGAAATACTACGCAGTTCTTTAACAAGCTCATCATGTTTTTTCTTTGTGGAGGTTAGATTCCAAATAAATTCATTGTGCAGCCAAACTTTTTGAAATCTCTCACACAAAATTTTAAGTAAAGATTCTGAGGCGTGTCTGTAACGATCGTTCAAATCGTTATTTTTACTGAAGTTTACACCAAATGCTGTTACTGAAAAAAGGACAACTTCGCTATAAATTTAAAATAATAATTACGTATTTCTTTGAATTTTGTACTTTAGGGAATCAACAAACATTTAAAAAAGAAATCAAATGAAGCTAAAATTTATTCGAATGAAATTTTCTACAATTTTAATTTCAATGTACATTTTAATTCAATGTACAATCGTGTGCCAATTTAGGAATTGAGAAACAAAGTTTTTTCGTATTTCATAATGTATCATATTTAATTTTGTTTTGTGGAAAGTATATTTTTATTATCCATAAAACACACAATGTTATCGCAATACAATCTGTCAAATCGTATTATTTAAGACTGTAAATTATTTGCCCGAATCTAAGAAATTAATGTTTTCACCTAAATAAGCCATGGCTGCCCTAGTCAAACTGTGACAGGACACTTAGTATTTGTACAGGGATTCTGATAAAATGATATTGATGTACATTTTTTTTCAAACCATCACTTACAACAGATTGCTTCCATTGCAGTACGACGTATATAAGGATCATGATCGAAGGGCGCTCGGCCGACTTCTACTTTTAGATCTTCAACCAATTGCCTCGCTTGATCATTGAAAATGTCCAAAAATCCTAGCATGAATTTCTGGTTGAATGCTGGATTAAGTATTTTTCGGTGCTCTTTCCAAATGGGTACTGCAAATGTTGAATAATATATCGAACCACTCCTGTTCCGAAAGAAATGGTTTGGGAGAAATGAGGGCGGCGAGAGAACATAGTCCATCCACCAGTAAAGAATAATGCGCTCGTTCGTCTTGTCCGAACAATTTATGAGATAGCTTGAGGCCTGGTTGGGCAGTCTGTTCAGCTTGCAAATGCCTTTAATTATACCCTCTTCAATAACAGATTAGTGGGCGAGGTGGAGCATTAAAAACATTATAACTTATTTTACTGGGCCTGGCTCCCCCTCTCTTTGGTTGAGTGGTTTGGCGTGGCGGAGCGGTTTAGTTGGCTTTGTCACCCACGGTGAAGCCAAGAGGAACACAGTGCCGGCCTGTGGTATAGCGCCTGCCAGAGGGAACTCTGGCCTGCTGGGAAGGTGCGGGGACAGGTATAGGGTCTGTAAGTACCACGACCTCACAGAAGACCGGCGTAAAGTGGAAGTATAATACTTTCGCGTTTCGTCTGGTGAGTGAGATAGCCGGAGCCCAATTTTCAAAAGGTTGTCAACGCATCTGCAAACCTCGGGTGTAGCAGATGTTTATGGGCGGCGGTATTCATTTAACATCAGGTGAACCGTCTGTCCGCTTGGCAACTTTTCACATAAAAAAAAAAACTGAGTTGGTTTCGCGGGAAAAGAGGAGAATTGGTATTAAGTTGGGCTTCTCTCCCTATCCTCCGTTACTAGGTGGGACTGCGAAGCTGATACAGTAGTGTTGGGTTCACGGGGGGAGAGGAGTGTCAGTATTATGTTATGCTTTTCTAGGGAGAAAGACGTATCGACCTATATAGGGTAGGGACCCTCCGTGACCGAAACACCGTTACCAGCGAAGCTACACAGCAAGTCCACCGTTCGAGGCTAAGAAGCTGGCTGCTTATTAGCATTGGCTCTCTTGGCTCCGCAAAACGGCTCGAGTAGGAAGGCGCTGGATATTCGTGTATGCTTTCTTTCCAGGATAGGCGAGTTGCTTTCCGAGGAAGGGTTTGTAAGGCGACCAGCGCTGGCAGGGTCGCGGAAGTTTGCAAAAGTGTTTAGTCGAGTCCGAAAGGGCGGGTACGCGTAGGCATTTCCCCCACGTTAACAAACATAAGGGCCTACGGCTGACTTGAGTTTCAGATTTTTACTAATATCTTTGACTTCTAGGGTCATTAAATTAAAGGGTCGCCAGCTGGTGGTAACGCAGCCCTGTTCGATAACGGGAATGACCTTCGACAAGTCAACTGAATCGACGTCTTCGCGAGATGGTAAGTACTCAATTACGTTTACTGCCCTGAAAAAATTTACGTGGGGAGCAAAAGCTTAATAAATAAACTAATATAATCAAGTATAAAATATGAGAAGATGGCACATGTAACTGCGTGATATCATAACAATGAGAATGCTTAAATGAATGCCGTACCTGAGGCTGTCACCAAACCTTCCCCAAAAAATGGTTTTGCAAATTCATATACAACGTCCTTTCCTAGGCACAGATTTGCAACCTTCAGGCAATCCTCCGGATCAGTTATCACTGTAATTATTGGTTAAGTTTAACTTTAAGTAAAGTAAGTAAAGAAAACTGACCAAAATAATTTTCTTTACACGCAAAGTTTAAATGGATACATTTATATGGTTTTATGTGGATGATGATTTGATGTATAAGGTAATTCTATATTTTGTTATCAGCACGATAAAAGTTAAATAAAGACTTTACAAGTTATTAACACGTAAATAATAAAATATTAAGACAGAATACCATAATATTTTCGCAGGCCTATCAATATAGTACAAGCTTGCTGTCCAGTTGAACATTTGTTCGAAACATATTTTAAAACATTCCAGAAATCTGTAACAATAATTATATTATCGTTAATTAAATAATGAATAAGAATAGGACGGTGATTTAATGCTTACATAAACTTAAGAGTTCATGTAATTGTAATCCTAAGTTTATGTAAGTGGGTTTTGAAGTATAAATAAAAAAATAATTGTGGTACGGCCACACAACAGTCTTCGCTGTTGTATGAATGGGCATGTCCGTCCAGAGAAGTATCACGACCTCACAGAAGACCGGCTTGAAGTGGAGGTTTTACATTTCTGCGCTTCGTCTGGTAAGTGAGGTAGCCGGGTTATTAGCAATCCTACGTATGTTGCAAATGTTCATGGGTCGCGGTTATCACTTACTCGTAATATCAGGAGAACCGCCAGCTCTCTTGCCATCTTCTCACATAAAAGAAAAATGAACAGATCATAACATTATTTTCTATAGCTTTACAATGCATTTGCTACGTAGCCTCATTTTCCTTTCAAAATAACATATTCTTTTGATGTACCTAACTAATTAAAACTCAGCCACTCGAAAATATTACATCTCGTACCGGTTTCCTCTTTCATCAAGAAACTTTTTTGCTGTTGTACTTTTTTTTAATAACTACTATCTATTTAAAAAAAAAATTAACATTTAAACCCATTAGGTCGATAAAAATTTAATGAAAAGCCTAGAATAAGTAATGGTTTAAGAACAGGCCTTCTGTGTACTCTTATATCATATGAGCATTTAGTTTCATAAGCTTACTGCACCATATACACAGACTCGATAACGCGAATGACCATCCTCATACTGGGGAATGAAGAAGACTTATTAACTAGCGACCCGCCCCGGCTTCGCACGGGTGCAGTGTATTAAACGTATAAACCTTCCTCTTGAATCACTCTATCTAGTAAAAAAACTGCATCAAGATTCGTTGCGTAGTTTTAAATATCTAAGCATACAAATGGAAAGACAGACAGCGGGACGACTTTGAATATTCATTGACGATTATACTATGATATCAATGACTCTCGGTGATAACTTAACACATTCCCGATCGTTTACCACTTTCTTCCATACGAAAAAAAAAACCACTCACGCTTAGTGTCACCGATGAACAATTGCGCTTCGTGGTAACACTTTCTTCCATACGAAAAAAAAAAACACTCACGCTTAGTGTCACCGATGAACAAATGCGGTTCGTGGTAACACTTTCTTCCATACGAAAAAAAACCACTCACGCTTAGTGTCACCGATAAACAATTGCGCTTCGTGGTAACACTTTCTTCCATACGAAAAAAAAACCACTCACGCTTAGTGTCACCGATGAACAAATGCGCGTGCCCTATGAGAGGCAGCTCACCGGACAATCTTGGAGGTTCTCGCAACTTTTTTACAGTAGCTAGTTTCCAATACAGCAATAGAAGTATCACTAGCAATATCACTGCAGCCGTCAGCATAATGATCTGCAAAGGGATTATAGCAAATACAATGACGCTCTTTGTATTATTTACAGTCTCAGTAATGATAAAAATAGTGTAAGACCTCATCATTTCTGATTATATAAGAAACTATTGCAGCTGATCCGGCAAACGTTGTTTTGTGGAATTTCGTAAAATCCGTTCTTAGCTGACCTTTACTCGGCGAAAGTCTCTACGCATAATGGTTCCAGAGATATCGTGATGATTACTATAAAAGTTAGACTTCTTTAGCGAAACAAAAGAAAAAGAACAAAATGTGACATAAAAATTATGAGAGTAAAATTTTATGATGCGAGCGCATACCGACTGTCAAAAAGTCCAGCTTTGCAACCAACTTTGTCATCTCGCTTCACAAGTTTTCTAGTATTTTTTCCTTTATTAATTGCATTTAATGTATTTTTCACAAAGTAAAAGTTCGGGCAAAGGGGATATAATTTGTAGCAATAAAAATGTGATTCAGGTACTGTGACCATAAATTCATCTGTTGTCAATTAAAAAAGAGGTAATCTATTGCTCATTTCGACAATGAGTTCATAACGACATTTTAATGTTGATTTGTTTATAGAAAAAGTATTATTACCAATTATATGGACGGAATTTTAACGTACTTGTTGCAACAGTTACTTTATTAAGGCTAACTAAGAATTTTGAAAACAACCGTTTTATAGTCGAGCGTATATGTACTGCGACTGCAAATTTACTTGGTTAATGCTTTATATTATAATCACGCGGAATGTAAATGATCCCAAATCAAAAGTAATAAACTAAAGAAAATTTAAATATCATTAAAATTCAAGCTTACAATCGTTCTTTTTGTTCGTTTTATAGGTACATAGGTAGATATAACAATATAAAAAAGATAATTATGTTGATTAAGCACTGATTGATTAAGTCACTGATCACTATCTTTACTAATAATAAAAGATTCGATGTGTCTGTATATATTTATGAAAAAAATAAATAGGTTATGAATCATTTTTGAAAATTTTCTTCAAAACCACTTATCGGATTTTGATGCAATTTTCACTGGTTAGCTTAGCTTGGGGCAACATATAGGCTCTATTTCATCGCAATCCGTTCACTCAAACGGAAGCTATGCCAGTACTAAAGTTCAAGCAGTGCAACCGCAAACTGTGTTACCTTAGTTAGCCAACTACTCGATCAATTTTGTTGGTGTTTTTAACCTTTTAAAGAATACTGTGCAACATTCGAGCTTTTTTCATTGCAATCGACTCACTCAAACTATTGTATGCGAGTACTCCTTAACTTTTTTTAATTTCTGTTCATTTATGATTTTCCTATTAAAGGAAACTTAACTGGTATTTGTACAAGCTATTTTTAATAACTATAAGTGCGGTGCTATACTGTATGTTTCCCAAATAAATAAATTAACTAATAAACCACAAGATCGATTTGTATGCGATTTTAAACAGCGCGTTAGTATTTTTTTTTTTTTTTTTATGTGAAATGTTGCCAAACGAGTAGACGGATCACCTGATGGTAAGTGAATACCGCCGCCCATGGACATCTGCTACACCCGAGAGTTACAGATGCGTTGACAACCTTTTAAAAATTGGGCTCCGGCTACCCCACTTACCAGACGAAACGCGAAAGTATTTTTCATACTTCCACTTTACGCTGGTCTTCTGTGAGGTCGTGGTACTTACCCGGACGGGCCTGCCCATTCGTGCAACAGCCGAGGCTGCTGCGTGGCCCTACCACCGTTAGTCTTGCTATATTCAAGTTGCGTTTCATCGTAATCGATTCACTCAAACAGAAAATATACGTTATTAATTACCTGATCAATTTAAATAGTTTAATTTTTTTTTCAAATGACATAGTTCGCAATTAAAAAAAATTAACATCAATACAATACGTGCTATCAGCGATAAATTTTTTACTATGATAAATTGAATTTTTCGTTTCAAAATAAAAAGGTGTTACTTAACAAACTATTCAATTTATAAAATTAAAACCCACCTTAGATAAGTAACGGTATCGTATCCGTATAGTTCCTGCGCAAAAACTAGATTGCGTTGGTAAATTCCTAATATGTGCTATATTTTTCACAAGGTTACTTAATGGACAAGATAACAAAGCGCTGACTATTTACATTGTAATAATCATTCTGAGAATTTGCGAGCTCGTATATTATATATATCGTAAGTATACTCGTATGTTAGAGATTATCTAATAGGTACGATTTTAATTTTGCTCGGTAAACGGGTATTCTTGAATTATGTTAGTTGTTAAGAATAGTAAATAAAACTTGATTTGGCTAAGCTAGGATATTCGGATATATTGATTTTGGTATGTGGTTTGGAAACTTGCTGCACTTGCTTTTTTAGTATTTTCTGTACAATTCAATTTTCTTCAAAAATATTGGATTAGGTATCGATTTTGCATTTATTGGAAATATGCTTCAGAGACTGTGTCAGAGCAGCAAAAAGAATGACAATTAGATCTCTTGAGATTCTTGAATCTGACGAGAAAGGCTGAGCGATCTAACGAGAATTTTAACTGAGCACCAATAAAGGGCGTTTACAGGACGTTCAACGGGCCTCCATCCTTGCTGACATTCCACGCACAAAAACGATGAGATTCGCTTCATCCTTATAACGTAGGCGGCATCAAGTGATAAGGTTTTTACTGAATTAGCGCGCTTACCATTAACGGCTGGCATCGCTACTTGCCATCAGTTAGGATGGCAATCGAGTTAGAAATTAAACGCAGTTTAAAAAAAAAAGTAAGATTTTACTAAAGCTCGGATAAATGCGGATATTCTTGAGTTTGCTTTGCGATTTGGTTAGTTGTTAGGAATATAGCTAAACAAAAACTTGATTTGGTTAGGCTAAGGAATTCTGATATACTGATTTTGCTTTGTGTTTAGGAAATTGTCTTGGTTATTTCATTGTCTAGTATTTGTACGTCGTAGGCGTAATTTCAATTATACAATAATTGTAACGTTAGACACATTTAATGCTTGGAAACAGACTGTTGCTGCGCATACTGTATAAAAGTTAAATTCGTATTTACTTAAATACAAACAACTTTTATTTGTTTTTTTTATGTGAGAAGTTGGGATACGAAGTAGCAGTTTGCTTGATGTTAAGTAATAACCGTTGCCCATTGACATTCGAAAAACCCGTAGGTTTGTAGATGCGTTGCCACTTTTTACAAAATGGGATCCGGCAACCAGACGAAGTTCAGAAGTATAACACTTCCACTTCACGCTGGTCCTTGTGACGTCGTGGTACTTACAACAGCGAAGATTATTGCGTGGTCATACCATTGTTAAAAGGCCACAGTTTCGTATTTTAAACACTTTTAATTATGATTCCTTTTATGTGACTAGTTGCCAACCGAGCAGGTGGTTCACCTGATGTTAAGTGAATACCGCCGCCCATGGAAATCTGCTATACCCGAGATTTCCATATGCGTTGACAACCTCTTGAAAATTGGGCTCCGGCCATCTCACTTACCAGACGAAATGCGAAAGTATTATACTTCCACTTTACGCCGGTTTTCTGTGAGGTCGTGGTACTTACCCGGACGAGCCTGCCCCTTCGTGCAACAGCCGAGAATGCTGCGTGGCCCTACCACCGTGAAAATAAAACCGGATCTGATCATGGCAGCCCAGAGAAATCAAGGGGCAATCTTCAAATGTTATAGGTATTAACAATATTTTTCATATATTTTCTAAAGGTATTAAGACATTTACGTATGCTCATTATCATTTCATGGCGCTGAGCTAATGAAGGAATGTACATCTCTTCAACGGTTAGGAGTTAAGTGATTTCTTGTTCTAGAATAATATATAGAGACTTGTCGATATCTGATTTCTCTGGAGACAACAGGGTGACTGCTAGAAACTAGAAGTATGAATAATTTTAACCGTCTTTAAGGAAAGAAGGAGGAGGTTGTCAATTCGATGCGTATTTTTAACCGACTTCAAAGAGGTAGGAACTACTCAACGATTTACAGCAATTACCTGATGTTTAGACTTAATTTAGACTTAAACGTATGGGTTATAAGTACTATTACAGGTCTGATGATGGAAACAACGATTTACAACAGCTATCTTTTGTTGGGCTTAATTCATACGGTTCAATATGCCAAAATGTTCAGTTCGGACAGAAATAATAACTTATTAAGTTTTACATAGGAATACTTAGTAATTTTTTATTGTGAAAAATGAAAAAATAGAGGAAACCGAGATACGAAATGACATAATTCTTCGTATATAATGGTCAGATAAGAATTGCAAATTATACAAATTAAAAATTACTGTTTAATTACTTATTACTACTACAAATTAAAAGTCAAGAAACTTATATCTAAACTACACTAAAAATAACAGAGCTTAATTATTTGCATTCAATTCAATATGTAATGTATATAATATATATAATATATATTTTATAAATATATATAGATAATGTAAATATCTTTAATAATTATATATTATTAAAGATGTTTACATATAGAAGACAAAATATATAAATAATACTTATTATTTATCATTGTGTATTCAAAAGTTGTATTAAGAATTAATTGTACTAAGGTTGTTGTTGTAATTACTTGGCACCGACGTCATGATTATTAAATACTTATTTAATTATTTCTGAGTAACTAAATCAAAATACGAATTACTTTGTGCTAAGTAAATCTTTTTTTTACTGTTCGGTCTCCTGTTTGAAGTCAGTTTTTTTGTTATAAATTATTTTATCTGCGTAACTTTTTTAACCTTAATTTGAAATAACTAATTATAAGAACTAATATAAAAGAGCTAAGAGTTGTAAAAGTTTTATTTGTGGAAGTGTTCGTAGTATTTAATAATAATAAGAAATTATCTTCTTTCTATTGATATGAAATGTCCCGAAACGGCCTTTAACAAACATTCATATTTCAACTCCAGTTTCGTATGGTCAGCTTTGATGCGATACGTCCGAAGAACATGAGCGAGGGTTGTTTTCATCGACATCATTGCATATGATTTACCTGCGAAGGCAGAAAAAAATGTGCTCAGTGAACACTTTATATTTTTAAACGGTTTTATTTAGCTCGACACGTACGGAATTTATTTGTTTATTTGGGTCAAAATTAGAAATTGAAATTTAAGCATCTTCCCGTTGTCAGATTGATCTGAAATTTGGTACACACATTTAATTTAGATGACATTACAATATTGTAGTTTTCAGGGCACAAAAAAAATACAGAAAATAAAACCGTTTTCATGTCATTTTAATGTAGTGGGCCCTGGCTACCTTATTAACCAGACGAAACGCAGAAGTATAAGGACCGTTGCCCGGACCTACATTTTCGGTTCTCGGATTATTGGTTAAGATCAAAGTGTAGCAACACTTTATATTCCCGATAAGATCAAAATAGCTCCAAATAAATATACGTTTAAAAAGTTAGTTCGAGAAAGGTAGAATACCTATTAAATCAGTGATTTTGTTTGGCTTATCCCATGCTCGGTTTTTATTATCCATATATGTACATCTACAATATTTATGTATAAATATTCGAGAATATATATATATATGATTTATACTATATATCTTATCCATATATATATATATATATATATATATATATATATATATATATATATACATGTATATCCATACATGTATGTCATATATATGTAGTTTATGATTAATAATATTTATATACATATTCGTATATATCCACACATTACATTTAATTTGATTTTTATGTATATATTTTCCTACTTTTATTTACTTTAGTTTCTACTTTAGCCATCTACTTCTCACCATGACAAGGGTTGACTGGTAGAGAATGCCACTAGGCATTAAGTCCGCCCATTGTAGCCTTATAAAAGCCTAAATAAATAAATAAATAAATAAATAAATAAATAAATAAATAAATAAATAAATAAATAAATAAATAAATAAATAAATAAATAAATAAATAAATAAATAAATAAATAAATAAATAATAAATAAATAAATATATTTAAAAGCTGTAACTGATAATTATGATTAAATTAGATTTTTCATTTTTTATCATTTAGAAAACACTATCTAACAAACTTCTAAAGATTGTAGATTGAAATATTATGCGTTGTTTCTATTCTGATATTTTTATCTTGATAAGGTTTGATCATCCATACTAATAGTTTTTATTGTAGTTTTGTTGTTTATAATGGACTGTAACTGTGTTGGCTCAGTTGAAACAACTCTTGTTCTTTATCGTCTATAAGGACCGACTACTTTTAGATGATAAGTAGGCAAAGTCTCAACTCTTCCGATCAACTTATTTAACTATGATTTTGAAATAAGAGCATATGAGGCAAGCGATTAACGTGGTTCAGATAAGTTTAAGACTTAAATTGCAAATTAAGAACTGAAGTGAATTATAAAGTAAGTAATACGGTGGATATGTCACCAACTAGTAACATGTCCTCATAAAAAACTAGCGGGACGTGATACAGAGTAACTAGACACTGTATCTCTTTAAATCGGGAAATACCATGTAAATATTCTGTTGTTGTGAATACCAATATATGGCGGTGGTTGTTTATCATCATGGTCACTTGTTTACAGTACACACGTACTATTAAGTGTTTTGATTTTAATATAATTAGTTTACGGATTTTGCTCTGGTTTATATTTAATTCGAAATTAGGTTGTTGTGAGTGGTTAAGTACATTAATCCTAATATATACACGCACTGGGATGCTGAACGTTCTGATACTTGTTGTCTGCTATCACCGTTTACTCGAGCTACTGAACTATTAACAGAGCAATGATAACACTAAAGGCTGAGCAATGTCATTACACCAAAAGCAGTGCATTCATAACTAAATAATAACTGAAATTAAAGATGTCGGACCAAGTAAGTATGTAAGTTTTGTTTAGATTATGTATTTGCGCCATTTGCTGTTGAAACTTTTTTGTCCGTGGGGTCCCCGTACATTGATATGTTTGAAAGATTTACGTCATAGGCTTAACGTCGTGACTGGTGATAAGAGAGCTGGTTCCTTTCTCCTTAAAAAATTAAGTATAACTGTTCAGCGAGGAAATGCAGCTAGCGATATTGGCACCATGCTTCATAGACTAAGTTTATTAGATAATATGTAATTTAGATAGATTTAATGTTGTAAATTGGATAAATAAATTGTATGTTTTAGTAAGTATTAAAGAAATTTCAAAACTTACCCAACCATTGCACCAAATGTACCCTAGTCATCGTAAAAAACAACGTAAACCGCAAAGAATGATTCGTCACACTATTGAAATGAATAAACAGACAAATTTAAACAGAGAAGACATATGGGTATTATTGCCTTTGTCTTCGGGATTCTATTACCAATAAAATCAGACCTAAGCGCAATACCACTATAAGACCTCAAGACACAGTTGACATTAGCTGCGTGGATAACAAGAAATTTAATAATTATTAAGTTAACTGTTAAGTGATATTAGGTCGTCAAACATCCCAGTCCTTCTTGAGGCTATGAAAGCTGTAAAGTATTTGAAACGTTGGGAGTTTCAATTAAAAATGAAATGTCTAATATTAGCGTAAATGAGGAGATCTAGAAGTAAATGTTGTGTTATATTGTGTTAGTCAAAAAGGAACTGGAATATTACCTATGCATACTCTCTTTCCGAGGCTGAAAGTTAGAAAGGTATTCGGGTTCTTAGGTAACGTGGCTGGATTGAGCCATCGCTCTGGCTTGAATTCCTCCACGTCTTCGCCCCACATCGGTAGTCTATGGACGCCGTGAAGCATTAGTAAACAAGCGCCTCCAGCTTTGAGTGTGTAGTTCTCTGATACCATAGTAAAGTTAATTGAAGACTTTGCAGAAAATCTTTTCGCAGTTACAACTTCGTAACCGAATAGATTTTCTACAAGTTGACAGCACAATCTTATTCAACAAGTTATAGGAAGGGCAAGAATATTGTCAGCATAAAGAAAGTAAGAAATTAATTTGGAAAAATCACTCTTATCTCAATTTTTCACACTTACTTAGGTCTACATCTTTGGTGACGTCACGAGCTACGATAGGAACTATCGTGTAAAAGCGTAGTGACTCCTTCAATACAGCTTCCAAATAACGCAATCTCGTTAGATCATCTTTTTCGACGTCTCTGATCGAGTCACCAAATATATCTACCAACCTTAAATAAACATTTACTGTTATATTACTTAGAAGTGATAATTGTTTTAGCCCAACCAAAGATTGAAAATTAAAAAAATAAAAGAGATACAGCTGTTCACATTAAGCTAGGCAATAAGGAAAACAATGATGTTACAGAATGATTTTAAAACACCATTATCTCTTCTGGTCGTTATTAAGCATCAATTGAGATGAGGATGAAATAGTAAAAAATAATAGTGCATACACGCAGAAAGATTTTGACCGTGGTATATGAATCAACTTTAATGAGTGTTAAAATTAATGTGATAAACTTTGCGCCAGCTTGTTTTGTTTTTATGTAATAAAGTGGCAAAGGAGCTGGCGGTTCACCTGAAGTTAAGTGATAACCGCCGCCCATGGACATTTGCAACACCCGTAGGATTGAACTGCGTTGCCACCTTTAAATAAAGTGGGCTCCGGCGACCACACTCACCAGACGAAACGCAAAAGTGTAACACTTCTACTTTACGCCGGTCTTCTGTGAGGTCGAGGTATTTACCAGGACGGGTCTGCCCATTCGTGCAACAGTGAACACCGCTGACCTTGTATTACACTATAAAATTTACTTACTCCATATAGAGCCGTTCTTGTACTTTGGGATATGAGCCAATTAATATCAGAGTAAACTGAACAGCTGTTGCGATAGTATCATGACCAGCAAGGATCAATGTGTTAACGTGGTCCCTTATTGTTTTATCGGGCATCATTTCATCACCAACAGTTTCTTTCAGGTCAAAGAAAATGTCTAGAAATGGTCTGAAAGCTTTCCCTGAAATTTAAAGAAATTATCAATGAAGATAGAAATCAGATATCAATGAAGATGAGAGAATAAAATACTATACTACAGTAGTCATGAAAGTATAAATGACTATACATATGAATAAAGGTAATCCTGTTTAATTTAGAATAAAGAACATACCCTCACGATTAACATTCAATACTTCATTCTTGCGATCATCATTCCTTTTCTTAATTATCTGGAAAAAAAAATTTTTTTTAAATAAACTTATCATGATACCACCAATAGATATAAAATCAAAACATTTGTATAACGTTGGTGGTTGCTAGTTTTCAATGATGGGCTAGTCACTAGTGACAGAATGAAATTGTGGGGCTTAGGTTAGATGCTAATTATTAAAGCGCGTGTGTAATAACAATCTATTACTGATATGAGCACAAATATATTAAATACTTATAAGTTATTACTTAATGGTTAAGTCTTACATAAAATCATCATAGAGTTACCTCATCAGTTATATTGTGCATAATGATACGATATTTATCACGCTGCTTTTTCAGACTGCTGCGCAACCAAATGCATCGGATTTGCAACCAAAACCTTTTAATTATCTCGGTACAGCAGTTAAAGATTATGTCGAATGCAGTTGCATACTCGTGTAAAGTTTTCTTGTCTTCATTAAAATCAACCCCAAGAGATGTTGCTTTCGAAGGGTGAAAATTATTTCCATTAAATATTGTTAGATCCAATCTAGAGGCATTTTTACAAATGAAAAACTGGCCAAGTGCGAGTCGGACTCGCGCACGAAGGGTTCCGAAACGGCCAAAAATCATGTCTGTTGTATGGGAACCCTATATTTTTTTAATTTTATTCTGTTTTTAGTATTTGTTGTTATAGCGGAATACATTATCTGTGAAAATTTCACTTCTAACTATCACTGTTGAATACATCCTGTTAAAAAAAGGACAGACAGACAGACAGCGGAGTCTTAGTAGTAGGGTTCCCTTTAGGTACGGATCCTTAAAACTACGTAATATAATAATCGTGTATGGGGCTTCAAAAACTTCAACTTTATGTATAAAATACAGACTCGGACCAACTGTTTCTTGATGACACAATTTTTTTTAATGAATTGCAAACAAATAAATATATTCAAGTTATTTCATTAACTTACTAAGATGGTATTGGTATAATAATGGTATATTAAAGAGCCCTTAATTATTGACTTTAATAACAGTAAGATTTCGTAAACGTTTGACTTACCACATATAGTTTTAATTTCATTTTGTCGTATAATCGAATCATGGTCGAATGGACCCCTCCCCGCCATCAGTGCGAACTTCTTCACCAATATTCTCGACTGTTTATTGAAAATAACTAGAAAGCCGTTAAGGTAATTTAAGTTGAATTGGGGATTCAACAAATTGCGGTGTTTCTTCCATGTACTCTCTAAAAATTAAAGAACAATTGTAGTAGAAGAATAGAATAGTTTACGACAGAAGACAAGAACAAAAAATTATAATACACAATGCTTGCTTAAATTATATGGGCATATTACCTAAAGTGGCTTAAGTATACTTACGAGAGGCAGTTACCAACCCATCACCATAACAGCCTTTCGCAAACCTATAAACTAGGTCCTTTTCCAAGCACGCGTTAGATATAGTCAGACAATCATCCGGGTCTGTTATCACTGAAAATTCAATTTGTGCTTTATAGATTCAATTTCTTTGTTACGTTATGGATTCAGTTTGACATTGGCAATTCAGATCGTTTATCATATTCTTCTATTTGTCTTATTTAATTTCGTTCTATTTATTCAGTAAGTCGTTAATAATGATATACAAACATAACACACAGCCAAATGTTGTTTAAACCAACGTAACGCCTGTAACGCTAACACACACGATCCACGGCGGTTCTCACCACCTCCAGCCAACGATCAATATAAACAGAAACAATTAGATTAACGACCCGTGTTGAACACCTGTGGTCCGAAGGTGATATTCCTCACCATTAGATGAGCACATGTGGCCTCTACCCAACGCGGAGAGCCTAATCAAGCTCATGGGAACCCACTATACCACAATATCTACATTCGATGAAGCTTTGATAGTCGACAAAACAAAAATATCAGAAAAAGAAAGAAAGAAAGCTTTCTTAATAAATATAGATAGTAAGGACGTCCATCAATATTAAAATCAAATAAAATATTATGTTAACAAATATACATACTATAATATTTTCGACCCGCAATATTGTAAGTAACGTTTCCAGTTGCCATACATTCGTATGAACATTTCTTTATTAATTCCCAAATATCTGGAAGTACAGAATGTTTTTAACAAAAGCAAGTAAAGTGCGCAGGGTCACATAAAGTAATTTTCTAATTCCTATAATATTTTACCTGTGTTCAAAAAAGACCTGAAAGTAATTACTAGTATATTATGAATAGCTGAACAAAGATATGTTACCTAATTCCCAGAGATGTTTTGGAACTCCGTAACCAAAACCAAACCTGTCTGATATGAGAACCAAAAAATTATCTAAAATCATAAGTTAATCCGTGGCGCAATTACCAAGGTATTGGTTTCAGCCTCAGGGGTCGTGGGTTCGATCCCCACATGGGACAACTATTTGTGTGACCCACAGTTAGCTGTTTCGCATGTGGATGTTTGTCCACGTGAAATTTGTGTTTGTAAAACATCCTTACAACACAAGGTAATGTTATCCTAAAGTAAAGGCAATGTTTATACAAAAAAAAAATCGATATACAATTTTCGGATATATTCGCCGTGCATTCACTAGAGCAGAGATTTGTTGCGCCAACAGAAGCCTTCGCACAGTGCCTTTTCTAGTGGTTTTCGGTATTGAGAAGGCCAAGTGCCTATTTACGACATTAAAGCGGATATCGGTTAAAAATTTGGATACGGATGCCCGAAACGAATAACGACTGACAGAGGTCCAGGTCGATAGCTTGTTTAAAGTACTGTTCACCAATTAACTAAGATGGTTTGAGCTGAACATATTCCGTGGCGATAGATAGATTGAGGCTGCCATAAAGATCCAGAATTGGGTGACATTCATGCCTCTAGTGAAACCCACGTATATGCTAGATTACAACCACTTATAACGGCCCGACCGGGTCAAGTAGAACTCAGAATTATTTCCGGGTGAATAGTTTGTTTTAAGTTCGTCGGGTTCGTTTCATTCGCTATTGTAACCTCTTTAACAGTTTTAAACTTGTAAAGACAAAAATAAGACAATCTTAAATGTGAAAGAAAATCAGATCTAGTGAAAAAATCTCTAAGAAATGTGGTATTTACCTATTATTCTATTTTAGCGTCGCACTATCACAGGTATGATAATTCAGATTTTTTAAGACTCATTTGGCCTAGCTATCCCGTTTTCCATCCTCACAGGATGATGCCTAGATATCTTAGACCCTGGATTCCTCCGGAGAAAAACTCAAACAAAAACAAACTCAAAGCTTAGCTTTCCCACATAACCGGTTTTATGTCGCATTTTTGCGGTCGGTGCGAGCGTTGATCGTAAATTTTTTACGGTTATAACTCTATCCAAACGCGACAAAATAAGTATAATTTGAAAAGTTTTTTAAAGTATGATGTTCGAAATGCAAAACAGTATTTCGGCAAATACAATGAACAGTACAAACGAACATTCATAGAAATATATCACTTACGTTTAGTGTCTCCAATCAATAAATGTGCATGTCCGATAATTGGAAGTGCTCCAGGATGAATAGGTGGTTCTTTTCTTGAAATAAACTTATTTTTTTTCCACATACATAATAAAATTATAATAATGCCAAATAAAACGGACAATGTCATAGCTGCTTTTGTAACCAGAACTGAAAACCTAAATCAAGCCACTTGGTTGTTTGTTCTTTTAAACAATAAATTACACAGGTCTAAACTGAAAAAAACTACCATTAATATTGTCACAGTTATTCTAATAGATCTCGCCTAAAGCTTATACTATATTTCTAGCATTAAGATAAAAAAGTCAGTTTGTGTGCTGATTTAAATAACTTTATATATTAAATAAACTTCACAAACAACATTAATGGTCTATAATTTTCTTATTGACGTTGTATGTTCTACTTTCATTAATGCACTGTTAGTATAAATAAGTGATGTGCTTTACCAAACCTTGTTCACGGACGCTCAATGTTAAAGAATGGCATAAAAATGAATTTTTCTTCAGTTATATTCAAAATTTGCGCATCACAAAAAAAGTCACTTTGAGTTAAGCGAAATAAAAAATCGTAGGCAAAACTTCAAAAATAATTTCTTGTTTTTTTTTAAATAATAATGATTCTTATTTCAACTCGTTAAATTTTACCTAAGTATGCATTGCGGAAACTTTATTTAGTTTTTTTTTATAGTTTAAACAGTGGTACATAAGATACTTTGGCCTTTGTAGTTTTATAAAAATAGGTAGATAGTTTTAGCAACTTTGATTATTAACTTGTCTAGATATAGAATTTGCGCGTTTAAATGCCGGAAAACTATCAAGCAACTTTTGGCTTATATGCTGATTCTGTTTTCTCAGTGGTAGCATATAATAATGGCGATTTTAGTTATAAAAGAGTGCGGTAATTACAAAGGAAGATTGAAAATAATCTAACATAGGAATGTCAACTTTAAAATTGACATTCACATTTTTTTTGTCACCTTGTTACACCAGTAAGTTTCTTTTGTCAACTCAGCTTAAATTACTACTTAATTTCAGGGGAGATATTAAACTGGCGGTAGATATGTTTGGTGACTAGAACCGATACATCGATAACGATGATCTGACGAGATTGCATTGTTTGGACGCTTTGTTTTTGTTACGCCATTACGTTTTCAAAAGATGAAGAAGGGCTTCTACCATAGCTAGTCACTGAAGAAAAAGCTCAGTAGGCAATAAAATGGTGTAAAATATTTTTGTTTGGCTTATTTAAACGTAACAGTCTATATAGATACCACTACTGCACAAAGGTCTCTTCGGTACAGAGGTATTGTATACAGATGCACAGACGGACAGATGGACAGATGGACAGACAGAAAGACAGACAGACAGGCAGCGGAGTCTTAGTATTACTAAGTTTACCCTTTAGGTATGGAAGCCTAAAAAGGTCTCTTCGAACGTCACAAAGAAAGACACTGCCTTTTACATCCAGCGGCTTCCCGCGACTCCTCGAAGTAGTGCTTCATCTTTCGGTTCTTAGCCACCATTCGTGATCATTTATTTCCCATCGGATATTAAAAATGAATAAAAGTTGTTTTTGTTCAACTACGTCATATTTATAATAAGGATTTGGTAATGAAGTTATAGCGGCTGAATAATGTTGCCAATACTTTAATTGATAAGAGACACATTTATCAAGTATTTTTACAATTAAATGACATGACAATATGGTACATCACCTGCTGATTGTAATAAGATAAAAAATTGAAATTTTGCACAAACTTCGTTTCTTTTAGAAAGCGATCTATATAGCGCTTTATATGTGTGGATATTTGGTTAGCAATTTGTCTATGTACGAGTGAATATAAAGCCCGGCTGGACAGTAACTAGACTCATACAGTAGGTTTTTACTGAATTTTAGTACCAAAAGCTTGTTGCCATGCTGTACGAACAGTTAAGTTTTATTTCAGTTATTTTCCATTGAAAATTTTAAACTGGCAGTGAATACATCGATCAAGCGAAAAAGTTTCATTGGTAAAATTACAAGAAATAAAACACGAACAGGACAAATCCTTAATTTTTTTTTCAACAACAATACTAATACGTTAAAACACAATAGGTAAAACATAGCTTTCGAAATGTTAGGTCCAAGGAGAGTATGAAAACTGGTTATTTCCACTGGATGTCAAATAGAATCTACAGTAACTTTATAAATTACATTTTCTTAAATATTATAGCCTATGTCACAACATCTTGAATCTACTCTACACAATATACTTGAAGTGGAAAAAAAAGAAATGCAATCGCGAAATGAAAGTCAGAGAGCATTTTATTTTTCAATCCAAGTGTTATTTGAAATATGACCAACAGTAAATTCTTTTTCGTCCCACTTCCCTTTCGGAGCCCAAATTCCAAAAAGGTTGTCAACGCATCTGCAAACCCTCGGGTGTAGCAGATGTCTATGGGCGGCGGTATTCACTTAACATCAGGTGAACCGTCTGCTCGTATGGCAACTTTTCACATAAAAAAAAAAAACTTCATGTTTTCATACGTGTGTTATTAAAACGGAAAAAACATATTCACCAAATGAGCGTGCTCAAAGTGAGCGTTACTTAAATAATAAGAATAATCTTTAAGTTACAGTTTGTGAACACTTTTTACTATTTGGCGTGAATTGACATAGTACATATCGAGTTACCTCAATGAGTTATCCACAATAGTTATTATACGTTATCTTTTATCGCATCGCCATGTGGTCTTAAATTTGTTGTATTCAAGTTTTCCATTCGAATTTAAGACAATTATTAAGCTTTTGTTTAAAACGAATTTTTAAATTCACAAAATTTAATAAGTTCGCGAATTTCTTTAATTGTTCAAACATACATGGCATTGTAATTAACTTTTTCCGAAACTTTGCCTAGACTAATTAGTATGAAATTTTAATAGAATCTTAAACATTTGATTTGTCATATAACTTGATAAACTAATTTCGGACGTTGTTATAAAATTAGTGGTAACTTAGAGTGGTAAATTGTCTGAAATCAGTATTCTGATTGCGAGACTATAACGTAACTTTTGTAAACACCTTTAACAAGTAAACGTTTTAAGAATGTAATGCGTTAAACAAAACGACTAGCATCATAATACTATACAATTAAATCATGATAATTTCACAACGGCAAAATAAATAAGTTAATAAAATAAATAATATATTTTCATTAAAAACGATTATTTAATTTACGTTTTTCAATAGCAAAAAACCCTCAATCAATGCAACTGCTTAGACACATCCTAATGTTACGGATTTTCCGCACAACCTAACTCACAGGCCAAGTGACGAAGATTCTATTTTAAAAATTTAAAGATAATTTGTAATCACTAGGATAGTAAAAAAAAAACATATAATAAGTGTGCTTAAACGCCGGTAATAAAAAATACCAACTGTAAGGGATAACAAAACACGATTTTTTCAATTGTTTATGTTTAAATTAAAGGTAAATTTAAAACTTATCTTAGCCCGACAATTACTCTAAATAGAATGGTTTTCAAATACAATTCCTTTTAAAAGACGGCGAAAGTTTTAACAGTTAACATTTTTAAAATAGAACCTCGAGAAATAATGCTACATCACAGTCTATATTAAATACATTAGTAAGATACATATTTACCTAAAATAATATACAGGAAACCTTTAGTCACTGTCAAAATGACAAGAATAACTTACTACGATCATAACACACTATAATATTCGCCCGGCTGAACAACTTATGCTATTATTTAGAAAAAAAAAAAAAACTCATTGGATGTTTCAATGTTTCTGAAACATTGCATAATCATACATATGTTTGTATTTTCTCAATGAAACGTTAGACGATTTATATTTGCTTTTATTTTGATATATTTCTTTTGTACGCCCCAGTGGACCAAATGGAGTATTTACAAAATAAAACAAAATAAAAACTTTGCTTATGAACTTTTGAGTCGATTTTTTTTACTTCGATATTTATTTAGCATCATAATTTATCCGAATTAAATAATGATTTGCAACTTTAGAAAATATTCACAAAAATTTTACTACCCGCTTAGTAAACCCGTAATTGATAATGCAACATTAAAGTTGGCAGCATTGAAATAAAATTGTGATGGTATTTTACGTTTAAGAAATGTTATACTTTTGTACAAAGACAAACATTTAGTACTCTGTTATATTTTTTATCTAAAAAGATAAAAAATATAACAGAATACTAAATCACAAGTGTGTCCAGTCGGGCGAGGCGAGTTCCGAAGTCACTACATAGTTTACAGTTTAGTCTAGTAGTAGAAATATGAATGTTTTCACTGAACTAACTCGAAGCAGATGGCCGTTGGGACTAGTCAATCGATTTGGACGGCTTGATTTTGTCCTTTTTGTCTGTACTGCTCTGGCTGGTCCTGAAAATCAAAGTCGAAGTCAAAATTACTAGCGCCGCTTATGAACATCAAAAACTACTATAGTTTCACCAGTATACATACTATAGTTTCATGGTAAACTGTTGTAATAATCATTTGTTATTTTTACAATAAATTTTATTAATCAATTACATAATTCATTTTATTATGACTGAATAATGACATGTGATTATACTTGGCAATAGTGTAAAGTTTGTAATAATATCGCGGTCGATGCATCATATCTTGTAGCCAATTTGTATGCCGTGATACGGCCTAAACATGATACGACAATGTGTATTCAATATCTTGCATACAATACAGCATTGTAAACCCTGTTTTTACAAATAAAGACTATCTATCTATCCAGTTTTCGTTAGTTATCTGAAAAGAAACCCGTTAGGAAATCTGCCAACATGCATCATACTCTTTTAATGTTTCTTACTAAATGTAATAATAATATATATATAAAAATTTGACAATAAATACTGGGCAGTATTTATTGTCAAATTTTTATATTGACGGATTTTTCACTGACCACTTTTCTAAATAATAATCAATACCGATATAAGAGAGGTTATAACCAGTATAAGAGAGCTTCAAATTAAAATGTGCAGGGAATACAAATAGAAGTAATGCAGGTATACAAGTTTATTTTAATGCAATATATGGCAAGCGCGCTGGCGGTTCACCTGATGTTAAGTGATAACCATCCCCCATGGACATTTGCAACACCCGTAGGGTTACAGATGCGTCGCCACCTTTTAATAAAGTGGGACCCGGCTACCACACTCACCAGACATAACGCAGAAGTGTAACACTTCTACTTCACGCCGGTCTTTTGTGAGGTTCTGGTACAACCTGGACGAACCTGGCCATTTTTGCAACAGCGAACATAGTTACACAGACAGTTGTTCCGAAGTAACAAACATAAAAAAGAAACAACCTTTTAAAAGTCGGATGAAAAGAATAAAATTAGAAGGGGAGAGATTTTGTCTGGTAACAGTTTCAAATATCTCATATAGGTTATTTAGCCAGTGATTGCTGCTTACCAGTGAAAACTTAACCGTCACAACATGTGGCACAGCCTGCCCTTATGTTTCGAGGTCTTGCTCGCTTGCGACGTCTGTTCCGGTTCCGTCACGACGGTGCAGTGATTGTTCTTCTCTGTCAGCACCGTCGTTAGAGTCTTCTCCCTCTCTTTCTCTCTCCCTTCGGCCTGTGAGCTTGGCGCGTAGAGGGATCTGCAGGAGGCTTCAGTTTCATTTTGCTTTAACCACTATCCTCTCTTTATTAGGATTATAGTTAATTTTTATGTTTTGATTAGGGATTTGTACACATTTTCATCTTAAGCGCAGAGACTAGCAGAAAAAAATACAATTAATACTAAAAGAACTAAATTATAAGAAATGGAAGTTCTTTCAACTATATTTCAAAATGTGCTGAATCAATATAAATTTTTACATTTAATAAAAGTTGCAAATAGTTACAAGCTTAATTTAGTTTAGTTCTTTGTTTTTGATTGAATTTTATAAGAGTTCTTGTAGCAAGAACAATTTTGGCACTTTGGAATATGTAATCTTACCTAGTAAATTTGTTCCTTGGTGGCCTCGATGGAAAATTTCCAGCTTTAGGCCTTCTTAACGAATAAGTTTTCTTAACAAGTGCCATGTTGCTCGTTTCTGGTGCAGGTTTAGCGCAATTAAGGGTCGTAACGGTGAACTCAACATCTTTTATTGCTTCATTTGATGCTACAAATATTACCATATTAGAATGTGATATGACATAGCTATTATAAGTACACAAGGTCATGTGAAAATAAGGTGTTAATATAAATTGACATTTAATTTCTATTAAATTCAATGGTAGCACAAAACGATTGCGTTCTTTTTGTAGCTTAATCTATAACTATAAACACGTATCAATTTCATATAGATAAGGGTGATATTCTAGCAATATTCATTACTATGGGGAGTAGATACTTAAAATTAAGTCAGTGTGGATAGGTTTCTTATACTAATACTAGAACCTCAAAGTTACTCTTGGATTAAATAGGATAAATAGGATATCTAATAGTACGAGTAAATTGATATTTTGCATTTGGGTATAACTTTAAGGTGTTGTATAAGAAGATACAATAGTTTTCGTGTGAATTCTGTTCTATTCTCTCTAGCGATAGATAAATACATTTTAAAGGTATATGTACTACTTAGAAAAATAATTTTCAGTAATTCTATTCTGACATGTCTCTATCCACACAGTTAGCATATTGTTACTACGAATAGAAATTCTCACGGAATAATCGCCAGCACGATGATATTATAGACTTGGTTGATATTGGTTAAAGCGACATCTTTCGGTAAGCGCCAAAAGCTGCGTGTTATATATTATATTAGTCATACATACATTGTCGCAAAAATACATTAAGGTGGTCTAAACTATTTAAACAGATCAAAATAAATCGACTCAAAGAATGGCGATTTGTCTTTTCCAACTATTGATTACTGTTTCATTAGAAATTGAGTGTGTTTTTTTAAACTATTTATGCATAATAACAATATCCGGCATTTATAAGAAACCGTAGTGAATTTTCTGTATCGTAGCGTATTAGAAAAATGTGCATTTTGCATTATAGAAAGCTCTTGTGGTGAGATGCGTGGTTGAAATTAATTAATCTTTTTAAGAAGATATTAAGTAAGGCAATTTAATTCAAGTGTTTTCCAGTCTATATGCAATTATCGTGTTAATCTGAGTTTATTTGTTGAATGAAAGTATTTTATAAATTTTATCGCGTTTAATTAGATTTTTAAATTCCCAACGTTTCGAACTGTTTCCAGAGCTCATGGTCAAGAGGCAGACGCAGTCTGCTGTCAGAAAGGGTAGCTTTAAAATAGTTTCATTTAACAATGTATAAAAAAATGTATAATATTCGCGTAAAAACAAGAAATCTATATGAGTTTCTATATTAATGTGTATTATAACTTTACTTATATATAAAGAAAGAGTTGTTTTGTTCTATCGTACCAGTAAACTCTTCGATGGGCTTATCGATGGTATCATGGTCTATCCAAGTGAGGCCCATTTCCACCTTTTCCGCCAGGTCCTGCCACCGCTGCCTGTTCTCCATCGTCCCGGTGTACAACGGCTGTATCCAAGGAAACGTGTCCGATAGGACTTTGTAGAGTGGCAGACAGATCATATCGATGAAGCCCACTTGCATCTGTGGTAACTCATCTTTCTTTTCTCTGAAATATACATATTCTCTGAATATAATTGGTATGTAATTGAGAATTATCGTACTTGAATATATTTTTTATGTGAAAAGTTAGCTAGAGAGCAGGTGGTTCACCTGATGTTAAGTGATTCCGCCGCCCATGGTTGCAGATGTGTTGCTAACCGGTTAAAACCTGGTCCCCGGTTACCTCACTCACTAGACGAAACGCGAAAGTATAATACCACTACTTCACGCCGGTGCTCTGTGAGGTACTTCCCCGGATGAGCCTACTCATTTGTGCACTTTTTAAGTACCCGTTATTGCCTCGATTATTATGCCGTAACATCATATCTTTTACATGTCAAATGGACGTGTAGGTATAAACATGATTACACTAATATTTATAAAAATAACACTAGATAAGAAGAAATAGCAAATCTCTGTCTACCCTCTAAGAATAAATCCACCGTGTCTCTAAAGAAGAACTAGCTATAGTATTGACTTATTTAAAACATTACTTATTTTATAGTACCTATCCATCATGGCGATAGGCTGCTGGTTTAACTGCAACTTCTCCAAATCGCCCTGGTCGAAGAACTCGTCGGCTACCAGCTTCGCTACCTTGTGCTGCACTTCCCAAGGCTTGGCGATGGCCGACACGTCACACGCAGTCATCATCATGCCACAGAGCACTAGAAATAAAAATTAAATTCTATCCTTAAAATGTTAATGAAAAAGAGATCGTGAGGCAAAATTTGTGATGCTTGGTTTATCCTCGTTAACTTTGAGAAAAATCGAAAAATTATTATAGCAATTATTTTTTTTTTGCTTGATGAAGCACTGTTGGCCTTAGGGGTCTTTGCAGTTCGCCGGAAATGAGGTGGCAGGGCGCTCGAGGCGCCTAGCCTAAACCCCATTAACAATTATTATTTAATGCTTTTGTTACGCTTAACCTTTTTCTTCGCTTTGATCAGTCCCTGTGACCATGAATGAAACCGTAGATGGATACGTTATTTACTGCAACGTTTCAATGTTGGAAAAAAGAGTTGGCCCTTTTTTTCCAGGATTTTAAGCAGGTTAAAGACGTAGAACGCACTCGGATCAATCCATACTTTTTGCCACAATGACTGATATCATGATGACGGACCGGGACATCCACGATAACTTGAAATCTTTAACGATTTAACCATTTCAAATTGCACGAAAAGATCACAAGACAAGACTGAGACCTGACTCACGAAATTGACACGGTATGCCGGTCAAATATGCAGACTTGATTATTACGACAGGGAACTATTTGAATTGCTTTAACCATTTTTGTTGCGACCTGTTATTGGTTTCTTTTCTCGGCTACTGAGGTTTTCTACCTGATCAAGATTTGTTCTGTCTTTTCCAATATATATTTATATGTTCGTGCACAAATGCGCAAGAGCGCGTCTAATGAAACGTCCGTTGAGTGAAGTAGACATAGACTTAGCCACAAAAAGGTAATAGTTCTCGATGGCATTGCTAGTTTTACATCAACATTAACAAAATATTGCTAACTTACATTCTTTTTTTTCCGGGCTCTGCCAATCGAACTCCCCGTTATCGACGAGCTCGAGGAACTTTGATTTCTTCTTAAAGTACATTGCCAGATCAGTGGAGAGTATTGCCGTTTCCACAACCCTCATGACGTCCTTGTAGTCGCACGGTGACAGTGCCTAAAATGTTTATCCAGTCCAGATCACGGTTGCAATATTTTCATCCTATTTTACGTTCTTTTTTATGTGACAAGCTAGCTGGCGGTTATTAATAATTTATTTTTATAAATTCCAAAGTCGTTATTTCAGAGGCTGACATTAGCGTCATCTGCAAAAGTCGAGGTCACCTGATTTTAAGTGATATCTCCGTTCTAAGGACATTTGCAACATCCGCAGGGTTTCACTTTTTAATAAAGTAGGCCCCGGTTACCACCCGAAACGCAGTATAACATTTCCACTTCACTACGGTCTTCTGTGAGGCCGTGGTACTTCCCCGGACGAACCTGCCCATTCGTACAGCAGCGAAGACTGTAGCGTGACCGTGAGTACTTTAAAGAAAATAAATAAACTGAAATACATGTAGATGTGGTTCTACCATTTCAAATAAGAAGTGACCTTATCTTAGATTACTGTTTCTGATTTATAATTAAGACCAGTCCAATAAAACTTGGCACAATTATAAGGTTTAAGCCAGTACTATTTCACTTTTTTCTTGATATCCACGCTGTGATTTAATTAAGAGACTGGATAACGAATAGTGTCTAAAGGGGTATATCTGATGCCATCTTATTTGCCTCAAAGTGATAGACGATGTTATCGTAAACCGGGTTACGTTCATTGATATAAAGTAACTAAAACACTAAACTGTGTTTTCTGCGCATAAGAAATATGAAAGCAGAAAAAATTACGGCTGTGCGATTATTACTCGAACGAACGTTTTAAAACAACTAAGCAATCACAGTCATATATTTCCATTGGTCTATTTTAATTTAAAATGATGTGATAAAAATTTAATCTGTTTTTCTACCTAAGTGTTCATGCAGCCATAGATTGTAAACGCACTACGTCAGTACAGGCCTATTCATCCTTGCCTCGAAGACATACGTTATATCCGTACAGAAAGACAGCAACCGGTAAATTTTAAAGTTTTTTATAGTGCTAATCTCTGCACTTAAGATTGAACATTAAAACATGTAGAAAAAGTACGAAAAGATTGTCGCCGCTGTGGGAATCTTTTCGTACTTTTTCTACATGTTTTAACCGGTAAATTGTTCCATTTCTTTTAACTTACCTGAAATATATTATTACTCTCGCTGTTCAGTATCATCACGCATTGATCGAAGTGATGATGCTCCATAGTCGAGGTCGAATACAGGATCGCCAGGGGGCTTTCCGTCTTCGTTTGGAAGGCGTTATTGGTGCCTCGGTGGTCAAGGTCGTGGCAAAGGCACGCGACCAGCAGCCCCAGTATCTCTAGGTCGGACATGAAACGCTCCATTTTGCCCGTTTTGAGCATAGCGAACATCGTTTGGGCGACGTTTAGCGCGTGCCGCCAATTGTGGTACTTCACTGGTCGATAGTTCTTCTTCACGCTCAGCGTCCAGCGGCAGAGAACCTATCCAAAATAAAAAAGTAAAACTAAAGAAAATATGCAGGTGGCCCTACCACAGCATAGTATCTCTTTAACTTTACTACTCCAAACGGGGTGTTTGATTGTAAGAAAACTAGTTATTCCTTAATTATAACACAACCATGCCACGGGCTATTAAATAATTAACGGGCCTTAATTTAATACCATATTTATAAAATAGGTTTTAAAGATATTATTATATTTATTTGCATTAGATGAAGAAAAAAATAATAGCTGCTGTCTCCGTTTACTACTCTCAGTAACGCGCGTAGAATTTATTTATTATCTGTTTTATAATTTTTTTAGAAGAAGCGCTCTTAGTTGTAAAAAATATTAAGAATTAATTGTTAATTACATCGTATGGTATGTGGAACTTTTCCACGAGGTTGCATTGTAGAAACATCCGCAACGTTGCTCTGCAAGTATCTTCGTCTGATAAATCGAAATCTGAAAACACGTTCATTAGCTATAATATTCTGGGCAATGTATGTAGCATTTACGCTGTAAAAGTTTGTTTAAAATGTAAGTTATCTAGCTAAATGTTTCGCTAATTAAATATAGAGGAGCAACTTGAATATGAACGAAAATTTATCACAAAAAACGTAAAGAATCCGTATTACATTCTTTGGTTTTTAAAAATTTGAAATATTTTCATTATTAAAGGAAATCATTCTTTATGTGTTTAATGGAGTTTTCTCGCCAACTTTGACAACCTGATTGGCGCAATGAATAGTCAATCTGTCTATTGTGCCAAAGGGTGGGGGGTTCGATCCCCACTAGTAGAAAAATATTGTGAGGTGAACATAACTTTTTAGTATCTGGATATAAATAGTATGTATTCATTTATAAAAGAAGAGTATTCTAAGTATGTTTCAATTACTAGCACCCAAATTAAAACCTTTGCTTGGTTTGGGACTAAAGTTGAGTAAAAATATAGCCTGGAATATTTATTTATAGTTTGTTGATAGGTGGCGTCGTATTTTTCTACCTGACTAGTGTTAAAAAAACATCATTTACTCAACTAATGATCGGTTCAAAAGTAATAAACGACCGCTTTTCAACCATCTATTTGTTGATTGAATAATGAAGGAAGAATTTTAATGAAGAAAGAAAGAAATATATAAACGAAGTATAATTACCGTGAAACTTGAAGCTATATAAATTGTAGCTATCTGCGGAGGGAATTATGTCCTGGCTCAGTTTGTTCGTGTCCTCAGCTGACGCCGTAGCGTGGTACGACAAACATTCCAAAGCGACCTATAAAGAGTTATTTTTTTATATTTATTTATTTATATATATGTTTATTTATTTATTTCTTTATTATTTTTAGTTACTTTTTTGAACAAAACTTACGCAAAAAAATGTCGCAACCATATGTGCCAAATGAAGAAGAGTTTTTTTATTTCCTATTTCAAAATTTACTGAAAATGAGCTATGATGACCCAATGAAAACTTAAATACTTTACTTTAAAACTTACTGAAAGCAAAATACAGTACTGCGTATAACTTTTATCGAAGTACCTTAGTTCTTATAACAATTTTATTACATCAATTCTGTATGAAAAACTTATTATTCATATAGAAATCGAATACAAAACCTGAGCTTACAACTACGGTAGTCTTTAAGTAAAATATCTGTATTGCTTTCCTCTTTTTTGAAGGAGAAAAAAAACTAAATATTGTTACAAAAGAGTTTCATTATCTTCCGTGACGGGAATTCATAATTATTAACATTAATTTAATTAATATGTAACAAATTTCTTATCGAAAAGCCTACGGCATTTCTCAAAAATTGCCTCCAAGGTGACCTCTGTTTTCTTTCTGCCTTCTGGCCCATTGGCATTGGTAGGATAAACATTACGATGTCTACGTCCATACTGAAAATTATAAATTATGAAAACTATTTAATAACAGAAACTCAAACCTTTTGTTTAGCCATTAGTTTACAAGCGTTCTCATACATTTGCGTGTTATGGATACCGAGGCCGCAGAATATCGCAAACGCCTCGAAAATAGATATATCTCCATCCGTAAACTGAGAACCGTTTTCCTGGAAATGGTATAAGCTGCGTAAAGGTAAAAAAAAAATTAAAAGTAAAAACAATAAAGTAACAGCCTATAAATGTCCCACTGCTGGGCAAAGACCTCCTCAGTATAGAGGGTATCAGGGCATAGTCCATGGCCCAACTGCGGATTGGCGGATTTCACATATTTTCGAAACATTTTTTTTATAATTATTTCCAAAATAAGCCGGTTTCCTCACGATGTTTTCCTTCACCGCCGAGCACGTGATAATTCAGCGCTTAAAATAAGCAATTTCATTGGTGCTGGCACCAGGAATCGAACTCAAGTAGCTCAAATAAATGTAATTAAAGGCGGGTGGCCGGGCACTGAGCTATCACAGTCTCAAAAAATACTTTAAATTATCGTCATTGTTTTATTACAGAATATTATTGTCTTCTTTGAAGCAGAGCTCATTAAATTCCAAAGTAAATAGTATGTAATAAAAACTTTGAAATATGTTATTTGGTAGTCTATCACCATTGCTCGTGATGTATTGGACTTATTTTATCAAATATAACTTATTCTTTCTTCATATACATATTTCAACACGATTTTATTTATTTTATTTTTATTTTTATTCTGTGGAAAACCAACAGCTAATATAACATAAACAAGAAAACGTCATAATAACAAGCCAGCCAGTTACAGGTTTTCACGGATAGAAACTAAACGAATTGAGGTAAAAACAATAATTAGGAACTGTCCACAAAAGACTCCTGGTCTGGGACCAAAGAACGTAAGCGTCATTCATCACAGTCTTCTGTATAAATTTTAAATCCTTTAAAAACAAAACTTTCTAAACATTGTCAACGTATGTATATGTTCTACCTTATTAATTAACTGCGCGACGCCAATCACGTCTTTATTGGCATTTACTATCGGCATGCACAGCATCGTCCTAACGTACACTGCGTCGTCCATGTCTACGTCTGCCAATATCATGCCGTTTTCCTTCCTCCACTCATCGACGTCTGATATATTAAGAGCTTTGTTCGATCGGGCCACCTGCAGTTATCAACACAATCATGAGTCACATTTTTGAACTGTTATAAAAAGAAGTAGAGTATAGAGAGTTCAGACTTAGCGTTTGAAGAATTTTATCAGTAATTAGGAAATTTCTCACTTATATAAATTTGAGTTTTAAATATATATAACATCCTGGGATATATTAACTGCATTTGGGTAAATAAAAATATAATCTTAACTTCAATCACGAAACCAGGCACGAACATTGAAATTTTTGGAAACCAAAAGAACAAAATATTTATTAGTAAACACTGACGGTAATTAATGCTAACAATTTATTCACATCGTTTATTTTGTTTTTTGGTATGGTAATATAATAATGTGTGAATAAGAATTTTTGAGTTAAAGGTATCTTAATTTCAAGAATAAATTTCCCTATCTTTAATTTGAACAATTGTCAATAGATGGCATTATTACTTTATATTACATACTATACTTGTTTAATTTTCATCAATAGCAATAAATTGTGGCATTAAACTGCAGTTTGAATCATAAAATTTGATCAAGAATTATGGAGGTTATGGCGTACCGACCGGTTTGAGAAATAATATTATAATTAAATTATACAGGGTGGCTTTTTTAAAGGTTCTAAATTCACACAAGAGGTTGAGACTTGGTAGTATAATCGCTTATCGAAATAAAAACAAACATTTTTTTTTTCAAAAAAATTGCCATTCCAATACGTAAAACAGAACTTGTTGACAATGCGGTAGTCATTCATAAATGCGTTGTATATTTTTGAAACGAACTTGTGTGTGTTAGTTATGAATGATCGCGCGTAAAATAAATGAGTTGCCCATAAATCACGCACTTTTTGAGATAAGTTCAAATGAATGTATTTAATTAATTACGAGTGATTTTAAATATTTATTATTTTTTATATAACATAATTTATGTCTAGAATTTAATAAAAAAATGGATACACTTAAAAAAGCCTCCCTGTATAGATAGTTAAATCTGCAGTTGAAGAAAGAAGTTTCATAATCTTGAATTGGACTTACCGCTAGAGCGATAGATGCTAGTGTTGATCGGTTGTCGTGTCGAGGCGTCAATGTCGTTTTTGAATGTTTCGCACCCAGCTCAAAGAGCGTGTGAAAACGCGTAGGGGCGGGGGGTGGCAGCGCCAAAGTGCCGCTCCTTTGACCTCCGGGCCGTTGAACTATTCGTTCGAGATGACTCTGGAAACGAACTTAATTTTGAGGAATAGAAAGGGAAATATTTTAACATAGTCTAATTTTAACATTGTAAAGACATAAAGTAAAGACATAAAGTAACCTGTGTCAAAGTTTCTGGACTTGGACACTAACAAAACAGTAACTAAGAAGCAATTATAGAATTTTAAAGATTTCAATCTGTGCTTACATAGTTACAAATAAATGAATGAATTAATAGAGACGTCATAAGTAATGAACGTGTATAGTCAGTTCGTGAAATAGGAGTACAGTTTTCAAGAAGTTTACTCACCGATTCACAATGATCAGTGTCCAATAGAAACACCGCGCATCTCTCGCATTTGAGCAACTCCCGCGCCTCCGTCATAATTTTCGTTACAAGGCACTCCAAGTTACTCTGTTCTTCGAAAATGCTTCTAGCAAGTGCTAGAAGGATCTGATTCCTTTTGTACTCGAGCACCGACGACTCGAAGAGCTGAGCGTTCTGAATTCCGATTCCGCAGAACGTGAGGTATCTCCGAAACACTTCAACGTCTCTCGCCGAGAATTCCTTCGAACCTATCAACATAAAAATGATTTTAATTTACAGTATTGGATGTATGCTCTATTCGTTCGCTGTAGGTACGCGTCACTACAAATGAATGGTTATTGTTTTTTTTAAACTTTCCCCTTATTTTAGGATAACATTATCCTGTGTTGTAAGGAGGTTGTTAGGCTTAAATTGTCCTTTTGAAGTAGGTAAGTCACGTGTACGTGAATTTGATATTTCAAATTTGAGTAAATTGTAAGACTTTAAGAAACTGATCCATTACAGTTTAGGAAACAAGGATAAGATTATATTACGTTGTTTTTTACTCCACTCTTTTGATTACTAGATATTTTTCATCAGCCGTGAAAAGCCTCATAAAAGATGAAGAAACAATGTTTTTTACTGTGACTTTGCCTTGAATGTAGATTAGCCGGTTTTCTACGTTAATTTGGTGTTGTACTTTTTGTTTTTAGATATTTTATTTGAGTATATATAAAATAGATACTGTTGATGTACATACACACATACAGCATTTGCTGATAGAGTGTGTAGGACCAATACAAAAAATAATTTAATCATGTGAAATAATGAAATATGCTAGAGTTGGGATTGGTTTAAAAAAATCTAAACAGATGTTGTAAAATATTTGTGTCAATTATTGGGATGCTTTCTTGATTAACACTTCCCCAATAATTTGAACTAAGTTTTTATTATTATTTTTTAAACGTTGCCCTTACTTTAGTATAATCCTCTATTGTAAGGACGTTCTACAAACATTAATATCACGCGGACAAACACCCAGATGCGAAACTACTATCTGTGGGTCACACAAACAGTTTTCCCGTGTGGGAATCTAACGCACGACCATCGACGCCGAAGCGCACATTAATAAAACGCTGAAATTATTTTAACACAAAAAAAATAGTTACCGTCTGTTTTATTTATAATCTGTGCAACACCAACAACGTCACCCTCGTAATTGCAAATTGGCATGCACAGTATCAGCTCCGTTTTATATCCGGTCCTTGCGTCGATTTCGCTGTTGAATCTAAAAACAATATATATTTCAAGTTGAAATAAAAAAAGAAAAATGAGATGCAGTTCTAAAGATGTATATTCTTGATTTGAGCGTCGGAATTAATTTTCAAGTTTCTCATTCCCTGCGCTTTACGAGTGTGTATATACGTTATGGGATAGTATGACTATTTTATTCGCATCAACTGATGAGTACTTGCTCTAAAAGGATAAATCCTACATACATTTAGATGGTGTACACAGACTGTGTACGATGGACTGCCCAGTATGTATTGTTGTTGACATGTTTGAAGGCGCCGATTTATCCATTTAAGAATATAGATGAACACTTCTTAATTTCAAGTAATATTATATGTATGTATACTAACTAATCCGGCAAACGTTGTTTTGTGGAATTTCGTAAAATCCACTGACCTCTAATCGGTGAAAGGAATATTCCTATCAAATTTCAAGTCTCTACGCCTTATGGTTCCAGAGATATCGTGATGAGTCAATTATCGGTAGAAATATCTTTCTTTTTCTCTTTCTCTTATATACATACATACATATAGAAGACATGATTGCATAACTAATATACTTAAAAGTGCAATATATTGGTAATGCAAAATAACAAGTTAGTGTCTTATGTTTTAACAAAAATCTAATAGTTTGTAAACTTTATGTTAGGTAAAGGGTAATGTTACATTCCAAATTAAAACATAACGAGTAAAAATATATTCAACCCACTTTTGGAAGTTTTTGAATTAATTTAAAATATTTTTTTGATCTCGAAAGCACGTACAAGAAAAGCGACGAACTGTACAAATAACCAATATCCTTAGTTCTTGTAAATAACATCAATAAATTTAGTAATAATACCACATAAAGGCTTCGCTAACCTGAAAAATGATGTTGGATTCATATTTACGGGTTTTTTTTGCTTTGCGTTTTATTCATGATGATAGGCGTTACGTATAGCTTCGAGGATCACATGCCCAGAAAATTGTTCGGAAGCAACATACGCGTGTTATAGATATTATAGAATAGCAAAATACCAATTGTTGATTTATTTATTACGTCATAGGAATGAAATCATGAAATATTATTTTGTAGATAACTTAATAACTTTTGGCCTGCGTCTGCGTAATTAACCGCCTTTACCAACTAAGCTAAGAGGCCAATGACGTCACGGCGAGAAAATGTCGCCATCTATATTATAAATCGACATAATGATATCTCAGTCAGTAAAGCCTTGGCATTTTTATGCGAGCAGATAGTTCACCTGATGTTAATTGATAACCGTCTTGGATGGGCTTGAACTGCAACACATTAGATCTTCAGGTTCGTTGATGTTCTTTAGAAGATTAGGCGCCGTCAACTTCACAGGCGGAACACAGAAGCATTATACTGATATTATGCGCGCGTCTTCTGTGACGTCACCAGTATTGAGCTCAACCGTGCAGTAGTAAAGATGCACCTATGACGACAGAAGACTATGACGGATAAACGTCGCGGACATCGTCTTCCTTACCTTGGATCTGCGTAAGCATTTTTGATGTTGATGGGATGCTTTGTCTGCGCAGCCAGGCCTGCAACACCAACACCGAATGGTATCCTGATCTCCTGCGTTCTCGCGGTCTTCAACGCGTCGTATAACTCTGAAAAGATAAAATATCATATGGCCTTACGTAGCCGTTTCAAACATAGGCGTTATAAAGCGTTCCATTTCAAGTTCTAGTCTTCAGAATGACTGTATTGTTACGTAATTAAGTTTGAAGAAAGTTTTGCTCTTCTGAAATGAGGGGCGCGCTCAATTCCACGTATAAATCCTTGTTGTAGGCCGTATCGTTGAGTTTAAGACTTAGAATACTCTTTTCACTGTAACCTACCAGGCAAAATCCGCAATGTCATTCATAATGTCAACTAATTAGTTCTGGTGAGGCGTATAATTTTTCTAATTGGATAGCATGTAACTTTGTGAGGCTAATGAGATGTTTCGAAGAATATCGGAAAATTAATTCTGTTATATCTAACAATGTGTACAAAACTAACCACATGATGGTGGTTTGTGATCATTTAATAAATCATAACCATACTGTTCGGTACTTTTATTAAAACAACGAAATTTTGCTGTTAACAGACGTTGAAATAGACACATAATTTGGCATTGCTTATTGGGAACAAACACCCAGCTCTTGAACAATTGTCTGTGGGTCACCCAAATACCTGTCCCGTATCAAAACGAACCCACAGTCCTCAGCCATAGCTTAGCTACTGCGCCATCGTGCCAAAGAAATGGGCGTACATACGTATGTTCGAAATATAAAGACACAGATTGATTACTTATCTTATTAGATAATAGATAATTACTTAATAAGTTAAGTAATTAAAAAGATCATATCGATATTTAACCCGAAATAGACATAACCTTGAATTATCAACATGTACAACTGGTGTAGGAAAAAAAAAATTCGATTTGTGGGAGCGCAATTATACAACAAACTGCCTGAGGAAATTAAAGGATGTAAAACCATTGCATTGTTCAAAAAACGCCTATTAAACAACTTACTATCTGCTTAGATTTATAAGCACTGTTATCCGTCTGAGACTGTTGTTTGTGTCATATATATATTTAAGACTTCTATATGTTTATCACGTTTTAAGTGAACTATGTAATGTTCTTTTTGTGATAAATAAATGTCTTTAACCTGAATTAACTTAATAATTAATTTAATTACTTAATACTTTTATCTATTAAGTAATTAACTTAATAATTAAGTTAATTACTTAATAGATAAAACAGAAAATCTTAGGGGTTAATAAGTTCAAACATCGCCAGTAAGTCCTTTTCTCCAAAGCCCATTTTTTTAAATATCACCAGTATTTGAAAAAAGAACTATTATATAGAAACTCACATAATAATAATTTAGCACATAACGTATTACTTTTTGTGTGACCGCCACTTTCTTATGTAAATTTGATAAATCTATTCTTTTTACTATAGAAGAAGACATTTTTTTTCTTAACTCCACTCTGAGGGATCTACATTAGGAATTCTTTGGAATTTGAGGAAAAAATTCAATTACTCCTTCATTAAATAATAAAACGGGACTCAATAAAAGTTGATTGCTACGCTTGCGCTACGAAGGTTAAAACGCTTAAATTTTCATAGTATTTATTTCATCGCTGACATTTTATTTTTCGTATACAGTAATGACTATAATTCGTAAAATAATGACAAGACATCGTTTATCGTATTAGGCAAATACATGTTACGAAGTTCGTAAACAATATGCATCAGGGATGAAGGTCAAAAGTTCAAAGCAAAAGCATCAATAGTTCACGAAAATCATATCGCATTACGAAAATAACATTTAAGAAAATATCACTACATAATCAATCCTTAGTACAATTCCTAAAGCGAGAATGTTAAACTGTAGTTGACCTATTCGATCCGTTTGAGAATATAATGGCGTTGTATGACTTATAGGTCTTCCATAATTCTATTAATACCGTAACATAATAGCTCTCGTTGCTAATCCCTATCGGCCACAAACAGGCCAAAGAAGTTTTATAGAAATAGTAAAATAATAGACTATACATTACACCTAGTATAAACATGATTTTTTTTGTTAAGCAAGAAGTTAGAATTGGAGAAGTTATAAAGAAATGTATAGTAAAGTAAAATAATAGCTGAAATAGAATAAAAAAACCGGTAAAGTGCGAGTCGAATTGGTACGCCGAGGGTTCCGTACCTACCCATTATACCGCCATAATACAATTGGTAAATAATCACCACCGATTTTCTCGGGGTCAGGTGGACGTGCAAAGTTGAAATTTCTTTTTTTTTTTTTTATACGAAAAGTTGCCAAACGAGCGGACGGGTCACCTGATGTTAAGTGAATACCGCCGCCCATGGACATCTCCTACACCCGAGTGTTACAGATGTGTTGACAACCTTTTGAAAATTGGGCTTCTTCCAGATACTGAGGTCTATAGTCTCTATTAGGTGTAAAAATCAAGATTCTGTGTCAACACGATAAAAAGATACGGGCAAATCTATATTATTGCGAAAACTTGTAAGTACAAATATTTTTATTTTTCGGAATTTACCTTTACCCCTTTACTTGTGCTGTAGGATCTAGTTTTTGACAAAATTGACAAATCTATCCTATAGGTTTTGGATCAAAAACCTATATGGTGGTTCCCGTTGACCTAGAATCACGAAATTTGGCAAAAAGTCCTTATATCTTTTTATTGTGTTGACCCTGAGTCAACCTTGATTCTTGGTCCAACGGTTCCGGAGAAAATTTGTGGTGACGCACGGACAGACAGACGGACAATCTTAAGGGTTTCTTTACCTTGAGCATGCAAGCTGCTGGGTGCCCCTGACACTGAACAACTGCATATATGTACTTGTTATGATAATTATTTAAATTAATGATTTATAATAATGGTCATGATCAAATACGGCTGTCAGCTCTCACTCAATAGGAACCGTTATAATGGCGGTTTTAAACATGTATATTAAAGTTGTAAAGTCAAAACATCATACGGAGTTACCGTGATAGCTCAGTGTCCGGGCGCTCGCCTTTATTTCAATTTACTCGAGCAGCCTGAGTTAGATCTCCGGTGCCGGCATCAATGAAACCGTTAATTTTAAGTGCTGACTTATCACTTGCTCGGCGGTGAAGGAAAACCCTGTGAGGGAATCTGCACATTTTCGAAATAACAAAATTTCAGTAACAAAAAGAAATGTATCAAAAATATGTGAAGTCCGCCAATCCCCTGTGGGGTCGAGCGCTGTACTATGCCCTCTTAACATAGTAGGCATATGCCCAGCGGTCCGACATTTATAGGCTGTTAGTTCTACTTCACTACATAGTATAAAACGAAGTCGTCCCGCTGTCTGTCTGTCCCTATGTATGCTTAGTACTTTAAAACTACGGAACGGATCTTGATGCGTTTTTTTTTCTACAAAGAGTGATTTGAGAGGAAGGTTTATATGTATAATACATTGCACCCGTGAGAAGCCGGGGCGGGTCGCTAGTTACTTATAAAGAATTTTCAAATTAGTTATAATGAACCGTTTGCTTTACAGTTGCATTAATTTAATGGATAACTTCGTGGTAGTTAAAGTTGCCGAGAGACGCATTTGCATTTTATCGAACCGAAACTTTGGCACGGAATCCAGAGTAGAAATTAAATGTCTTATTTCATGAATAATGTATATTTATCTTTCTTACTCTCTGTTTGATGTTGCTTTTTTCTGAATATTTTATTTTTGCTCGGCTATTAATAGAGACAGTTAATTTCGGCCTTTGTTGCAAGCATTAGTCTAGTAAAGAATTATTATTGACAACATTTGCTCCCCCGTAATGAATGAATTATTTTAGATAATAAAACAAGATTAAAAATCACTTTGCGAGTTATCGAGAAGATCTATCTGCTATTATTTTGGTATAATGAATATTTTGTAAACATTTTCAAAATACTAAAAATAAACATATTATACCTTAGATATTTAATATACTCTTACGTATACACAGTTTTTATGCAAAATTATTTGTAATTGTAACGTTTATTCCACGTTTTCATGCTATATTTTTTCCCAAAACTTTATTTGATTAAACAATTGACAGAGTGTAAACTGCGCGATTAGTATTTTAACGCAGCAAACGAAACGAAATCGATTAAACATCATAATTAGAAGTTTTTAAGGAGTTTTACAGGTCCTGAAGTTATATATGTTATAAATGTATTTTACATTTAAAGTCTAATTGTCAACTCTGTTAAATCCTTTCTAAGACAATGTAGATGATCAATAAAGTTCATCAAAAATGTTTTCCTTTACCATATGCAGATTTCAAGCAATAAGGAAAAAATAAAATACTACCCTGATAAAATTTGCATTCCCTGAGGAGTCCCCGTCATACCCCATTTTATCATTCAATACCCGTACGTCTAAAATTATGTACAGACAGATACAGTGGGTATATCATCACTTATTCAAATCGGACACGTTACAAAATCAGAATTGAGTAACATAGATAGACGTTATATAAGATTCTCAGAAAATCCATTAGACGTACACTTATTAAAGGATCGGACTAAACACACTTTAGAACGGAATGAAGTGGAAAAGAAATGTACTAGTGGACGCCGGGAAAGTTGTCGAAGTTCAACCACAATTAAATACATGGTTATGTTTTTTTTTTCTTATTGATCTATTGTATTTTTTATGTATAATAAAAAAATATTAGCATTCTGAACCCCTGCTCAGTTTGAGAACAAAGCCACGGACTTATGAAGCACTTGAGAACTCACTGGCGAAAGAAACTCCGCGGGACATTTTTTAACACAATTTGACAAAAAAATGTTTGATCATCATCATCATTATCATTTCAGCCGGTTTGAGTCCACTTTGCTGAACATAGACCTCATTTATAAAGATGTGGTTCATTCTTGTTAAATGCGAATAATTTTCTTTTAATCGTGTAACGTCCAGAAACTGGATACATTTGTTAAGAAATAATATAAAGAAAACTATAAGGAACATTTCTCCTACTGCTGCAAAAAGCAAAAATTCCGCTTTTAGCAAAACAGTAAGATTGCGCAGGAAATATTAAAGTGCAGGAAGGCACTCTCCCGTCCCCTCTAGGCATGATGGAACGGAAAAACGCTACGACCAGAGAGAGGTTTGGATGCAGACCTCTACCGAGATGTCGTTCACCGTTTTTTTTCGAAGTTTGCCTTCTTCTATTAAGAGCCAAAGCTGAGGAGCTCACCAAGCAGTGACAGGAAATAAGGATAGACAGAGGACAAGAAGGTTGAGGATACTGTCTTTCTGTGAAAACAACGACAGTAACTTTAACAACTCAGGGTCACGCACCCGTATATCCCATTTTCTCTCACCGGAAAAGCGAGAATATGGAATACCTCTGACTACAAGAGAGCGTAATAGGAGTAAAGCAATAAACCTATAAAATTACTCAATAACAAACAGAAAACAATGATCCCCTTTACATGTGAGTGGATACGGGCATATAAATAAAATAATTTTGACGACGCAGACCAATTTTGAGCCGTGATAGCTCAGTGTCCGGGCGCTCGCCTTAAATTCAATATATACTCGAGCAACCTGAGTTCGATCCCCTGTGCCGGCACCAATGAAGTTTTTAACTTTAAGTGCTGAATTATCACGTGCTCCGGGGTGAAGGTAAACATCGTGAGGAAACCTGCAAGTTTTCGAAATAATAATAAAAAAATGTATTTCGAATATATGTGAAGTCCGCCAATCCGCAGTGGGGCCGCGTGGTGGACTATGCCCTGATACCCTCTGTATAGAGGAGGCCTTTGCAGTGGGACATGTATAGGCTGTTACTTTACTTTACTTTAGACCAATTTACGCATCCAAGCGTTTGACTAATGAGATGCGCAATTCCGTTTGTTGGTCCTGCTTCGGCGTTCGCGTTCGGCGCAAATAAAGCAATCGCAATTCGTAATGCGTGTGGTCCGAATGCCGGTGGTTTAGAGGCGTCGATGACGCATTGTGTTCGCTGCCCCTTAGACCATTGTGTCTTAACTCGTAAAAAATAGTGCCGTTTGAATAGTGCCGTTGAATTTTTATTCGTCATCGATCGATCGAAAGTGATTTGTCGTTGTGATCGGAATTAACGACGGTTCAGTTTTGATCTTTACGTGTTCCGTGTTTTTTTTCTAATTCTCTGCTTATAGCGTTAATAAGTAGGTCACATAAGAAAATATCCAGAGTAGATAGGAAATGACCGATTGGACTATTCCGGAATCTAGACCCAGACGGCGACCCAAAACCAGGTGGACGGAAGTGGTCAGAAAAGATCTAAGTTCGCGCAACGTTACATAGATGACGTCTGATAGTTCGAAGTGGAAGAGTAAGACCAGGAAGGTAGAGCCTAACATATAGGAATAATCACTGCAAAGGGAAGAGAAAGCATTTGCACACAGACAAAAAACATAATCATGTTGTTTTTTTTAAGTGAAAAGTTGGCAAACGAGCTGGCAGTTCACCTGATGTTAAGTGATAACCGCCGCCCATGGACATTTGCAACACCGGTTGCAGATGTGTTGTCACCTTTTAATAAGGTGGGCCCGGCTACCTCACTCACCAGACGAAACGCAGAAGTATAACGCTTCTACTTTACGCCGGTCTTCTGTGAGGTCGTGGTACTAACGCGGACGGACCTGCCCATTCGTGCAACAGCGAATACTGTTGCATGCTCCTACCACAGTAAGATTGATTACCACGTTTGTGTAAAAAATATCTCAATTAAAAAAATACTCAACTAAAGCATGAATTTAAACACAAATTGAATGTGGAAAAACATTCAATTATTGTTTTGTATGGGAGACGAACCCAAACACCGTAGTTTAGCGTTTAACTAAAGCACATCATAAATATTATAAAAAATGTCACAATAACTTTTATACAGTTTAATATTTTATCTCTTGCAAACCTTGTGTGCTCCATCTGCTACGTTGCCGTACCATTACATTAAAATTGTATGTATGATTAATGATACAAAAAAGTAGTGTACTTATGTACGCACGTAAGAAGTTACACTTCTTTAGCGCAAAGACATTAAATGCAATTGATAACGGTTCATTTAAATAACTTGGAAGTAAATGGCAAAAAGTTGTTATTGGTTGCCAAGATTGAATTGGTTACCAAGCTTTTTAAGAGTCGGTGTGCGCGCACAATGTAAAAAGAAGTATAACTTCAAAATTTTTGCATGAAAAACACACCAAAACTGAAAACCACGAGTTACAGTAAAGTTATCATTTGTTTAGACTTAAAGACAACGAACTTATTACTTCACAGCCTTTTAAATGGCCACTTTTGATATCATTTAAGTAAGTCACAATTAGACTGCGTCGAATAAGTAATTCTTTTATGGAACAAAATATACGTTTTAACAATAAATTCCCCGAAAAAGTTCACAGTGTATCAATTGTTAAATTAAAAATAAATGTAAAGGAACGTTTGTGTGTTAAAGGCTATTATAATATTAGCGATTATTTAAACAATAATACACCCTGGAAATGAATTGCTCGCTCCAGGCTCTTTCAAGTGAACTTTAATACATTGTAAACATGTTTCTCGTCAAATAAGGGCAAAAAAACAAAACAGGATCCCGCTGAGTTTCTTTCGCCGGTCGTGGGTGTGGCTTTTCTTTTCCGTACCGGTGGTAGCATTTTGATAGTCAATAAGTAAGTGCAATGCTTCTAGATTGAATAAGGATGTTACAACTTTGAATTTGAATATGTTATATATGTTAATCACTTTTTGATACGCGTTTTTAGTGTACACCCTATATGAAATCTCTGTGCACTTGCAAAGATTTACTATAACTTACCCGTATCTCTGGTTACGTCGAAAAGCTTCGCTTGCAGGTAACGATTGGGAGGCATCCCTTTGGCCAGGAACAAACTGCCCCTATCTGCCGATGTCAGCAAACAAACGTTGACCAGGATCTGCCGATTGTGGGGGAATACAGTTCATTAACCTTTTTCTTTTCTTATAAGTAATAATTTTATGGGCAGTTGGGATAAGCTTGAAGTCCTCAGAATAAATTGAATTAAAATTTGATTTAGAGTACCTACAGTTTTAATTACATTAATAACTAAAACTCACTATAATTAGGAGGATCCACTGTATTTATATTTTGTTGCTTAGAGTTACGGTGTTCACTAAAAACTTTAGAAAAATGTCACTGTTTTTATAAAAAAAAAAAACATTTAAAATATCTTTCCTGGCTTTAACGTACACGTTTGTCTATTTTAAGCGTACTGGGCTATTCTAAAATTATAACTAATACTAATATCTCTCTGACAGGTCTGAGTACAGATACGTTGGATACACAGATACGTAGGTATTTAGGAATTTACAGATGGAGACATTTCCCAAACGCAATAATTCTCTCTCCATTCTGTTTTGGTCGAAAATAATTGTGTGCGCCTCAGGCACATGCTATGTACAACACGCCTAGATAATTAAAAGATTATTTTTTACTAAATAACACGGCGGGGAATCGAACCCAGGATAAATTAACCGCTCTTTTAGAGAACTTGGTAAATGAGCAGGCAACTAACCCTATCCAGTTAACAGTCTATGTTTTAAAAAACATTCGCAATATCAGACCGACAGAGCATCCCTAGCGTTAGCAAAATACGGCCAAGTGCGAGTCAGACTCGCGCTTAAGGGTTTCGTACCATTATCTATAAAAACGGAAACAATCCATGTCTGTTGTATGGGAGTCCCACTTAAATATTTTTTCATTCTGTTTTTTAGTATTTGTTGTTATTTAAACTGTCTGTAAGAGACTTGACAACTATAAACAAAACATAAACTTTGGAAGTACGTAGTCAATTTCACATACACGATACCTACATATGGACGAGATTCGCACGAAAGCCAATTTTCATAGGATGTCGCCGACTCGAGTGAAAATGCTAATCGAGCCCAACCCTCTCCGAAAGGAGTAAATTTGAAATGTAACCCTATTTTATAGCCGGAAGGGTGACTTTTGAAAAACACGAAAGACTTTAATATAAAACCGTTTTAATCGGAGCGTTATTACGTGGTCGTATTGTAGTCTGAAGCGGTGTTCGAAATAAAATTGTTTTTTTCTTGTCTGGGGCCAAATCATAGGTAATTATGGTCCGCTTCCATTTTTAAATTTATTGACATTGGTACTAGCTTTCTTTCGGTGTACCTCGTAAAGATAAAATTAACAGTCGTAAACCATGGCTTTGTTGAAAGCTTTATGCTTTTACTGCCTTTTGATGTTCTTTACAAAGGCTCTTTTTTATCCTCAAAATTACTTTAAAAGATCATTTGCATTTATAAAATGCCGAGGCGTTGATCAGTGTAGAGAAATATGGTAAGAATTATTGACGTTAATACTATATCAAATTCAGAGAAAACGCATTGCATAAATATTGATATTTATTATAGTCAGTTACTTCTCTTTTGAGTTGGAAGAATGCTATTAATAACGATTTGTTTTTATTTCCAATATTCCCGAGAAGTTATTCTATAGTATATGCAGAAAAATATTGAGTACCTATAAACGTAACGTCATGAAAAAACAGGATGTCCGAGTTATTAGTCCGAGTAGCCGTTTTATTGAAGTATTCATTTATAAACTAATGGAAATTAAATTTGGCAAACATCACAAATGCGAGATATTAAGAACGTCACGAGACTGATGGATACGACGAATGATTTTAAGGGTTATTAATATCTCGCTAACTTCCATGCCTTTACCGAGTTTCTTAATTATCTGTGCTAAACTATTGTACATATTGTGTTCTAACTTTATCCGTTTAAAGCATAATGTACGACTTATTACCTTGTATTAAAGACTGTAGGTTGGTCGGCCAAAATAAAATAGTAAGGATAGCATTAACAACTTTATATATTAATTAGACTACTTCCTACTTATTAGGACAGAGTAACGTCCTATACAAAGGATAAGAGTGTTCTACCCTATCACTGAAACATTATGCGCTTTTATACAAAAATATAATGAGTCATCACAACTACATTACAAATCAATGCACTTATTAAATTACAAATACAGTTAATAAGATTGACCTATTAAATTATATATTAATATTAATGATGGTTTATTATATAATATTATACCAGATATGGTTCAATGTTTATTAAGTATAATTGTTATTGCTCCTATATTAAGTAGTGTTGCCAGTGGATTGTAACACTTGTAAAATGTTGCATTAGCATTTTGGTGATACGCTTTTGCTTAAATCAACTTCATTTCTATTTGATTCAAGTTAACTGTGGTGGCATCACCCAACAGTCTTCGCTATTGCATTACGACCTCTTAGAAGATCGGCGTGAAGTAGAATTGTTATACATCTACGTTTCCTTTGGTGAGTAAGGTGCCCGCTATATTGACATAAGGTACACCTTATGTCAATATAGCGGGCATCTTAGGTGAATAATCAAAGGGAAATAATCAAATCCGTCAAATTAAATATAACCGGCCAACTGCGAGTCGGATTCGCGTATGAAGGGTTATCTATAAAAACGGCAAAAAAACATGTCTGTTGTATGGGGGAGCCCTCACTTAAATATTTTCTTATTCGGTTTTTTAGTAATTGTTGTTATAGCGACAGAACCCGTTGTAATATAAATAAATCATCTGTGAAAATTTCAATTGTCTGACAATAACGTTTCATGAGAGGCAGTCCAGTGACAGACGGACAGACAGATAGACTGCGGAGTCCCGTTTTACCATTTGGGTACGGATCCCTAAAAAGAACATCAGACATCCTTTCGTAAACTATGCAAAAAATGTAATGGCAGCTTAGTAAAAAATATTATCCAGAAACGTGTTACACATTGTCGATGGAAACTGCAAAAAAATAATTAAACCAAAAATTTTTAAGCGGTAAGTTTAATTTCGCAATTTCGTGCTTGCTTTGTTAACGTAATGGAGTTTCTTTGTTAGTTCAATCCTATATTGTGGGTGGCATTACGAAATAAAGCTTTTAAGTGTTTCGCCAAAAGATTACACTATGCAATATCTTTATACTTATCACAAAGTTGGGTTTGGTTCATTGCAAGCTCACGCGCTTAAGATCAAGCTAGCCTGTATCTTAGGGTGCCCAAACCGAATAAATAGAATTTTTTTATTCTAATATTACTTAGTATTATAACTTATCATAAAAAAAATATCTTTTTAAAATAAGGTCAAAAACTATTTAACGCTGACTATCGTCATAATTACCATTCTGAACGCCACACTAATGATAGAGTGGCGTTCAGAAGTTATAAGAAGGTGAACAGGAATGGAATTGGCCCGAGCTGTAAAGGAAAAAATTCAATTAAGAAAAACTACACATAGTTGTGAAATTTTGCGTAAGTAAAAGTTTTCTATTTTTATAAAGGAGATATTAATTACTTTATTTGGAAAGGCCAAAGAACTTTTTTTGCCAAAGAACACGGCAATGTGTTTGGGTAGCATTCGGAGGCGCTTTTAAGAAAAACAAGACGATCGGCAAAAGGGAATCTTGTTGAAATCTTATATTAAACACCGCGTAAACTCAACGATACATCATTTCCGTCAGTTTTTTTTATAGAATATACCGCTCACACCAAAACGAACTTTGCCGTCTTCATAATAACGCCTCATTCAAATTGACACATTTGTGAAATGTGAAGCCCGATTAACTTTTTCACTCGAGGCGCGAATATCGGATGAAAAGCTTAAGTGGGGATTTCGCCCGCACTTATATAGGGATGTGAACACGAAATAAGCTGGTTGGAAGAGCTTTTCTCAGTACACAGTGACATATTATGGCTCGAAATACTAATTTTATATGAGGAATTAGGGATAATGTTGCTAAGATCTAAAATTGCATTTAAAGGACGCATACAGAATGTTCCATTCCCATTTTGCAATTAACAATTTTTATACTGTAGTAGTACACTACTGAAATATAATACTACTGAATTCATTAGCACATAACGTCAAAGATAGCGGCATTTTATCTCATTGATTTGAGGGTGATTAAAGGGAACGTAATGTTATCTATAATTATATCCCTTACTATAGATAGAGTAATAATTAGAGATAATTTAGTATCTATAATCATAACTTTTATTTTTATATTAGATTATTTTTATTTTTACAACATTAAATGTAATTTTACACGGTGGCGGGGCCACGCAGCAGCCTCGGCTGTTGCGCGAATAGGCAGGCTCGTCCGGATAAGTACCACGACCTCACAGAAGACCGGCGTAAAATGGAAGTATAGTCAGTCAGTGAGGTGGCCGGGGCCCAATTTTCAAAAGGTTGTCAACACATCTGCAACCCTCGGGTGTAGCAGATGTCCATGGGCGGCGGTATTCACTTATCATTGAACAGGTGGTTTGGCAACTTTTCACATAAAAAAATGTTATGTTTATTTTTTATGTGAAAAAATGACAGGCATCCTGTCGGTTCCCCTAATTTTAAGTGACCTAAGCCTATGAACATCGGAGCAATACCTGAATGGCTGTAGATGCGTTGACAACCTATGTTGAGTAGAGACAAGTATACTACTTCCACTTCACGCCGATCTTATTGTGAGACCGTGGTATGTACATACATCACCGGATGAGACTGTCCATTCGTGCAACAGTATAAGCTGCTGTATGGCCTTACCGCAGCGACGTATAACTTTAATAGATAAATTTTCTGGCAATTTTTAGCGCTGCTGTATCTTGTATCTTGTATTAACAGATGTTTGTGCTTTCAGTCCCGAGACTATTAAAGCTTCATCTGACGCAGAACCGGTGGGCTTGGCAGAACCCACGGGTTTGCGCCCTCCGCTGTTGGTAGGGCCGCGCATGTGCTCATGCGTAGGTTTATCTACGTCATGTCATCTAAGGGCCAACGCCAACGAGGTTGCGGTGCGGATCGAGACCCCGATGGCCGTCGACTGTGTTTTTAGCTAATCGG